ACCTTCGAGCAGCGTGTCGATGGATATGTTGCCCATTGTTGCTGGCTGTTGGCCCGTGCTGTTGTCAAATGCTAGCGGCTGCGTTTGTGCCCTCGAGATCTGGCCTGGAGATGGCGTCGAGGCGGGCACCTGACTTTCGCGTTCATTCTTATGGCTTTTCCGCTCTCTTTCCGATTGTTGGCGGTTCATCCGGTCCGCAGTCCGCTTATTCTTTGTGCCCTTTGGCCGCCCGATCCGTTTGGAGACGCTGTAGATGCAGTCATGATCAGAACCCCGACATCCTTGACATGGCGTACCACCAGAGCACTTCATTTTAGCTTGGTGGCATATGTCGCACGCGGTCCGGAGCTTCTTTGACAGATGCTTGTTTGTCTCTTGATCCTGTGATGTCGACATACTGGCGTGTTTGAGGGAGGAAACCGTATCTGGGCGAACAGGAAATGATGACTCGACGACTAAACGATGTGCTCGATCTGGGCTACTCCAATCAAGAACATAGGACAAACGCCCAACTCCACGCAAGCAAGTTCAAATACTCTGCAGAACGGTTCTCGCTTTACTTGGTGTTTGATGTTGTATTCAATGTGGGTGAACGGTGATAAAACAAGATGGGAGGAAGCTTCTAGAGATTAGGCGGTACCTGCCGCTGGATAAGTGTGCATCGGGCGGACCGTTAAGAATGCAGGGTTTTGGCACAGACTATCTCGTGTCCTATCACTGATCATGCCGTCAGCTTAACGGGCGATTTTCTCGACATTCCATAAGGTTCCGGGAAACGTCTGATCGTTGAGAGATAGCAAGATAATGCCAGCGAGCCAGGTACGAGATGAGATACCTCCTTCGTTTTGCCTCATCTCGCGTCATTCTAGGCATCAAAACAGCATTCAGGACAAAAGTTGCCAAAGTCAAAGGATACCACTGTGCCAAGCGGCCAGCCCATGTCCCAGGGTGCACTTGGGGGAAGGCCCGTTCCTGCACGTTGCGCCCGCATGACGCTAGTGCACGCTTTAACGCTGATTGTTGATGTTTAACGAGAGTAATACCAATTGGTTCCCCATTGGGCCTATCATATCCTCAACGAGCTTAGCAGACCCGCTGCCAATATGCAGCAAGGTATGGGAAATTCGGTACTGTCAAGTCCAAGCGGTAAACAAGGAAGTGCAGTCGACTTCAACGAGGCGTCTGTGGCGAAATGAGCATCTGAAGAATCTTCATGGCCGTGTGGTGATGATCACTTGCATGAAACTATATATGTTCAGCTTGATATGAAATGCAGAGAACAAAAAGAGCAACAGACCCGTTCGCTAAAGGAGCAAAACGAGAGAGTGTGATGTCACACCGGCTTGATATGGTATGTAAAAAATACTGAATTGCAATGATTAGTCGTCATCGAGAGGATTCCGGGACCGGGATGTCTGTGGCTATCACAATTCTAGTGTTCCCAGGATCTTTCCCCCAAAAGTCAAAACTGATAATTGAAATAAGTCAGGCAGCTCATTAACATACAGCGTATCCGTGACTGTCGTGGACTTGCTGTCGCAGCAATGGCAGCTGGGCTGTGGGCAAATGTTGAGCATTTGGAAGCTGAAATCAACATGTCGAAAGATGAAAGGGAAGCATTTTGTGAGTAGAAGAGAAGTGTATATTGACAAGAACATATATATCGTAGGACACAGAATTCCCATCCCAACGCACCAAGATGCTCCACATCACCTCTCAAGCTCTATAAAGTGTTTCCAAACCAACTCTCCCAACCAACCACCAAGACCTCTCCTCTCCCTCTTCTGCGCCTCATCCTCCTTCCCCTGTCTCAGATCCTTCTCTTCCACTTCCACAACACAAATCTGCCCCCCTTGCCCCTTTCCCCGCCATAACAACCCCACACAAAGCACCTGCAATCCGGCAAACGCTGCCAAAATCTTCATTTGCAAATCATACCCCTCTGCAAACTTCTCCAGGACCAACCTCTGCATATCCAGTGGGAATGCCCTGATGGCCTCCGTACTCTGCAGCACTGCAGCCAAATGTTCGGAGCCGATTGAGTGGGAGAGATGCGAGGTGAGGTAGCTGTTCATGACCGCCGAAGCGAGCGCGAGGCCGAGGGCGCCGCCAAAGACGCGGAACTGGAGGAGCGCACCGCTGGAGATTGCCAAGTCGCGATGCTCGACGACGTGCGGTGGGATGACGAGGAGCATGCCCCACACCATGCCTATACCGAACCCGGAGAGGACTTCCCAGCCGTAGATGACGGATGGAGCAGGCGTTGAAATGTCATTCGAGGACAGCGTAGAGAAGAGCGAGAGACCGATGAGTTGAACGATTGAGCCTGCGAAGACGAGGTAGATGGGTGCTATGCGCGTGCGCATTGCGAAGACGTTGATCAGGATGCAGCCGAGTGCGATCATGAAGTTGAAAGGGACTAGGCGGATGCCGGCGCCGAGGGGGGAGATGCCGTTGACGGTTTGAAGACGTTGGGGTATGTCGATTACGATGATGTTGTAGGGAATACCGGAGAGGAGGGAGAGGATCAAGGTACCGATCCACGCCCTGTTGAAGAGGAAGCGCCACGGGAAGATTGGCTCTGGGCGCCAACCGTCCCCGGTGACCATGCGCTCGTTCAGCAGGAATAGCAAGCCGAGCACCCCGGATAGCACAAAGAGCGCGATGGCCGTTTTAGAGTGCCATGAGAATTCGTTCGGTGCTTCGAGGAGGACTGTCACAAGGAGCAAGGTAGCTCCCAAAAGGAGAAATGCACCGGACAGATCTAGTCTGGCTAGTGACGCCTTTGAGATCTTCTGCCGGAACCCAGGAGTGACGTAGAATGGCTGGCTTTGGTACGGGAAATCCGCGGGTACAGAGAGGTAGAGGAGTATAATGGTGACCAAGCCGGCGGGCACACTTCCCTCACAGTCAGTCAAATGCTCAAACAAGTGATGAGGGAATATGCTCACTTCAGTAAAAACACCCATCTCCAAGTCGCCTTCTCAGCGACACCACCACCGATGACTGGTCCGGCCAAACTGCCCAGTGCGCTTGCTGTGGCCAGCTGAGCGGCAATGGAAGGATACTGGCTTTTAGGTACCATCTCGTAAGCGATCGTCAAAGCCATTGAGACGCAACCTGCGGCTCCGATACCTTGAAAAACACGGTTTACAATCAGTTGTGTCATCGTCTGTGATGCGCCGCAGCCTGCGGAGAACATTATGAAGATGAGAGTAGTAGCCAGCGTTGCTTGTTTGCGGCCGAAGATGTCGCTGATTTTGCCCCAGATGATGATCATGCCTGTTCGGCTCAATTAGAACTCGGCCGTCATACACCCGTTAGCCATGCGTGATCTTACTAGTATATGTGATTAGATAGCCCGTTACAACCCATCCTCCCTGCTTAAAGCTATGCAAGTCGTCGGTGATCGATATCAGAGACGTCCCAACGATTGAGACTTCGATGTTGACAAGGAAGAACAAAAGGGCCACGCTGAAGGGTCGTTAGCGGAGCCACAACAGCGGTCCAAAGAAGCTGACCTCAGAGACAAGAAGTGCAGCCGCCATCCTCTTAGGTAGGTCATGCTTTCTGCACCTAGTGCCTTTTCGACAAGTGACCCTTCGGACGTCTGGAATGAGGTAGGTGTAGCGGTCCGCTCAGTAACGGTGACCTCTGCAGCGTCTAATTTATCCTCGACTAATCCCTCGGACATGTGGAATGATGCCGGTGTAGCAGTGCCTTCGGTAACCTCCATGGCCTCTGACTTTCCCATCTCTGTCATCGTAAATCTTCAGCTGCTCCAGCCACAACCGCGTAGACAGGTTCTAAAAAGGAGAGCCTGCGTTAATTTTCTGATATAAGCAAACAATGATGATTATGGCCGGCCGAAACAATGTCCAGTCAGGCCAAGACCGCGATTCGCAAGCAATAGAGCCCAGCTTTGACGAAGTTTGAGAAGAGAAACGGAGGTATGCGACGATTGAGCAAATATTAATGGTTCAAGGTCAACTTGAAGTGGACAGGGAATATGTTGATATTAGAACTGATAAGCGAATATGGGGCGGAGGCGGGCACAGCACAACTCTTCTCATGCAGGTCATATATAAGAACTGGGGAATTTATTATGGAATCGGTGAAAGGATCAACAGGCAAAAGTAAGCAACGGCGGCACATGTTAGAAGAAGCTTGTATCATTATGCAAGATTACAGATTACCAAAAATCGACAAGAAGTACCTAGGCGTAGTCGGACAGAGCCCAGATGCTGCGAACAGAGTTGGTCAGGCTTGCCGAGAGGGGCCCCTTCACACCTTTGCAGGACATTTGCTTGATCATCGCTGCAGTTTGAGAAGCCGTTACCAATTTACCATGCAGTAGGAAGGAGAATCGACGAGGGCGAAGATCCATGCCTAGGACGACAAAGAGTCAAATAGTGTTGTATCTTGGTCGGCTTGGCGAGGTTGGAGAGGCGTATGAAACGCTAGGTAGTGTCATGTTCAAGATCTAAGGTATAGGGCTGAGTCTCAAAGAGCAAAGTAAGCGATGTTCTATTATTAGCATTGTAACAACCAATTCCCAAGATGACCAGGCCTACATCTGTATTTGCTTTGGCTCTCAAAGCCTTTGTGTCGTGGCATTGACGTAAGGCTGAGGAAACAACAAATTGCATGACTTCTCACAAGCAAAAGCCCAGGAATTAGTAGAATCCTAACCAGCTCCGCCCCCAAACGCAACTGCCGACATTGCTGCATGTATATCAGACCAACAATAGTATCGTGAAACCTATTTCTTACGCGTTTCACAAAGTGGACTCTACAGTAGTAAAGTAACGTCATGTGGTTCGATTGGAATTCATCAATCGATCAGACTCCAATCGCACACAAGAATGGCACGACACCCTCTACATTCATCTTCCCTTCATACCAGACAACAGCCCTGACACCTCCTCAAGCCAAGCTTTGAATCAACGAAGCAGCACTGGTGTGGTCCCTATGCGTCGCAGTGATGCCGCTTGCATCTTTTAGAAAGCAACCCCCCCCAGGTCTTGCGGATTCTTATGGTAGTCCAGAACGAAAGCCATCCCATAACAGGCTGCATTCGCGGTTTGGGTCCCATTGCTGGTCTGGTAGTAGTTGGAACCCGCACAAGTCTTCATGCAATCCTCGAAAAAGTAGACAAAGACCCCAAGAAAGTCAGCACCGTCTAGGTCGGAGTTGCAGTAGACATTGAATTCGGTATGTGTGCCAATTGTGGAGACGTAGGTTTTGCTTAGATTGTCGCAGTCGCTCGTCGGCAGGGTAGACTCGGTGGCGTTGGTAGTTGTAGATATGGAGTTGGTTGTGGGACATGAGGAGTTGTCGGAGCTTTGAGGGTAGGAAGTGACAGGTTGGGCCATGGTGCTGGCATTGCTGAATTTGGTCAGCTGAATATCCCGAATAAGAGAGGTAGATGGTCACATACCAATGCCCTCACTTCGCGGCCAGCGAACCTCCTACACCCGCTGCGACAACAGCAAGCATCGCGACTACGGCAAGGGCAGCGCTCAAGATAAAGGTGGTAGGTCGAAGGCCGCAAAAACGCTTACTGGGCGGACCTGGCTCTGATGCCATTGGTATCTGCGACGTCTGTGCGCCACTTGGCTGACGGTAGTAGGCATAATTCTCACTCTCATCTGGCTTCTGGTAGGAAATAGGCGACTCGTTGCGTCTGTCAAGCTCGAGACCATTCATGTTTGTAGTGCTCGCCGTTCATGTTGCTATCGAGAAGTGGCTGGCGAGAAGGCGACGAGAGAGGGAGGGGCGCCATCTTGTGGGGAACGGACCAGCATGGTTCATCGCTATATGTTACGCTGAGGCGCTGGCGAAGGAGCGAAGGAATGGAGCTATCTTGAAGTTCGCCTCCGAATTGTTGATTGTATGGCGGCTGAGAGCGCTGCTGGTGGGAGGGAGAACTAGCTGTTAGTGCCTGGTCCACGCTCCTTCTTGAATTCTAATTACCCGAAGTTCATCTTCGCAACGTCCAGGGGGCTCTGGCCAGGGTGAATTGGTATAGAAAACCAAGAGGACATGATATCATGAGGAGATCAGATTAAAGAAGAACATGAACGGGTGGAGCGAACTTTTGATGTCTTGGCAAGCTAATCCATTTTTTGTTAGCGCCTCGCTTTCGCACTGTTGATCGCTTTCCGATTGAAGATCGACAATACATATACCTACAGTCATGGAATAGCAACTAGCATGGTGCGCAGAGTGGGTAGTCAGAGAACACTGATAGTTGGGAGAGAATGAGGGATGTCTTACACATTTTTCGGTACACACCCAATACAGGCAATATTGACGCCGGTTCATAGCCCGAGAGTGGCTAACGTCAGTGGGATGAGTGAGTGAACATGAAGCATGGAGACGAAATCACAGAGCGGTCGATGAGTTGTGGTCGTCCATTTTGTACTCTCAATCGTTCAAGGCAAGCGCTGTAACGCTGACAATTATGGACGGTTAAATTTTCCAAGTCACCATCAACAAGCACCTTCTGTCCGAGAGAACCTTGCATATCATAGTTCAAAATCTTAACAAGCAAGCGTGAATCTGGACAATGAAGGGCGATGCACTTTCTAAAACGCTCTATCGTCTCAATCAAGCGAAAGATCGGTTCTGGTAAATGAATTAAGGACGGGTAGCAACCGATCAGATGTCGTGTTCGAAAGGCCTCTAATTATTGTGTAGGGGGCGTAGGTAACATCTTCGAGCATTGAACGGATTATGCGAGGTTGATTAGTAGCATCCGAGGAAATGGGCGAAATTTTAATGGATCTGTAGCGAACCGCAGTATCTCTAATTCAGCACGAACTCAGCCCACTTTCGCAGATGAATCCTATAACATCTGGCCGTGAACGTCTCATTCAGTTCGGAAGACAGTCGGACGAAGGCGTTCTGTCTGCTGTCTTTCAACGGACTGTATCCATCCTTCCGCTGCTGGCCTCGAAATAAGAGCGCAAGGAAACGGAGCACAGTGCCGGACCTGATGCAGCTGTGTTAAGAGTACGTTCAATGAGATGGCTACAAATGAAAGAGATAAGCTTAAGGAACTATATTCGATGGGCAGGCGGGGCTCTTGCTCCAGACTTTCGGAAGTACTGTCGATCTTGCACAAAAGCGACAAACCAAACGTAAACACTCGCCAATCAGAGCTGATGTAATGACAGTAAATGTCGCCTTAACCCATATTCAAATTTGAAGAATGATTCTTGATTAAGAATCGTTCTTCAACCTAGTGACCTGCCCCAGCAAACCAAAAGCTGCCCTTCTCTCGCCCTTCGATGGTCCCAACGTATCTTCACCATCACCATACTCTTTCACAAGCTCTCCATACCTGACTCTTTGCTCCAAGTATCTTGCTGATTTCCTTGCAGCCACCGTGTGGCCTTCATCGGCGAGGACTTGACCAAGCGCTGTGTTTCGGGTGGCCGCGGCTATCTCGCTGAAAGTACTGTCCATTGCGACTCCGTTGTGCTGGAGGGCGTATAGGCCTGCAGCAAGACAGCAGAGGGTTGCTAACAGCCCAAGGCCGTAGGTAAGCAGGAGGAACTCTGGGTTGTACTCGTAGAGGATCTCCGCCGTAGGTGAGTGGCATGTTGTGTTGTACGTGGGTGCATTCGCAGCAATAATACTAAGCGTGATGTTCGAGAGGAGTTCTGGTATTCCATTTATGAAGTTATGGCTCACTGACCAGTAGAAGGCACTAGAGTTCCCAAATTCGTTGTCGGATGAATTAGGATGGGCATTTGCTTGGATCCCATCTAGCACTGTCATGTTCACGAGATTGGAGAATCTAATCTGGGTGCCTGAGAAAATAGGTCCCTACATGGAGTTCTCCGAAGTCTCTCCGTAAATGCTGCCTGCGAGGCTGGAAAATAGTGCTGTTGCCGGGTCCAGATACTGCGCCTCTGTGGGTTCAGTGAGGTCAATAGGACCGACGATACTCATTGGAGCGGATGAAATCATCGTCGTATTGATAGATGAAATCCCGTTTTCGAAAATTACGTTCAGAGAGTACGTCGTGTTTTGAAAGGTGCACGCCAATGTCCGCCAGGGTTGGTTGACCTGCGCAGGGTTGAAGCCAATCATCGATGAGACTGTGATTGGACTGACGCTTTCGTTGTTCAGGTATTGTATCCATATCCTTGAGAAAACCGAGGTATAGATATCATCCTCGGCAGCTGCGTAAATTGGACACGTTTGCTCAAGGGAATCAGGGCTACTAGGCGAGTTCCAGTTGCGCGGCAGTTCGTCCACCCTTGCAGAAGTGTTAAGTTGGAAAGTTAATGAAGAAGCATTGTATCGAGGCTGAGAAATAATCATCTAGTTCGGATACGGCTCACAGTCAATTCCAGACCCGTAGAAAACATGCTGATAGGTATAGTCCGCAGGGCGATGGAAAGGGAGCTATGCCATTGGCAAGGAGGACATCCATAACAATGTTCCACAGTTCGCTTTGTTGCCCGCCTTGACCGAATGTGGGGACCGTACATGGCAGTGACTGCTTGACACCATCTTGGTTTACCTCGACGGATAAAGTTCAATGTACAACGACAGGCAGAGCTGGCGACAACCAGGTGATAGTCGCAAGCGCCATGGCGACTGGGGCGCATCGAAAACAAACGAAGAATAGGAACCCTAGAATATCGCTTCGTAGATTGAGCAGCTTGTCCATTGACTGAATCTTGATATGATGTCGCCGGAAACTGTACCACAAGGTATGTTGAAATGCCAGACCGACCGCCAGAGTCCAAAAAATCTTGACAATCAACGGATCACCGTTTAATATGCGATTTGCCCAGGTTTGAGAGTCTGATGAAACCTGCTTGCCGTCCAAGAAGTTGAACACCGAGTGATGACCCACTGCAAAAGCATAAACCCAAAGACCACTAGGCCGAATAGCAAAGAGGTCGATCTCCGCATTGGGCCCTCTAACGAAAGGTGGCTTTTGGTTTTAGTGTCTGCTTTGGCCCGTGTCCGCTCTTTCATTTGCATTATCGTTTGGAACTTGTTCAAGGATGGTCCACGGTGCCTCGGCAATGTATCTTCGATAACCATGGACCGTGTCTCTCCTGCTAGACAATCTACCGGTTCGGGTGGTGCCGAGGCCGGTGAGCAACTCGCTGCCCTATCATAAGCCAACCATGTCTGGGATTCGTCTTGGCCGTGGGACACAGGCGGATAGGTGTTTCTCCCAACAGGAGACACAGATCCCGAGAGTGGAGGGACGCCCTCGCTCGGTGGCTGTTGATCACAATTTGCCATAGTGCTGAATCAGGGTCATGCAACGGTTGAGTGCCAGTAGTGCACATCAATTCAGACGGTTGAACATGTGGGAATCGAGGCATTTGTATGAGTACGTAGAGTGAAGCTCAGCCTCGACTCTCTGCGCAACGCTGCATGACGCTAGACAATGATCTCAAACGACTCCCCTGTGCTTTGCACCTCCATTTCAGCTTGCCGGGCTTCTGCATAGTATTCAACATGGCTATCTCCGTGGGGTTCTCAGATCACCATGGGGTAGAGCCGACTTCCACAGTATAGTTAAGATGCTTAGACTGGTAGTGGCTTGGTGGACGTATCTGAATTTGGGCTGTAAACCTAGCAGCTCTGCATCAGACCGATGCCCGCTTCTGCAAGACAAGCTAGAATTGTAGCGAAGCAATTGTCTGCTGTTTGCCGCTTGGTAGCTTCGAGCCCGACACTGTGCAGTGGACAATACAGCTCGGACATCGCAATGATTGGATCGTTCAATTACGGTCATGGCAGTCAAGCCGGGGATCGTCATCATTGATGTGGTGTGGTGAAAAGACAGGGCGTCGTGGTGGCCTAGAGATACAGGCTAGCTTCCCTAGAGTGCCCGGGGCCGCTCCGACACTCCCTTATCGCTGCCGGCCCGTCGCAGCGGTGGGTCCCCAAGGCACAACAATTTCAACCGTCGATGACTCGAACGGAATGCCCAGGAAATGACAATATTACTCCGCTCGTGGGTAATGCGCGGCCCCTGGCGTTGACCTAGAAGGGAAGAGCCAATTACGATGCCGTTGAGCAAGGTCGTTGCTTCGACAGCCCATTCATGGTCGAAATCTTGTGTATGACGATACACGGTATGTACGATATAAAGAGATCTCGCGTCTACGAGAGTGGGTCTCCTGTGAAGCCCGCACCCAACGCTTGCACAGATTCTAGTTTCGAAGTAGTTAGTCATTATCTTTCCCTCTCATTTTTATTGAGCTCTGTATCCACCACAAGCACCTCGTCCGGCCTCCCCACGTAAGATCGAAGCTCATACCGAATCTTATTTAGCCTCTGCTGCTCTTGCATGTACTTGAGCTTCTTCTTGAGATCCGAGAATAAAATCTTCCGGCTAGGGGTATCAGGGTCTGTCCTACAATCCAAATTCTCCATGTGCTCGACCAGTTCACTGATCCTGAAAGATCTACTGGTGCTGCATTCAGGACAGCACAACACCAATGGATAGCCCTCAGGACACGTTCGAAGGTGTCTAGTAAACCTGTCCTTGCTTTCAAATGGGGTTTCCCATTTTGGGCAGACAAACTCCCTCGTGCGTTCAGCATAATTCCCTACTCTTGCGAAATGGGGCGGAGCTCCAGCCAGCAGCCATGGAAGACGATACTGAATGACATATCGTTGCGATTCATCGCATCCCAACGTCAGAGCTTTAATGTGCTCGATATTGCAGCCTGCATCGCACATTTCGTCTTCAACGTGTCCTAGCAGTCCTGGTATGGTGTCGAAGCGGTCGTGTCGACAACCCCAGCATAGATGTTTGTTCAGCTTGGGTACCCTAGCACCCTTTTCATGTGTTGGTACTGTTTGAGCAGGTAGAAGGCCACTCGACTCTCTCACCTCGAAGGCCTTTTTGGTCGTCAAGGTAATGATCCTCAAAGCACTGTCGGCAGTCGCGGTATGAGCTAACACCTGCCCTGCTATATGGATAGAAGTGTTGTTCAAATTTCTGTTTTCCTGGCGGATTTTGTGTGTAGCAGTTTCTTGCTAATTGGAACGTGAATCCGCCAAAAGGTGTGGCTTTTCGCCACGCCTGTGAACGGTAATACGAGTCATACTTATACCACGGCAGCATTGCAAATCTGATTTTGGTGTAAGAGCTATTGCCGACCTAAAGGGCCAAGGAGGGTCCTTTGGCACAGGGTGGCTCTTGCAGCATCTCCCTTGCGCCAATCAGATCACATGGGTTCGTGCAGATGAATTGTGTGCCGACGAGGTTCTAAAGTCCTAGCGGCTGAAGTATCTGGAACACCACTAGCAAGGTGGAATAGGCTAGGCAGTGTTTCTGCCTGGATATCCAACGAGAATCACCCGAAAATCGGTTTAAAGCCCACTGTACCGAATGAATGTTGTTTCTGTTCTCTAGCCGCAGGAGAAACAGGCGATCAAAGGAGGACTGCCGGGCCCGCTCCCCCAGTCGCAAACGCAAGCCATTTCTTTCCACTTCGAAAGGAACTTTCTCTTGGCGTTAAGGTACATCAGTAGCCTTCGCCACAGATAGAACACAGGAAGACATTATCGTATGGTTCATGGTCAGTCCTCTTTGGTATAAGTGGTGGAGCTCCCGCACGGAACCATGTTCCTCGCCCTGGAATGATGGATAGCGCTGGTTCATTGAACTCCTCTACCAGCGCGTTGAGATGTTATATTGTCCAATCGTTGTGGCATTCGTTACTTTCTATGTGCTTTAGCATTTCTGAATAGGTGGGAAAGTGCTTCCACCCTTTGCAGCCCCAACAAGGGAATTGTTCCGGACTTGTTTGTTCCTTGGGCTTTCAATCTATCAGTGATACGATTGGTGAACAGAAAACGGTGTACCATATTACTCAGATATTCCAGGGTTTAGTTGCCAAGAAAATCTCGAAAGACACGCATGGCGTCCTGGTGGCTTGTTTCCATGTGGGTTACTAGCGCGTGCGGAGAAGGGAACGATTTACAGCATTGCTGACAATGACGGGAATAGATTCCCTGACCTGGGTACTACTGAATAGATCCATATGCTCTGCTGGGCAAAGCATTAAGAGTTGGGAATTGGTCAGGACGGGACCGACATGTGAGGACTGTAGGGTAGCCTTCGGACCATTGTTCATGTTGGAGATGAATTTTAAAGATCATCCTTCAATATGCAGGACTACTGGAGATAAAGTGAACCTATACGCCTCATTTATTGCTGCAGTTGGCACCCTTGGTAAATGGGTTGGAAAAAGATATTGTAGATTTTCTAAACAAATCATGCTCGTTATATTTACTTCTCAGTCGTAATCGTAAGAAAAGGGATTACTATCGTAATCATCATTGCTGGCAAAACCATATCGCCGGCCAGAGACACCACCATTCCTTCCATTCTCACCTCGCAAAGTTTGCCGACAGCTCGCACAAGCTACCATCTGGCAGCCGGGACACTGGAACGCAAAGTGTCTCTGAACACTGTGACAGTTGCTACACAGCCGCATCCCCTCTACCTTCGGCCAGAACCTATCATGTCGACAAGTACTCTTCGTAGCCGGTTCAGACCGATCGTTCCGTGTCTTCCTGGCCTTTCGAGCCGCCTCTTCTGCTTGCCGCAATGCTTGCGCTCGCTCTTCTGCTTCCCTACGGCGTCTCTCCGCCGCCGCCGCCGCCATCCGTGCACGATCTTGTGCCTCTTGTGTCTCTCGTGCCGCTTGAGCTTCGCGGGCTTCTTTCGCCGCCCATTCGGCCCGTTCTTTCTGGGCTTTGGCCAAACTTTCGCATTATCTCATGCATTGCCCGATCCCTTGCTTCTTGCTCCATCCTCAGTCTACGTGCTCTCGCCTCGTCTTCCACTTTTCTCTTCTCATCTTCCGCCTTCTTCTTCTCGGCCGCAATCTTGTCGTTCACATTCTGCAGCGCATCTTGCAGCCTTTGGAGTCTGGCCTCCTTCTCCTTCAACTCGTTTCCTTTGATGCTGTTACTGGCTAGTCTATGTAGACGTGTCTTTTCCCGTGCTTGTTTCTGCTCGTCTGTTTCTTTCTCTTTGCCTAAAATAGGCGAAGCTAGGTATGCCCACCAACCATTTCGCTCCCTCTCCTTTCTTGAATTCTCAACGTCCTGGTCCTGAAGACGCTTCAAGTCTGCTACAAGCTTTCTGATCGCCCGAGATAATTCGAAGATCTCATCGTCGTATTTCCACCTGAATTGTTCCAAACGTCGAAGGCGTTCCTGCCGTGCAATATCTTCTTTCTGCTCTTTCGCCCTCGCTTCAGTTGCCCTCTTTTTTTCTGCCTGTGCGGCTTCAGCTTGGCGCCAATCTGACTCCTGCTTTGCCCGTAGACTATCTCTAATGCCTGACCATCTTAGATCGTATTCTCGTCGTTTCGTGGGGTCTCTTATTGTCTCATACGCGTTTTGGAGCTTCATCAACACGTATCAGTCGCTGCCTTCAATCGTAGCAGTCGATTTGGAAAAGGAATAAGACTTACAAGCTGGAACACAGCTGTCGAATCGTCGTTAAGGTTTTTATCTGGATGCCGAATCTTTGCCAGCTTTCGATAGCTCTTAGTCACATCTTCAATGGTAGCATCATTTGATACCGCGAGAACGGCGTAATAATCGACGTTGGGCTCAGCAGAGGCCATCACGCTTTCATTGTCGATATGGCAGCCTGATCGTGAATTAAGTAGGTTGAGGTCGGTACACAAGAATCATGATGACTAATATATGCAGGGAGATTTAGTCCACCAGTAAAGACGAGTGACTTCTGTTGAGCTGTGGTGAATTTGGTCTGCGTTCAGGAGAGATTTTGGCAACAAGCATAAAACATGGTAATTCTGAGGCTGAGATGAACGCAGGCTGAGAGAGCGGGAGGCCTGAGGCGAAAATCTTTGCCAAAAGCTCAAACACTTACCGACAGTTTGCCACATCAGTTTGCTGCCTTGTGCTATGATTCAAAGCTATGACAATGAGATCTGGTCGCAGGGCATACTATTAGCTCGAATAGTTGAAGTATGCTCAACACTGTTCTGCCAGTGCTGCTTACGGGCCAGGGAGCCAAGTTTGGCAATTTCTGAGAAGTAGACATGCTCAACGCTGGCACTTGAAAGGAGGTACTGCGAAGTAAAAGATCCCGTAACCCGAGTATCCCGATATGCATTGCCACACGAGCCATGAAGCACCCATCCCCCCGAACGTCCGTAGACATGTGTTGTGACCCCAGACGCAAACAACATCTCCTTGCGCCAGTCTGGTGGAACCTTTGATGATACAACAAAAGACTGTTCATTGGTGCCATCAGTCCGGATGCTCACATCGAGAGCAAAACATATTTACCTCGAAGCCAGCGTCTTCAACAGTATTCAACACCCTGCGCCGATTTCTCTGGTTTTTTTCTCGGATAGCTCTTTCGTCAGTCCCATAACAGCACTTGCTGCTCTTAATTCCTCACGCCAAGACCTCCCATAGGTGATGGAGGAGCTTGACGATGCTGTCCGTGCCATAGCTAACACCCTCTGTGCAGGCACTGCTCTCAACATGTTGAAGAAGGCTGCTCAGATCTGCATACTGAGATCTGCAAGCTGGGCACTGATAAACCCACGGATCATGGCACGAGGATTGAATATGTCCCATCATGCTACTATACTGATCAAAAACCTTATCGCACCGAGAACACCCGAATCTTTTGGGATGCGACAGAAATAAAGGTCGGGCAAAATGCCTTTGGCGTTTTCCCCAACGTAGGTACCGCTCGCAGCCAGTTTTTGCGTAGTCGTTTTTTCGCATTGAATGGCGAATTGGTCAAGTTGAACACGCGTCGTTACGCAGGTGCCTGTCTCGAGATCCTCCAGCAACGGCGCGTATTTGGTGAATTGCCTCGAACAGCCCCAGCAGTCGGTATTACGAGGAAGATGGTTCAAGAGATGCTAGACCCGTGTCAGCGCTTTTTTTAGGCCATCCATAGGGACTTTTGACTCACGTCACTGAGTTGCTTTGGTGTATCACATTTTTTGCTGCACGAGGGGCACCAAAAAGGGCTGGGATCAGACTCGTAGTGCTGATAAAGTTCTCTGCAAATTGGGTAGTCGACCTCATGAGTCTCACATATCCAGTGGCTCCGTGAGTTCTGATAACGCTCCTCTCGTGCGGCGGCCGAAATGAAGTGACGGGCACAGCGGTCGCAAAAGTTGTGACTGTCGCGATATTGCTCGATCAAAGCTTCTTTGGTAGAGAAATCAATGTTATGACTGTCGCATATCCAATGGCTCAGCAACTTTTACGAGTCCTCGTCCCGAGCAGCGGGAGAAACAAAAAACCTATTACACTTAGAGCGCCAGTTATAGTGCTTTTGAGTGGGTCTAGTGGCTCTCTAGAGTTTCTTGATATGGAAAAATTTCGGCTGCATACTGTGCAGAAGTGATCTGACCTACTCAGAGTCAGTGAGTACAACTTTCAGGCCATAAGAAGACGAGCCGCCTCGCCTTGACGGCTTCCGGCAGTCGAAATATGGTGCTTTCAACGACGTCGAATTTGAATTGCTGATCATCTTGCCGAAGGACGGATGTCGTGCTGGTTGATTGATATTAGAAAAGGGATGGCGGTCGGTGGATATTGCTTTCGCATGCTATGAATTGGTCCGGTAGGGATCTGAAGATTAGGAGGAGCTGAGAGACGCAATGATGGGGAGGATAACTACCAGTGATGGGATACCACGCATTGTGGAATTCGGTCGCGCGTTCTTTCGTCATAGGACAGTTGGCATGGTTAGTGAAAGGTGCTGGCTTCTGGGTTATCTTGAACAAAGTCGAAATTCGGCGGACCGCTAACTTTCATGCAATCGAGTGTATTCCAAGCTACCAGAATGTGCAGTCACTTCGTGCAATTGTATAATGAAACAACTGTCAAGTCTTGTGAGATCCACGTCCCTCTCTGCCTTTCATTGCCATCGTAGGAGCAAGTCCCCTACAAAAGTGCCTTAACCTAGCAAACAGCTCCTGAAGCGGCATTTCTCAGCCCGAATCAGCTCTTCGTGGATGGGCTTATATGAAGGTCATAATCATTCAATGCTCAGGAGTGACGCCCAAACAAAATCTTCATTGCCATGGCCGTTACCCCATCACACCATCCATCTATCGGTTGGCATGATCAATCATTGATGCTTGGTATTTCGGTGCTCCTTGATTATGCAACCATGCCCGTTCAAGGCCGACTTCGCAGAGGACACCATTTTTGCTAGTGAAGGACGACTCAGCACGCTCTATGCATCGTCAACTCAAAGCGCCAGATGCGTGGTGGTGATGCGAGCTATCAGCTCATATGCGTGCCACACATTATCAAAATTCTGTGGTCATCCAGTAGAAGATGCATTTAATGATGAAGGAAGCCTGAGGCGGCCGCCAAATTCTGCGCCTTGGCAGCGGCAGCTGCGAGATCGGCAAGTAATCGTAGATCTTTCACACCACATTCCCAGATCCGTACTGTAGCATAGAAAGCTCTCCGCAAAATTATTCGAATAACACTGCGACTACGATTAGTATAGGTCCGAAATGGATAAGATGAAGCTATACTGAAGTCTAAAAAAATGTTCTCACTCCGGCTTTGCCACCATAAAGCCAAAAAATCCCAAAAAAATCATGTTTTTCTTAGTCTACAATTTATGAATATTAATTATTAGAGAAGTCTTTTCTATATAAAATCTAGTTTATTTTAACAAGTTCTATTAGTCTTTCTTTGTCAAGTTTTTTTTAATTGAATTTTTATTTTCATTAAGTAAAGTGATTTTAGTAGTTATAAGGCGTAACTCTTACTACTACGGGGCGGTACAAAATCAACTGGTTATCAAAAAGATTCGTTTAAAAGTTATATCTGAGAAAAAAAAGCTTAATAGAATTGAATAAATCAGTATAACTTTGCAATATAAACAAGATACATGAATAATAAATAATTTGCGATGAGATCTAGATAAGAAAAACATGGTTTCTCCTGAATTTTTATGTATGCTTTGGAAGCAAAGCCGGTGGCCAGGCATTCCAGATTTTTTTGCAATACGCTAATTGGCAGCGGCAGCTGCGAGATCGGCTAAAAGACGTTTGCCCGACAAAGCAGCGCTCTGCAAAGTTCAATCTCATACTCTGACAGGATCAGAGGCTGGCGACCGTGACAAGTCGCTCCGAATACATTAGTATGACATAGACGGGAGTATCTCGAATAGTCGGAAGGCAGCCAATCTACAGCGCTGACTTTACGCTCTCAATGACAAAATCACCATGCCCAAGGCCTCGACCAGCTTCTCCCACATGCCAGCTCCGTCAAAGAAAGTGTCCTTTGGCGCGCACAAGAGGTATTCTGAGGTTCAACAGATGGCTATGGAACATCTGGCTTGGTGCAATTGCGAAATGGCACCGCAGTTTGAGAGCAGTAACGCTACTGCGGAGAGCAAGACGGACCTTTGGAAAGAAGGTTGGAAGCGGCATCATGAGAGCTGGAATATCATTGAGAGTATGTTGGGTGCGAAAGTGAATCGGTCTCGGAAGCATGGTGGCCAGCGTGCGAGCTGCCCGCAAATTTCACAGTTTGTGACTTCAGCGCAGGCATAGTGGAACACAACTTGGGCTTCAAGCCTAAGATGAGACACATATATGTTAACAAGGACTGCAGCACAGCGTTTGGATTGTTTGAATCTCGCTATTAGTATCCTGTTTCACAAGATTTGCTACCTTGCCCTAAAGAGGTCTTGCATTATCTCAGGCTTTGAACTCTTCTGCTAGGCCTCCATCTCCCAATGCCTTACCGGAAACCTCATTTCCTACTTACTATAGTCCGCGTCAAACGCGGCTATCAAAGTGAATAAATGACGTGGAGTCACCAGCTTGTGTTTTGACGCATCCAGCAACAGTGTTTTCATATACCGCCCTCGGCCTTTGAATACGCGTCTGTCTCCAGCCCACAAGATCCTCAATGTCACTGCCAGAGGGTCAAGGTGAGCTTTTAGAACCCAAGTGCGGTGATATGTTTTCATGCTTAGGATCGTACTAACCTGCTCACTTCCAGTCCAAACGGCAAGCACGATGGCCGTGAACCTCGACCAACAACACGCTGCTTTTGAACGACAACAGCGATCAAAGATAGGCAGCATCGGTCATGACCATCAATGCACTGTTTATGAACAACAACAAGCTAGCTCTTCTGATTTCGGTATGCTCCAGCATCCCTCAGAATCTGGAATCTGAGACTAATGGCTTAATCGGTCAACATAGTCTCACATCGAGGACAAGAAGTCTGTACAGAAGTCTGCGGAGTCTTCTCTCCATCGCTCCATAATCCAGCGCTCCAACCTAGAGGAGAAAATCCTTTGGACAACCCTCAATACCACTGTCCTCGTTGCGACACTACCTACTCACGTTCCTTGGCAGTCAAGCAGCACTTTCCTCGATGTATCGAAACTAACGGCAACCCCGACTCTCTCAGATGGTTTGATCATGAGAGTAAAGACCTTACCGTTACACGGAATCTGAACACTCTAAAAGCTGCTGTCACTCCGAGCAAGCACAAGCGAAGTGCATTGGCCATTGCTTCTCTGTTGGCGGATGAGCCAGAGGCATTCGTGGTTATGAATAAAGTCGACAAATGGGTTGCCATGGCAGCGGAGAAACAAGCAGCAACTGTTGCTTCGATGTCGAATAACTCAAATGGGATAGGAACCTTGGCCACACACATTCCGACCCCCGTCACGAAGTCAATGGTGGACACGTCAAGCCGTAAGGACACGTCAGTAGTCAAAAAGCCAGCTAAGGCGCCCACTACGGCACCCAAACAGGGAAGCACACTCGCGATCCCCGCAGCACGCGACCAGTTCGTCACCCTAGCGGGCGAGCAACCGGAACCAGGACCGCAAAAGCCGAGGAAGCGCAGGGCGCCTATCCATGGCAGGAACACAGCCCACCTGTTCAATAATGCGGGGGTGCTCATGCCATCGATTCCTGGGATAGATATCGTCACGGAACGCTTGTTTGACAAAGGGGAGATCATGTCCCTAGGACCATCGCGTTCGCACAATAGCTATTACCCAACTGGAGAACCACTTGGTGGCTCCTTCCTACTGGACCACTCGAGTGACAAGAAGCGCAAAAGGGATAACGAGAATTGATTGGGACATCAGAGAGAGACATCGGTCACGTCGCTGTCGAGATTCTACTAACCAATTGATGTTACCCATAGGTTGGATGAAGCAATTGTTGGAAATCACAAAGCCGACCGGGCTGCAAAGAAACAGGATATACTCAGCATCACCAATCTTTGGACCATTGCATCCACTCTCTGCGCACCCTTATCAAGGCAGTACAAGGAAAGCTTTGTCACGATGTATTGAGTAGAAAGTGTTAATCCAGCTCCCTCTAGCACAAAGACCTTGTCACTCAGTGTCAAGAACTAGCCCAATGAACTTCTTTCATCAAAGGAAATATAGTTCACAAAGATATGACACTGACTGACGAGCCAGGGTCTGATTGTGTTGCAGGTTCCATCCACATCGAGACCCTATTTACAATAATGCTCCTCCTTTCAACTTCCTTCTTCACACTCCCTCATCTTCATGACTGCACATCGCGACAACCCCCATATCCAAGCGGATCAAGTTTCAGGAAAACCAGGCCACCAAAAACCAAATCCCTAGACAAATCTCAACCCAAAGTCGTCAGTCATGGCTTCCTTCGCCACGAGCGAAACGTCCCTCTTAGACACATCCTCATTCGAAAAAATGATTCCGTCCAATGGCGGCAGCCCCTTAGTCGTGAATCAAGATCTGCCCGAGGGTTTGCGAGCTGGCTACACAGAAATCAAGACTCTTTGCGAAAAGATGGATACGCGTTTGCACATCCACAGCTATGCAAGAGAACTCTTCGAGGCGGTCTATGAATCGGAAGAGTTTGTGTCTGAGCCTCAGAAGACAGTCGTCGCTGGCTGTTTGTTTATCGCTTACGAGGCCACCGAGGACGACCCGGTAACGAGAGAGGCAACCGGGGGGTACCGCATCTTGCAAGAGAGCAAGATCTCCTACCACGAGCGCTCTATCTTAGCGCCAGCCGCAGATCTGGACGTACTAAGGATTTTTGCAGCCCTCGAGGAATTCTTGCCCAAAGCATCCGTCGGGGATGCCGATGAGGTGATGGAACCAGCTGTTGTCAACGAAGCTAAGGGGTATAACGCCGCCCTAGTAGAGAACGAGAACCCAGATGACGCAGACTCCAGTGTTGGTGACTCAACCAAATTCTTTCGAGCGGCCTACAAAAGAATCGAGACCCTTTGCGAATGCCTACCTATACCCTCTCAAATCCTGTGCAATGTTACGGCTCGTATCAAGTCCCTTTACAAGAATGTTCACCTTTCAGGAGGGTTTGAGCAGGATGAACAAGCAGCAGTCGTGGCAGGATGTTTCTACCTCGCGTTCCGCCAGCTAGGAGTACCTCGCACCTTTCGGGAAGTCTGGATCGTAACCCGCGTTCCTATCGTGGACCTCGAGGCGGTGGTGAAGGATCTTGAGGAATTTTTTGCTGAAGAGGCTAGGCTCGAGATACAGTCGGAGGAAGAGGCGGAATATCTGTCCGATGAGCCAGACACTGTCTCCTCTTCATATAGGGCCCACTCGAGTGACGATAGCGAGGCGGAGGGACCAGCTGATGAGGGTAGAGAGAGGCTGGGTCCGCGCTGGACCTAGAAGAGAGATAAGTTGTGGTAGTATTGCTCGCGTAGATCTGATCACCGCTGATGTAAGATAGATGGAGAAGGTTCTGATAGTTAATGGGCTAATGAAGCAAAGACAAACGCTGGGTATCCCTGAAGGCGGCTAGTCAATCATTCTCGTCTACGTGTCCCAGATACTGTGTTATTACCATGTCGGACATTCCCACGAGTTGTGCAACAGTTTGGGCGCAGAAGGTGGAGATTTCAACGGCAATGCCTACTCATGTCCATAAAATTGAAAGTGCTAACCGATGATATACTCTCCTAGAGACCTAAATCTCTCCCGTTCCTAGTCCCATATTCTTCTTTCCTCTGGTACCTCATCCGAACACCCAAATTAAATCCCCAGACAAGTCGCACGGCGAAAGTATCAACCATGGCTATCAGTAAATTAGTTTACCTTCGCCAGAAATCCGCTCTTCCCTACCGTGTCCAATCAACTGCGTTCGATACCCAGCTCTACGGGAATGAAGTACAGCTGATCAGAAACTATCATTTCGAAGCCATGGTTCCATTTGGCACAAAACATCTACTCCAAGTCAAGAAATCCACGCGAGCTTGCTGGCTGCTTACCAAGAATTCAAGCGCCTCTACGAAGCCATGGGCTGCTATCCACCGCAATGCGAAAGAGCTCTACGAAAAGTCCTATGCATCGGGCCATTTTACTTGGTGGCCACAGAACACAGTCATTCTAAGGTGCCTTTTCATTGCTTTCTCTGACACGAGGTCGACTCTATACATTCGACAATGCGATGTCTTAGCGCCAAGGATGAAACAGAAGAGGAATGCGTCGAAACCCTCAAGATATCCTTCATCGCGCCAATAGTCGACATCAACAGTAGCAGGATGGATGAGGCGCCCGAAGCTAGTGACCTTTCCAGGCCGCTAATATCGGCTTATCACGAGAACCAGGTCTTCTGCGACTGCCATTCTCTCCCAGACAGAATCACATCCTACGCCAAACTCTTCGACTTTGTTTATGAGCGCTGAGATCTCGAGAAACGCGGAAAAGATGCTATTGTTGTGGGCTGCTTATACATCGCTTGTCGTCAGATGAAAATGTAAGAGCTACGCGGTGGTCCGTCGTCTGACCAACGTTCAGATCTTAGACATCGAAAATGATGTTAAGGACCCCAAGGAATCTGTCTCTGCTCATCATGAGGCAGAAAAACATGAGCAAGAGGAGGCTGGTGACCGACCATAGGGGCCAAGATATATCTCTGCTTTCGACGTCACCAACTCGCTCCAGACCTCGGGATACCAGGATCCTGGACGTGTACGTATTGTCTAGTTGTATACAATGTACAATCACGTGATGCGCGACCCCTCCACAGCTCACTTAGCACGGTACTTTCCGACCATGCCGATAGGAGTACGGTAGAGATCTCGAAGCTGCCTACGAGTGTTGAAGACCGCTTTCTGCCTATCGAGATGTTCCACCGACGTGGCGAGAAGGAGGACCAGAAGACCGGTACGGGCCCCGTCGCAGTGCCCGGCAGCAACGTCACCTTTATCCTCGGTAGGAAGCTCAGAGATGGTAGAGTCATTGACTGCAGCCCACCAAGGGACAGACTCACTTTCACTGTCGGAGATGATTGCATGGACACCGATGCCTTCCACATCGGAATGAAGGGCATGTTGGTAGGAAGGAACGTCGCATCATCGTCCCAGAATGTTATGCGTTCACCCCTGAGGAGTGGGTGGCACTTTTCGGTGAGTCCCACATTGGATTGGATGTAGGCTTTGACTTGAAGCTGTTGAAGATTGAGTAGGGGCCGAGAGTTGGCTGGAGGCCGGCGTGGTGAGGTAAGAATGCGCGAAATTGCTTTGACCTAGGTAAGATGGATAGAGGTGGAGCTAATTGCAGATGAAGCGCAGGCATTGAGTGTTTCAAACGAGGCAGCAGATTGATGTTCCTGGGAATATAAGAGAATGATCGCAGTCAGAAACGCATTTTTCCATTGTTTAAATCTTGTTTTCAAGTCCATGACTCTTCTCATACTTACAGGCACCGAAACAATTGCCAATACCCAAGCCCCGAGTCGGCTGATTACCTCGCCGAGGCGGATCCTAATTACAAAACTCTGTATTCTTCCCAATAAACATAGAACGCGTAGATACTCAAGTACATTGTTCTCCGCTTCCCTTGGGCGTTTTATCTTCCCCCAAATTCGACAAGCCACTACAGTCAACCAATGACCACCCAACTCAGACAGGAGAAGACTCAACATCCACTCTTCAACCTAGATCCAGGAGTTAGCAGCCGTACATCATCAGAAGTTTTCCATCAGCAAGTCAGGCGGAGTAGCAATCCATAACGACGGAACCTTCTAGCGATAAAATTTGATCCAAACGACAGTGATGTCAGAACTCTTTTTCGCTGCCTTCAAGCAACTCACAAGCAGTGCAAGTGGATGGAAATTCATTGAGGACGCCACATTCCAAGGAAAATAAGCTCTAACACCACGTCTACGACAATCCTAGCCAATTCAGCTCTACTCGGAGATAACATCACACACTAGAAGGGACGAGTTACTATGGAACTAACGATGCGTCTTTTTACGATGATTTGACTGTTCCATAAAAATGCGGCTCATTGATGAGTCTTCTTCACGTGGCTTGTTACAAATGTCTGGTTTCACGGATCTTGTCTCATGTGCCTTTTTCATGCGTCTTGAAACCTTGTGTTAACCACCCGATGGGTTTCTTGTGGCAATGGAAGCGTAAGACACCCTCGTAGACCCTGAAAATTGGCAACGTAAACGAGTATATCATCAGCTCAAGAGGAAAGGCAAACTCACATTGCCTCTTGGTCTAGCTGCCTGGGGACCAACATTGTTTCATCGATTTGCAGCAAACGCCGCACAGAAACTTCCATTGTCCAGGTCGACAAGAACCAATCTCAACGGAAGGAGTTTGCTGAGGCACAAACAGCCGGTTTGGGTACGCCGTCCGACCGGCACCAGAAGAAGTTTCATGCATCATGTCGCTGGCCCAACTTAACACATTCACTGTTTCAAACCATTGTTGCCCTCTTTGCCATCAGCTGATCACTACGTCAGAACGAAGGCGCAGTCGTCCATAAAGCTCTAAGACATGGCCCATAACACCAATCGTTACTCATCTGAGTCAAAAGTCTTCGGTCTCCCTCTTCTTTCGTCTTCCCCATACAATCTGGTTGTCGTCAACCTCGCACCTCGTAAAGTACTTAAGCCATAACATCTCATCTTTCATGAAATCAGTTCATCAAGGCCAAAGGCAACCAGGAAAACACGATCAAAACATCTACCATGTCCTCGCAAGACATCTCGCATTCTCAGAGGGAAATGTCTACGCAGAACAGCATTCCGGATCAAGACAACTTCACGCTAGCGGCAGAGATCGCCAATATCTCCACAGAAAACGCGGTTGTTGCTCCGTCTGGGACGGGCTCGGTCCACGAGCGGCATGTTATCAAACTCACAATCGCCTACAACGAAATGGACCTTCTTGTTAAGTCCTTGGGTGTTTCCCACGAAGTCGCTGGTCACGCAAAATCACTGTACAGCGCAGTCTACAGCTTCAGCGACATTGAAGAACTCCAATCTCAGCACAACGCCATTGTCGCTGTGTGCGTTCATATTGCCTGCGGCGAGAAGAATCAGCAACGATCTATGCAAGAAGTCTCCAGATCATCCCACGCAACGACCCAGCAAATGCTCATCGTGTCCGGAAAATTGAAGGACTTCTTCGCTACCGGACCGGTACGGGGACCCCTGCTCTCCGAGGAGGACAAGCGTTTGCAATCCGCCTATGACACCCTCGCTAGCATCTCGGACCCAATTAAAATCGATCCGATTGTCGTGTATTACGCCAAACGTCTCTGCAAGGAGGTTTGCAATTCTGGCAGCTTCAAAGACGAAGAGGAAAGCCTTACCGTTCCCTGGTGCCTATTGATTGCCTCCCGTCAATTAAAAGACCCACGATCCTTTGAGGAGATATTCACCATACTTCCAGGTGCTACCAAGGCCGACATGGGAAGAACAGGGGAGTCCCTCAAGGTGTTCTTTGCTGCAGAGGATAGGCAGCAGACTACGGAGGCGTCACAGACACAGGGAACTTCCACGGGTGTCGGTGCAGATGCTCGCTCCACTGGCAAAGTTGTGCGTACACTGCAGGAATTGATCGAACAGCTAAATACGGAAGAAGATTGAGGAGGTGGTGGTGGTGCTGGGAACGAGTTGATGGAGTCGCAGAGTATTGCTAGTGTGTATGGCAAAAGAAAGGTGGAATTCTTGCAGATGTACATGTATGATAAGATAAGGATCATGCAATGAAGCACAAACTTATCACAATGATTGCTATCCGAAAGCACAATTGACGGTCCTACTGATTTCCTCCCACTGACCACTCAGACACGCCCGCCCCAGAGTCTACAGGTCTCAGAATAATTAGGAGAAAAATTCCTACCGGAAAGATTTGTCCTTTCTCCGACCCTTTTGCACGTGCGTACAGCGCGACTGCGAAAAAAACCTGAGCCCCCAAGTCTTCCACCCCATCACCACACCACCAGCCCCAGCGACTCAACACTGCACATCAGCCTTTAATCGGGACCGTACCATCTTCTCATTGCTAACACAAGGCTGCCGGCACCCATTCGCCGGCGCTCCGGCCTACTGCGTACTCCATGTATAGGCCCGACTCATCACCCTCCATCTTAACCACAGCCTCAGCCACCCAAAACCAAACTTCAATAGGACCGAGTAACGCAACCGCTTAGGGCCCCTTCTGCAACCACATATTTTGGAAATAACCCCTACATATTTCCACTAAATAACGCCACCACTTGGCTAATGAAAACAAGGCTTGAAAATAACGCTTAGGATATTTCCAAAACAAGTAGAATATGTGTACGGTTCCGTTCTGTAACCCTGTTTCTGAGGCTGAGTCAGAAATCAGAATCGTCGCAAAAATTATCTTCTCCGTAAAAAATCATTGAATTCCTACCATTCCACATCACCATGGCCGAGATACCTGCTACTACTACTGCACAGGCTTTGGCTATCATTGATACTCCTATTACTCCCATTATTACCCCAAATAAGCCTGCTCTATGTCTATCGGTACCGATGTCTCATTGCCTATGATTTGGAGCCAGACTATAAAGGCAACATTTCGAAATGATACAACAATATCGTCTTAATTAGCAAGAGAGTAGACACCGGCTTCAAATCTGAAGCATGGATAAGAAAAAGAGAATAATATATATATATCGGTCATAGATGTCCACTATTCTTGGCGTTCTTAGCCTTATTTTGGCTGAAAACAACCCTCGAGGGTTGTTTTCAGATATTTTCAAGCCTGTTTTCGCTTAATAAGCGAAAATATGTGGAAATATGGTTACAGAATGATACCCTGTATATATTTGACGCTAAGCTGAAAATTAGTGGAAATATCTAGGGGTTATTTCCAAAATATGTGGTTGCAGAAGGGGCCCTTAGTATTGACACCATGTTTAAGAGAATCAAAAATCCGCAAATGCTCAAGGCTTTTTCCGTAGCCCTTATCGCCACAGCTTGACTGGGGGCTAGTGAGGGAGAGGCACAGCACACACTTATGGCAGGATAGCCGAGATTGCCATATTAAAAGAGCCTTAAATAGGCCGTGTCCCCCCGTTTTTTGCTCTTCATTCTTGTTCCTCTCGTCGCAAGAAGAGGTTTTTTGGACTTTTCCCACCCACCCGCGCCTTGTTTTTTTAGCGTTTCCTTGTACTTAGACTCCAGGTCTTCTACCTTACGTAGAGGGAGTTTTCCTAGGGCTGAGCTGCATAGTGGACCGCTGTCTGCGTGCGGCTGGGCCTTAGGACCCAGCCAATCATCATTTAGAACTCATTGTGCGTGTAGTTTTCATGGGACGTTACGCGAGACAGCACTAGGCCAGCATCTGAAAAGCAGACGCCGCTAGCAAGTGGCGCGGAACGGTCGCTGTGGTTGCTTGGTTGGGCATGGCTACCTATTCTTTATCTAAGGATAACAGAATGCCGCTGCGGCGGATACAGAAATGTGATGGCTCCATGGGTGGAAATGTTGTGAGGCTCCCTCTGCGATTCTGCCTCCTAGAAGTTAGCGGCGGCTTTGTGGAATATGACTTCTGGAACTTGTCTCGAATCTGACGTCTTTGGCGATGTTGGTGGAGTCAAATGGGGTATGGGGGGCTGGCGCTTTGTGTGTTTGGGTGGGATAGGTTCGTTGTAAGATTGCCAGGGTGCGGATTGGGGGTTGCCGTTGGGAATGGATTGAGACATAGTGAACGAGAGAAAGATGGCCAAGAGCAGCCAAGGCCTGCGCGCAGGAAAGATGATGCTGTGTGCGATGGGCTAGAGGATGGAGAAGGGTTTTAGTGTTTCAATTTCGGCTATTGAGCATGAACGCTTTGGTATAACCTAGCTAAAACGGCTGTCTACTATCGACTAGTGTTGAGCAACAAGCAACCGGTGTAGCAAATCCTTGCTCTATGACACAGTATGTGTTCGCCAAGATGTCACTACGATTTCCGCAGTGAGCGTACAGTGTCCAGTCTCGCTCCGATCAATTTCGCCTCTCCCATCTGGGAATTAGCTTGATACCGTGGAAGTCGATCGAAAGCTTTTCAATCAGCACTTTAGTGAGCACTTGGAACTTTTGGGTCGCAGCTTGCTCCTTCCTGAGAGGCCTGTCGATAGTCCGTACAAGAATACGATAGATCGGGGAACTCACTTTACATGTACATCCCTGACCATCAACGAAGAAGACACAATCTAGAGGTATCTTACCACTATGTGCAAGCATATCTCTGCAAATGTGCTGTTCCCGTTCAAGCATGCCCACAATCTCAATCCGCTTCGGATGCCCATAACTGTAGCCATTACCATCCAGGTACCCCAGCAGAGTCTGGCCCATACGACAGCGACCGACCGGATACCGACAGTTTGTGAGGTCTAGGCGGAGAAGATCTAGACCGTCGATACCTAGCCAAGCACTAATCGTCGAAGACCAAATATCGAATGTGAGCCCTTCCTTATTCTTTTCACGCAAAAGGTCCCATCTCTCGGCGTTCGTCAGTTCCTCGAAAGGGGTCCTCCTGGAAGTGCCGTCGGGTCCGTCTTGCCGGTACTTGACGCACTGTAGAGTGTATGCGATGTTCTCTGTGATATCCTGCATATCGAAGGCAATATCGAGCCTCTTGACCTGGGGAAATGGCTGATGAATGCACCACCAGCCGTCATCGTCGATAGAGCCCAGAGGTACAAAAAATGTGTTCTTGGCGGAGTAGACCACGTCAGAAGCATCTCTCTGCATTTGGGTGCTGACAGCGGAGAGCAAAGCTGGTGGTGCAAGGATCAACAAGACTCTGATTGACATCTCTGTCAAGGACAGACTGACCGCATTCTGGTCGCTCGTAGTCCCAATACCGGAGCCACTGTTTTACCGCTACATCTCGTCTCAGAGCGACCGTCCCGCGGACGAGAAGGAATCCGAGGATGTCGTATCGGATTTCGATTGTGAGACCGAAGTAGCGGAATGGGTCTTCGCGTCTGGAGTGAGGTGCGCTACGGAAATAATCATCCAAATCATATTACGAAATGCTGAACTCTCATCGCTTTGAATCTCAAGCTACAAGTAGCTCTGATGGTACATGGTTTATACGACGGTGACGGTAAGAGAGTAAAGTGATAGAGAAAGCTATGACTGCTGGAGACGAAGGGAAGTGCTCAAACTTCACGACGCCAACGCACGTGACGCGTCGCGTTAGTGTACTTTTAGTGGTATAATTCTCTAGTCGGTTTTTTGGGTATAAGAACACGCAGCACATATCTTGTCATCCAGAGATTTTGACAAGATGGATTTTGCTTATAGACTAGTGCAATTCGATATATGAAACAGCTATGTCTGCGAGACGTTTTACTCAACCTATTCTCAGGGAATCTCTATCATCAGTCATTTGTTGCACTTCCAGGTCAAGGCGACTAGCGTGAAACGGGTTACTCTCTACGCCTGACTCGAGTCTTATGTCCATAACACCTCATGCCTAGATCAATTGCGCTAGCCTTTGGGACCCCTAACAAATTCATTTCAGCGGAGCAAACGCCTTTCGTTACCTTGGGAGCCAAGGACACATATCCCTCCTGCTGTTATCGGACCTGTCAGATGAAGGACAAGTGGAACGGGAAGGTAGAGAAAATCCCTGCCGTGAAACCCTATGAAGCCATTGGACGACCTTCTCTTTCCCCGTAATCCCGTCACCAGAGACTTTATGCACGATTTCTTGTACGAGAAGATTGCGTCAAAGCCAACAAGATGCAGGATGCAGATATGGGGGGTGGGAGGAGATGCGGACTTTGCCAGTTTGCGAACTCATTTCGCAGCACCTTGACAGTCTGTGGTCCTCGATGTAACCATTAACAAGAATGCGCGTGCGTTCGAGATACGCCCTCATCTGGAAAAGAGTTCCCTCCGAACAACCGCACGACGCACACATAGCACCTTACATATATACTTATGATTCAACGACGTCTTCAAAATCACGCACTAGCGCACATCGTATGCAAATGACTGACACATCACTTTAGATAAAGGTTACCGCTTAGCGGATTTCTTCAGCTCCATAGTCGCCAATGTCTGGTCCTACCAGCTGTGAACAGTGCAGAATCTGCGTTCCTCTTACAGACAGAAGATAGCCTCATAAAGCACCGTTGGCCACACAGATATGCAGAACCGTCCCAACAGAGATACCATGGCTTATATGAAGCAAAGCGTCACACCCGATGCAGAGACTTTTGGCAATGAGGGGCTTTTGGGGAGGGTGGGCGCATGACTGCGGGTTTCAGCTGGAGGTATAGTCTATCTGGTGGCGCCCGGCCAGGCGCGCACCGTCCGAGCGTTCCCAAACCGGTCCCTACATCTGCAGTCACCAAGATACGTATAGGTACTCAAGTATGAATACGAGGCTCTGTACTTGAACTTGGCCAAGTCACAACGAACAGAAGCTTAAAGCAACGCTAGGTTCAGCGAGGGAAGCTTTACCCAAGAATGCATTGCATCTGTGGTTGGGAGTATTTAGTTCGTATTAGGTTCGATTCCTAATGGCGCTGGTACAATGGTGTTGCGGTGCTTTTTATTTCTGGCAGCGCCATTAGCCACAGGTTTTAAAGTTCCGTCGAGCGGTATTGGCGAGGGCTTAGGTTCGAAACCCGTGCGACGCATTGATTTGTGAAGCGAAATGTTCCCCGTTAGTCATAGTCCGGGGGCGGACACCTGTTGGTTGTGGTCGTGTGGTTGGGAGTATTTAGTTCGTATTAGGTTCGATTCCTAATGGCGCTGGTACAATGGTGTTGCGGTGCTTTTTATTTCTGCATCTGCACGGCTACCGAACCGTCAGTGACAGAAGCTTAAACCAACGCCCGCATTATGTACGCGGCCGGGTCTTCGGACCCCACGGGCCACAGGCTCACAGCCCCGCTCGATGCATGATGATCGACGCTGCATCTCTATGCCCCTACGAGCTGTCCACTTATCTGCCGTCGGATAACACGGGGTGGAAAACCATGGCAGTCAAGTCGGAAACTCGCCGGGTAGCGAAAGGGAAAAAGTGGAGATATCTCCATCCAGTCACCTAAGAAATCCTGCATGGCACTGGTTTGGGGAATGCAGGAAAAATTTGTTAGGTTTCTCAGACCCGCTGGGCTCCTCAGCTGGAGTCTGAAGACCATGGCGTTGAGCCTGTCGGGTTTCCTGACACTCCGTTGGAAAAGCAACGCCATCATAAGTGGGGTACAGCATAAGCGTCTGAATAATGACGAAGTCGGAGCCGTCCGCTGTTTTCCTTTCCGGTCGAGAGGCGTAGGTAGATTGAGCCAACTTTTTTTTGGGCTCCAGAAACCACAGTCTGCTACTTCTCATCTTGCTCTTTGGATTTTGGAGAGACAAGCCAGTTGGCAGTCACGAGGGGAAAGGCAAAAGGTTGCTTCGCCATTTTACGAAAAAATCCGCCTTTGTCCTCCAGGACCTCCCTTTCCCTCGTAAATAATCGACTTCTCTCTCTCTCTTTTCCTGTTCTAAGAGCAAAACGAGAAAGCAAAAGCGTGATTCTCACTTTTCGAAGAATCCGCCTTTGACCTCGCCCGCTAATTTCTAAACCCTTCAAGAATGGGTCGATTTGAGCGGAGAGAAGACCGGATATCACCTTCAAAAAATACGTTCTGACTCTGGGATTCAACGGAGTTTGTAATATTTTGAGGCACTTACTTCGCACATAAAAACGAAAGACTTGATGTAGTCTTTTATATTACACCAATGTAATCGCTTAATCACAAATACTGATGATGTTTTTTGTTTCAACAACTCATGCGCTTTACTCACAACAGAGATCTCCGGCGCATTCGTGCAGGAGATCTCATATGAAGCTAGGTCTTGATTGGCCAAGGCCTCTTCGATGGTCTTGACCGGTGCGGCGACAGCAAGCATTCTGGAAGAGCCCGGAGTGCAGTTCTCCATGGTCATCGAGGAGCGTTTGCAGACCAGGTATGGGGCCTCAGTCACGGACAACGCCCCTGAGACGCAAAGGGCGGCGTACTCACCAAGGCTGTATACCCCAGGATTTCCAGAGTTCCGCAAGCCCACGTTCAACAAATACTCTGGCTGGTTGAATATGAGCCATGTCCTTGGATACAATATCCGCGTTGTCATCTGCAATTGTATCGACAGCGTAAGGAAGGTCGGGTACGAAAGAATGTTGTCCCGGAAACCGGCAGACGTCTCAAAAAGTCGTTTGCCCATGCCCGGATAGAGTGAGCCTTACCGGTGAAAGCGAATACCATACGGTTGTGACCACTGGCGGACTAGGCCTTGGCTACGGCAGGTTGTTCGAGGTCGTTAGAAATGAGTCGGATTAGATCTTTTGATGTTTGAACAACGTAAGAGGATCTTAAGACGTCGTGCATGCGTCGGGCGGTAGTCGCGTACGCCACGTCTGAGAGTGCGGCTTCTTCGTCAGACTGTAGGTACTGGAGGAGTCGCTCCTTGTTTGCTTTGTGCGAATAAGAAGGCCGCGCCGAGCATGCTACAACATTTGGTCGGCCATTGCGCGAATACTTCGGAGATCGACTATACTTTCACGAGGTTCCCCCATTGTGTACCTGTGCCGTGCATCTCGACATAGCCAACATCAAGAGGATCCACATTAGCCTCTTACAAGACTCGCCTCTATAGCTTAGTCTACCATTTAGCGTGTGGCTGGGTAATGGAGACAGCATCCGCAGAACAACTTTACGCAGAGCTATTGATGACTGCTTGAATGTTGTCGTTGTCAGAAAATGCATCTTCAAGGCATTTCAAGACTAGGACGCCAACTCCTTCACCCCGACAGGAGTACCCGTCTGCATCGTCGCGTAGCGTTTTACAGTTTCCAGTGGGAGACAAGAAACCTCCTCGGCTTGACCTGCTCAAAGGCTGGGGACATTCAAAAACGAACCATCACCTGCCAGTGCCGTGTCACATTCCCAGGAGAGCAAGGCAGAGCAGGCTAGAGCGACAGAGGTAGTGCCTCCTGCACATGCTCGAGGAAAGGCTTCGTACTCTGCACGGACCCGGGGAGTATGTAAGGTAGGCGGGCTGAGTGAGAGGGGACATTTCGGGCTTGGGTATTACTTATATTCATGTATTCTTCAGAACTCGGTTGTAATTATTTATCTCGTCAAAGGGGAAACACACTCTGAAATTCAAAAGCCTTTGACAACACCACAAGGAGGGGGATTTCTCGGGAAAAAAAGTGCTTCATGATTTCAAGATATCGACGGTAGTGATACTTCTCGCCGCAAATATCAAGTCGTCAAAGAGCATGTTGGTTGAACTACTCCAGCTGCTAAGATGCAATTGGTGCAGATTTCCACGGCCACGCATACACAGCAAAATCAAGTCGAATAAGGCTCTCTGACTGGCGGTCGGAAACATCTGCAAACAGCGATATTTAGGTTGGTCTTGAAAAAGGGATAGAAGGATTTCTTTGGTGTGTATATGGCTATACCTTAGGCCTTTTTTTTGACCCGCGAGATGGGGTAGTAGCTTTGTTGCTTGCATCAAGCCGCCAATGACCTGGTCCCCAGTCCGACAAAGATGGTGTGTAGCGATCCAGTAGGACGTATTGTACGTGACTGTGGAGTGCTTCTTCAATTGACTATTATTGAGCCAAAGCGTGATGTATTCATTCCTCTGTGCAGGCATATAGCATAAAGGACGTGGATAGGTACGGTAGAACAAGACATGCAGCACCAAAAGGTGTCGCCATGGAGGAGGGAAATGAGAAGGTGTAGAATTTGGAGATGTCGATCATTGAAGGGGGGGTAGATTGGAGATCAGCGTCGGCCAGCCTCTGATTTGATGCATTTTGTACCTCATTTCTAATATTTATGAGTAAATATGCAAGATGCTCAACCATGTTCCTTACCGAATGAATCGACGGGTATCTATGCGTTGTACCTTCTCCACCGAGTCCCATCCCGCAGGCCTGGTGTTGCAGAATTAGACATCAAAGATTGCTACTTGATTCGAGCCTCGCGTTGAAGTTCTTGCGACATGCTCGCTGTTTGCGGATTCAAGTATTACACAATGCCCTGTAAATGGGATGAGCTTCCCGCTACATTCAATTGGTAGGTATGTATATGTGGAGGGGTAAAGCAAAGTAGAGTAGCTTATGTACCTCGTACCTCCGCTGTTCATGTGACGCTAATGCACATCAAGCGGACGCAAAGACCGGAAGTTTGCCGGTCTGATGCAGGGGGTGAAATTGGCTATAGTACCTTGTCAGCCCAGTACTGTTCCTGTAAGTGTAGCGTGTTCCCTCGTTATACCTTACTTTATGCGCTATAGATATGTGCAGTAGACCTTCATATAAGGAAATCACCACAACCGGAAAGAGCAACTACTCCAGCCAAGTACTCAATATGCGACTCACACAGCTGCATCACAGGTATCCAAATCTTCTCACAGCCACAAGACCCAACGTCCCAAATTGACTTTATTGTACAGGAGCCCGTCCTACCTCCACCAACCACCCCACAGGTACACCCCCACGACCCACCCTATTGACCCGCAACCGCCGGACGTTGTGGCTTTCCAACCATGCATCTGGACGTGCCTTTTTTCACTGCGGGTTTGCTGACCCTGTTCGTCCTAGGCGCTATCGGCAACATGACCCTCCTCCAACCGGACAACCAATGTAGGCACCATCTCGTCATTTCCACCCCTATTCGAATCCTGCATGGCCCGCATAAGCATAAGCGCTTGCGAGATGCGCACATTTTGGGTAACGCATGCCAGAGAACATTAGTGTAGCAATCGTCGCGGGTCTGCTTGTAGCGGTCGGAACTCTAGATGGCTCTGTGATCAATCCAAATTTTGCGCATAGGATTATCAGGGGATTGCATCCAAGGCATTGGGTGGTGGAGGCCAGTGAAACGGGTTTTCACCTCGCTCGATGCGCTGATTTTGATCAGTGTCCTCGTGCTGATCGGTTCTCCAGTAGAGTCTTTCTACACGCTGATTCTAGGTGAAATACACAGTGCACGCGATGTTGGATTATACGGATCATCCTACATAGCCACCGCAGCCGTGCTACCCATCATCCTGCTCCTCGCCGCCTTGATCAGCCCCCAGGCTTTGCTTGTGAAGAACTTTAGCCGCCGCGGATCGGTGCGTTGGAAGATTCTCATCACGCTCTAGGGCGCCTCATTATCATCCATAGGGGCGTGGTTCCGCGTCGGCACTAGCTACCTTCAGTAGCGACCCGCGGGCGATCCGGGGTGGTATCAGTCCAAGGCGTGCTTCTACAACTTGAAGTTCACCACCGAGGTCACGGTCATCTGATCATGTCTCTTCCTGCGGGTCGATCAGAGATCCTATGTGCCCGATGTGGCGAATCGGCCTGGGGAGTACTCTGGCATGGTGGAAGTTGGTGGTTGGGCAAAGGGGAAAGAAGAGCATTCGGCATTAGGGGGAGGCAGTGGAAGTGAAGAGTACGTGCCGCACAGTTTACAAAGGGGCTCGAGGGAGGATGAATACAGTCGTGGGCATGTAGGAGGAAAGGGGGAGAAGGAGCACATCGTCTTGCTAAGAGCATGTGCGGCGAATGAGGGGCAGTAGACGACTGAGAGGCCTTGGAAGACTCAACTGGCGTCACACACTTTTGGTAGCATGTCAGACTTGTGGAGGAAAGAAAACGGTCTCAAAGACGCTGCTATCGCAACATTCTTTGCGTATGATAGATAGAAACAAAGATTAAACCAAGGAGTGCAGTCCAACTATTTAGTAGGGAAACTCACTTCACTTAAAAAGGCGCCGGAAACAGTGAGTAGGTAGCTTCTCCAGCCCACTATTTCCTAATCCGTCTTTTCTTTTGATTCGATATGTACGTAAGAGTTGCTGCGAGACTAAACGGTCTCCGTAACTGTCCCACAACCCAATCCCGATTTGTAGACAGGAGAATTGTTTCCTGGAGATCTTGTCGTGGCAGAGCGATAGCTTCCGGAAAATCAGGGATCGTTGTGCTTGTCATTAGAATACTGCGATGCGAAACGCACGTTCGGACGGAAGGAGTATGATCGACAGTCCCGTACCTGCACCCTCATGCAGGCGATGTGCAATCTTAATGTTCTGTCCATCCCCTTCGACTCTGCCCTCGCAACGATTCTCGCGAATCATTTGTATCTCGCCCTCATCCATGCCTTGCCTGTATCCCCCTGCATATTCGACAGTTCCCAAATTTGTCGCGGGAGTGTCTCTTTTCAGACATCACTTCTGTATCGGAAGATGCAGTCTTCCGAAAACAATGAGATCGTCATTTACGACCTCTTTTCTAGGACGAGAGATATTACTGCGACAGACACCGGTCGCTTTGCCTTTTTCCTGAGATCGCCCACGGCTATGTTTTATCGTGTGAGACGAGTTCAATAAACCGCAGTGAAAGAACCACATAAAAGGATCATTCCCGGCCAACTTTTCTACCCCGATACGAAGCTTCAAACCATCTCATCGGTCATCTCTCAACTGAATACCTTCTCGCCAACATGAAGTCTATCTTTCTCTCCGCCCTGGTTGCCTTCAGCTTCGTCGCACTCAACACCGCAATCGCACTTCCGTGAGTACATCCGAGCCCCCTTTACATCCTCCTCCTCCCCCAGCCTCAAAATCTATCTCAATCGCCCAAATCTCTCCTTCTTTCACAGCCCAGGCACCATCCTATACCTTCACTCCCAGCCTTAAGAACCAATATTAACACCGAATAGTTCCCCAGTGACCGCGACTAAGAGCTTTACTACCCCTCCCCCTTTCACTTTTCCTCCGTTCACCATCCCTATCATCACAACCCTACCGATACCTATAACGTAAGTAGCTCTACCCATTGATTTGTAACCCCTTTACGTGTTCATGTCGCGTTGACTGACAGACGTGAGATAATTAGGCTGCTGTGAACGACAATGGAGCGAGCTGCTGAAAGTGCACCGTTGCTCAACCGCATTCATCCGGGCTAGTAGACTCGCGCAGTGAAGTCTGTGGGGGAGCGAGAGCAGGGTTGCAGATACTTGATGGATACGTTGGCATTTATTTGCGGGGTGCATTGTTAATTAAGAGGAAAAGCCATGGCACGCTGGTCGAGCTGGCTGTCGGAGTTCTTGTATGGGTATTGAGAGCCTTTTCAAGGCCGTCTGTTCGATATTGGATAACAGGGCACTAGTCCATGGATGAAAAACAATCTTTCACCGCCTACAATACCCTCGTCTCGTATAGTCAAAGCAGTGACCCCGTCCTATAATAGCATTGATTCGTATCGATATTCTTTCGAAGCATACCACGTAGTAACTCTGGCGCAAATTTCTCGCTGCCCGTGCTGGTCTCGAAAACCGACACTCTTATACATCTCTCTCCTGTCCGGAACTCCTGAGTAGTGCCTAAATTTCTACGACCTTGTACAAATCCGGCCTTACTCTTGCCGTAATCCACGTCCACGAAACCTTCGCAATGACAGAAATGGCACCAAGCCAAGATCCCAGACCCGCTCCCGTCGTCCGGCTCAACCGTCTTCTATCCAGCCTCGCTCGGTCAGGGCTGCACTTGGCGATGGCTGTCGTATTTCGGCGGTTTACCTTCGAGCTCTACGAAACCGACGTTTCCGACGTCAGACTGGCGCATGATACGTTTGTGCCTGCGCTGAAGATGGATTCGAAGGGTGTCATGGTAAGGGTGATTTCGAATGAGCTCTCAGCTAGGTAAAGACGAGTAGTCGTACAGGAAATTGTCTTTCCCTCTCGCCAGCAAGGACAGACGGGCGGGTATGTTTTTTTTGGCTGCACGGTAGCGGAAGAAAGGAGTGAAACAGCTAGATAGGAGAGTGAAAAAGTTGCGTCAAGGCTCGTGAATCGATAACTGCCACTGCTCTTCCGTATCTTCGTTTGTAGTCGTTCAAGATTAATCTGCATATCTTCCGCTTGCTATCACAAGATTGAGACCGTATCACGCTAAACCTTATGAGGGTTCCAGAGCACCTGCTCTAGTCGGCATCTTACTTCGGCCTTACCATGAATGAACTGCAGTCCGATGAGTCGTCTAGAAATTCACAAAGAGACGGTCTATGTGCAAAGCAACGGACCATTTGACTGTCCGACCGATTATAAAAAGACCCATGCTGCCTTTATCAAATGCAGGTGGCTTAGAGTAGTTGTATGTCGCAACTCCACGTACTCCACGTCACCCGATAAACAAGCCTTGTCGTCGCCACTTAACCTCTCTATGTAGCCAAACCTCCCTGCACTTGGTCGTCGTCTCACTCCGAGTGGTGACTGCAGAGCTTATGGGATAGGAGGGAAAGAGGCGGAAGTATAAAATGTCGCTGTTGATTGCTCTGGTACCCTGTAGTCGTATCGCAGTCGCCATCGCTTCTACTACCAGATGCTATCCCATATCCTATCCTGGCAGGGTTCTCGTTTCAGGGATAAAAGGACAGGCTACTCAAATCCTTTCTTGATCGATTGCCACCACTCAACGACGACCTAAGTCACGACCGGCCTTTCAGCGTCGACGATTATCGATTATCAGACGGAAACCTTGCAACAAACTGATTTGTTGCAGATTTCTTAATTTCCGCCTTTGCGAAGACCAGGATGTTCTTGCCAAGACGAGATCACACTACCGCTTAAACATGGGTAATTTAGCCGGAGTAATTCGCCACTCCACGCGTTGCGCCACCAACAATAATACGCAGTCTCGTTTGGCTGGCTAGGCATCATTTCAACGATGGAAAGCATTCGAGGCATCCCCAGCTCTAAGGAAGATAACACGATCAGCACTTACTACGGTCGCCACGCGTCCTCGTCTCCTTCTAACAACCCAATTTGCAAACCGTCAAGCTATGAAACGCTCGCGAAAAGCGGACGGTGGACATACAGAAGCGGAACGGAAGAAGCCGCCCAAAAGGGCCCGGGGTAAGAAAGCTGAAAGTTTGGCGCCCTCAACTTCAGGAGAAGAAATTGTCAAATCCAATGACGCGACTTCGCCGGATCATACTACAGCCTCGAAGCAGCTCAAGAAGCCTGGCAAAACTACCAGAGCGCCAGTAGACGAAACATGCTGGTTCAGTGCAAAATCCAAGGGTATTGCCAAAGACTGTTACGAAGTCTATGTGGACGATGATGGCCTCAATTACGATGCCAGCTTGAACCTCAGCAGCATCGATGGCAACAATAACAAGTTCTACTACATCCAGCTGCTATGCCGTACGGACACTGACCAATCTAAATTTGCGGTCTGGACGCATTGGGGCCGGATCGGTGAGGCTGGCCAGAATAATCTGGATGTAAACATGTCTCTGGAGACTGCCTTTGTTCTTTTCAAGTCAAAGTTCAAGGACAAGACCGGCCTGAAATGGGAGAACAGGAGTGAACAGCCAAAGGCCAAGAAGTACACCATGATCGAAAAGTCCTATGGCAATGAAACAGACGATGAAGCAGGGGATCAGGCTCAACAGTCCAATGAATCTCCTCAGAAAATCGCATTGCCGGACTGTACGCTCAACGAGGAGTTACAAGAGCTCGTGCGCTTTCTTTTCGACGCGGGGATCATGAAGAAGTCCATGGCTTCCCAAAAATACAACTTTAATAAGTTGCCACTAGGCAAGCTGTCGAAAAGCACCATCGAAAAGGGTTACCTCGCACTTAGGGAGCTCGGCGATGTGATCTTGAACCCCAAGCTGGCCCAAGAAAAGCACGAAACATCTCTTGCGACCGCTTTCAACGACTTGAGTTCTCAGTACTACACTATCATCCCCCATGACTTCGGGCGGAACAGACCGACGCCAATCAACAGCGAAGCTCAGCTCAAAGCTGAGATGGACTTGGTGGAGACCCTAGGGAACATGCAGATCAGCAATGAAATTCTCAAAGACACCGAGTATCCAAAAGACCCGCAAGGAAATGCCATTCACCCTCTCGATGCACAAATGCGATCTCTGGGACTTCGAGAAGCGATTCCAGTTGACAGGAAATCAGTCGAATTTGGTCATTTGGAAAGCTACCTGAATCATGCGAAAGATGGCTACTGCCTTTCCTCCGACACCGCGATCCAGAATATCTACCGCATCTCTCGCTCTGAGGAAATAGACCGCTGGATCGCTGGCGGCTATGACGCTGAAGCCATGAAGACGAAACTCGTCAAAGATCATCGGAGACTACTCTGGCATGGCTCGCGAGGCTGCAACTTCGGCGGTATCCTCAGTCAAGGTTTGCGCATCGCCCCTCCAGAAGCGCCTGCTAACGGAAAAGCCTTCGGAAAAGGCATCTACCTTGCAGACAGAGCCTGTAAATCTGCCGCTTATTGTGATCCGTGGACATCAGGGCAGACTGGACTACTTCTGCTATGCGAGACACAACTTGGAGACCCAGCATATGTTCGGAGGGACCATGAGTACAACGCCGCCGATAGTATGAGGAAGAAGGGGCTCATCTCCACCAAAATGGCGGAAAATCCTGCAAATGAGCCCTTGAAATGGATGGATGCTGGTGTCGCGAATTCGGAGCTAAATGGCACGCTCATGCCTGATCATGAAGTCAAGTTGCCATCAGCGCGTGGGAATCCGAATGAGTACATCGTGTATGATGTGGCTCAGATCAAGATTCGTTATGTATTCATGCTCAAGTGGAAAGACTCCAGGCAGTGGGGTATCTATTGAACAGAGAAAATTCAGCATCGGGGAAACTGGCTGTGCCCTCGACGGAAGTGCTTGAAGCTATGTATATGCTCTGGTGGAACCGTAAAAGCGGCTGATTCAGGAATGTATCGAGGCCATGTATAAATCAGCCTTACGGCTTGAGAGAAGCTCGATGAGAATGCCAGGACTTGCCTCGCAACAAATAAAACGCTCGCTACAATGACTTTGGAAAATACTTTTGATGTTGCCATTCGACATCCTCACGGGACTCATGCATGTCGCATGCACGATCCAGTCCTCCATTGTAAGATTACCACTCGGTCAAGAAGAGGCCCAGAAATTTCAAAACATTACGCGCAATGCAAACAATGCCGCATATCAAATCCACGCTCTCCAAACTCGCTCTCATGTTTGTCAAACCAGCAGCCACGTATCAAACCCCGCAGTACCAGTACATAAAAACTAGTCGTTGATATCCCCGCACATGAGACCCCTTCAAGGAAGGAAAAAGAAGCCATGGCTCACCCATCCCACCCACACTCCCTTCACCGAGAGCCAACCAGCTCCCCACAGGGATCAACGCATTCCACCGAGACAAGCTCGATGCACGAAGCCGATTCCCTCCCCCTCTTAATTCAACACCGAACCGGTACCCTCCACTCTCCCACTACCGGCCACGCTTTCATCCACGTCCACCCATCGCCTCCCGTCAGCCTCGCATTGCTTACCAAAAACGCGATCCAAGCGCTCAGAGAGACGCACAACTCTAACAACAGCCAAGTCATACCCGGGACCGCCATTGTCGAATGCCTGACCGTGCATTGGGGGGTTCCAGCCCAGAGACCCGGTGCGCTGGCTTTCCCAGCTACCACTCAGCTTTCCGAAGAGAATGTGGAGATGGTCTTGAGTTACATGCGTCGTGGTAGAGGCTATGACTTTGTGGAAATCCGGTTCAAAGAGCCGGCCGCGGACCCACCGTTGGGATCTCTTCCAATCCGCTCTTCTCGGGAGGTCCCACCCGGTCGATCGATGAACAAAAAGGAGCATCAACCCGATCAGCCGAAGGGTGCTGGAGGAGGAGGGTTTGAAGTACCGCCCGAGCTGGACTATCGTTCGTAGGGTCAGGAAAATGCCAAAGGAAGAAATAGTAGACTTGGTTGGGCACTCGAGCCATGCAGCCTGATTCTTCTAGAAGAACGGATGCGGAACTCGAAGGTAGGCACGTATGACTGGTAACAAGGAACTCCGAGCCTTAATGTCACAAGGAACCTTGAAAGACTTCACAAAAGCGGGGACAAAATCCTGCCCTTGCCAAGAGGAGACAAATGCTCGCACCCGAATCTCAAAGCCATATTTTACACCCCCCGATAACCCACACCAATCCCCTCTCCGTCACTTCTGCAACCTCCTCCATAACCTATCCAGGATTACCGCCGGCTGTGGAGCGCCCGCTCGTGAACCGGGGGAGTTTAGAAGCGAGACGGAGGAATCTCCCAACGGAGACACGACTCGGTGCGGTAATACAGTTCTCGAGAAGACGGGGGCATATGGTCCGACCGAGGTCTACCTTCTTGCGGTATGGATAGCAGGAAGCTCGCATACACGGACGGTTGTGGCCGAGGAGTCTTGAAAGTCGTTCTTTGAGCTCGGCACCACCAAACTAACGCACTGCATAAAGTGAATCAATCCATGCTGCCACACTCACAGCAAGCAATAGAGATCGCCATCGGTCATGCTCAGTGGAAAGTCAAGAGTACTATGCCCGTCGAGAAAGATCCACGATGCAAAAGCGCGCTTGCATCTTGAGCACATATCTGCCAAAATGGCTATGAGACGCATCGTCCCCACGTTCGCCCTTCCTTCCTCTCCCGGGTTACCCTGTCCATGATCCCTGCACCTGCGACCTCTATCCCCCCAACCTTGCACCAACCCCGCAATCCCATTCCCTGACTCCATGCCCCAACATCAACGAAAACCATCAGGCCCCCCTCCACCCCAATCTCAGCTACCCATCCCTCAAACACGGTCCCACCCCGCTCGCAAACTACATGCTATCTTCTCCAGCAAAACCCCCCAACCTCGACACCCCGCGCGCCGCTCGTAATCCCACCCCGTCATCAAATCCAGCCCGACCCCCTCTCCCGCAGAGGACCAGTTCCAGGCTCATCGGCCTCATCGCACGCACGCAAGGCTCGGGCACTCCCTCCCTCCCCCGGGGCCAGCATGCCCCAACTTCCCTCAGCCGATGGGAGACACAACTTTACCGCGACAGCCGTGTGCAGCGAGCGGAGTGTGACAGACTTTGGATCCGTATCGTAGATGCGCGCGCTCGCTGTTGGCGCAGACGTGGACGTAGACGTAGGCGTCTATATCAATGGATGAAAGAAGATCCGATCCGATCCGATCCGATCAGGGACAGTCCTTTGCAGATTATGAGGCAATCCAGCAGGGGGCATCTCATTGCCTACTTATTTCCTTTCGCGCGGGTGTATATTGCCTCCCGCTGCGCATGACGATCCCCATCCGTGAATGAACGCGGCACAGGCCGCTTTGGAGAGGGTAGGCGATTATCATTCGGCTCGTCGGGAGCGCGGATGTGGAATCTGAGCTGAGCTGAGCTAGGCTGATGACGATGATGAAAGGGGCGGTGAGGGATGTGTGTGTGCGTGGTTGTGCTGGAAGGGAGCCCTTGTTGTCGTCGTCGTTGGCGCGGATGATGAAAGGCATCATCTCTGTTCACCGGCCGCGGTTCGGATGACGAGTCAGGTGCGTCCTCCTGTCCTTCTATCCGTCGGGTCCGCGATATACATCCGCGACTTCGTGTTCGTTGCGCCGACTTTCCCGCTCATCGCTGCTGCGGGCGCTTGCTGATGGGTGGCGGTTGGCTTCGCGATGAGGTCTCCGTGGCGGGGTTTCTTGGTCAAGTTGATGGGTTGATTGGGCTTCGGTTCTTGGGTATCTTTGTTGCCAGTGCTGTTTTGTTTTGTTTTGTGATTCTTTCATTTTCAGGGTTGATGGGTTCGCTGGATATGCCAGCTTGCGACTTGTACGTCTCTTCGCGTCTTCCACGTCTTTCCAGAGATAGATTACTGTGTAGCGAGGGTGCGGTCGATTCTATCGGCTTATTTCCTGAAGCAGACTCCGGCGCTTTCCGTGCTCGTCCAAGGTTATCCCTTCTGCGAGGCCGTCCGGCGGCGGCGTCATCGTGTAACCGCTGCCTTCCATCTCGACCATGGGCTGCTTCATGTTGATAAATTCAGTCAGTACCAGCTCGATCGTAAACGCTATGCTTTTGGTGAGTCGGTAGCAATGATGTGTAGCACTGGATCGATAGGTGCGCATACCGCAGCTGAAGACAGGGAGATTAGGATCTTGTTATCAGACAGTACCTAGTAACCGCAGTGGCCGAATCGAGATATGATAGAATGAATACATCCGTTCCTCCCTCCCACCCCACCCTCTCTCACCCAAAACCAGCACTCACGGTGTCTCAAACCCAACCTCAACCCAATCATACCCCTTCACATCCCTCAAACACACCAACATAGTCTCCAAACTCTCATCTCTGAGTTCCGTCGTTGGGGGGAAATGATGATAAACCTGCTTATCGACATCCCAATGAACGACGAGGCTTTCGATCCACCCGCGAAGAGCAAGCGCTTGCGGTGCGCTGCCCGTGCTGTCGTTCTGCATGCCTGCCCAGACAGCCTGTTTCAGTTCGTTGAGGCTGACGGACGAAGGGACCGACACGGTCGCGTGGTAGGGGTCGGAAGTCCCGGTCACGGGATTGGGGACGCGGTGTTGGATCGTCAGGGCGACTTTGTCGAAGGCGGCAGGGGGCGGGTCTTGGTTTGTGAAGGCGGCGTGCATGTTACCGATGGACGACGGGTGGTACAGACTCGAGTGTACGATCAGCGGGCTCTCCGTCATCGATGTGGGACCCATGACCGGAATCGTCGTTCTACTTCGTGGCCGAGTGGCGGTGGTGGATGGCAACATGTCGGCTGGAGGCTTCGCGGCCATTTTTATAGGGTTCCAGTCGATGTATGGCGAGTTTTTCGCTGCGTGGGTCGATGCTCCGGTAGATCCCGCCCCTCGAGTCTGTCCCATGCGTCTCGCGCGATCCCTTTCCCACTCCGCCTTCCGGAACGCACCTTCAATCGCGAGAGAGGTACCGTATTCCTTGGCCAGTAGGAGCCTTTGCGAAATGATGTTCTGCATAGCCGAGAGATTCTGCTGCATCTCCACCAGTGGAGATCCGGGACGTAGTGGTTTGAGAGGAGCCAGTAGGTCTAGTGGAGTCAACAGCGGAGTCTCCGCAGAGTGTACGGGCGGGAGAAAGATTGGAGTTTCGTTACTCTGCAAGCGGAAGTCGTCAATGAGTTTGTGGCCGAGGTACTGGTTCTCAGACCCTCTTCTGGGCGGAGGCGGCGGGGCCATTGCTGTCATTCCAAGGCTGGTTGAAGGATGGAAAATGCCTTCCTGGTAGATGGACGTCGTGTTGGCCATGTGTCTTTGCATAGTTGCTCGTGTGATCTGTATCCAAGCAGTGGACTTGGTTTGGCGGACACAGAGCGCCCAAGAGCATATAAATTACTCAGAAACTCCGCACTGCGGAATGTATCCGGAAGATTACCAACCTCTGCCAATTCCGTGGTTTGAGATCGCTTGCTAGTAGCGAGAAACTCTTGCTGCACGTGCCAATACACCATTATAACATCTATTGAAACTTTGTTTTGTTTCGTCTTTTTTGTCTTTTTTCCGAATTCTTTCCCAAATGAAAGCACACAGGTGAAAATTGGCCAGCTGGGAAAGCAAGTACAAGGAAAGCAATCTCCGTAATAGATTCTGTACAACCCCTCACAGTATTTTTACTCTTATTGCAATGGTAGTCGCTAAGCTCGCTCACCTTGTTTCATGATGGAAACAGCCGTCAGATGTCATTCTCAGTCTGCCCCAGAGCCAAACGACCTAGCTTCCGAACAAGGATTGGTTAGCAATTACACCAGCCACACGTAAATACCTAAAGTAGCAGGATCGTCAATGAAAGCGCCGTACATGGTACGTCTTCTGGCCTCCCGGTCTAGTACTACCGTGGCACAAATCTTCGTCAGCCTCAACCCCAGACTCAGCAACCAATCGCATCTCATCGCTATTACGCGCCGGCATCAAGGGTAAGCTTTCTGGGTAAGGGTATTGGCCTCCGGGCGCCGACGGGGTCAGCTTGTCCGGTCGCTCTATTATTTTTGGTCTCGCACAGGCACATTTTCTTTTCCCGATTGGGTACACCTTGCGAAGGAACCTGCACGGCAGCACATCACCCTCCAATTCAGACCCTCGGCAGCATCAGCCGATGTGACAACCCAGCCGCATCCCCCAATTAATTTAGCACCCTCCAATCTCAGCCACGCGTCCACTTTCAGCCCCCAAAACCGCTGCAGAACAAGCCAACTCGGCCGACAAGCGAGGCACGGAGCGCGAACCTAATTCAACATAAAGTAATTTGACGCTGTGAAACAATCATTTGAAAATCATCATGCAAGGAAACCTTCACCTCCTCCCGGGCGCCCAATGGCATCTTCCGAGCTGTCTGTTCGACACGCGCCCTCCACCCCTAGTATCTAACATTTGAGACCCTAAGTAGTGCAGGAGCAGCTACCGCCGAGGCGATTCCATCAGCGGTGGGAGAAGGAGATCCCAGCTGAGCTGGAAGGTCATTTGTGACATCTCACGGGCCGAATCGGGCATTACTGGTATGGCTGGGGACTATCTTGGCGGCCATCGCACATATCTCGCCTAACAGAACGTTGTTTCCGATGACGCCGATTTGATGCTCAGTCGGAAGGGAACAGCCGAAGGGCAACATAAGTACATCTGCTGTCGGGAGCATTCCTGCGGCTTGGGTTTGCTGTAATAAGTCTCCGCCCCCCAGATTGAAGTTATTTGAACAGCTGGGCCAGTGGGAAAATATGGGAGAAGCACCTGTTATAGATGGGTATAGATTAACGTAGATAGTCATAGATTGGGTATATGTGCGCTAAGAGCAAATCTTCTCCTGGATGCCTTTTCGGAGCCCTATGCGGACCTTGCGTGACCGAAACACCGTCTCCACCAATGATAGACAATTCGAAATCCTGAAATGACGTACGGAATCCAGCAGACCTCATGTGATAGCCAAAAACCTGCATTCATCCCATTTGAGGATGCCACGTGGTTCTGATAACCTCCCTCTTCCGCACCATCATCCTACTGGTGTTCGCACTTGCTACTTCCTCCTGCCTCGCTGCGCCAGGTCCAAACGCCTTGATCGTCGCCACCTTCGGGCTACATCCCTCAATCTTGACGCCAATCATCGTAGCGCTCGAGTCCCTCTCTGTTTTCGACCACGCCGGGGCATCACTGCCACTCAAGATTAACTTCCTCTCGTCCTCACTCAGCATGATCGTTCTTTCCAAGAAAACAGCCTCGAACCATTTAGTGTCCGCGAAAACACGCTGTTTCATCTCCTTTGCGCGGACGTTAATTTTTTCCGCTTCTTCGAGGCGTAATTTTAGACAGACCATCGTGGAGTCAAAGGCCCTGAGGGATTGTTCACCGCGAGCCTTCCATTTGGCAATTTCGCGCGCCTGTTGCGACTTTAGGGTTGATCGCTCGAGCTCTTGGGCTGGCATAAGCTCTTGCAGGATGTCGGCTTTCATGATGTCCGCGTCCTGGTCCGGGTTGTCGACGGAGATAGCCATCAGCTCGTCCTGGTCTTTGCGGTGACGGGTGATGGTATCCATCATTTCCGTTGCGAATCTGCGTTGCAAAGTCTTGATGGTGCCTTCAGTCATCGTGGCGATCTTCTCTCGTTCTGAAGCCACACAGCGTTCCCGCTCGACAGCGGCATCGGGTGATTCGAGCTTATCCTTCATCATGTCAATCTCACCCCACTCCCGATCGTGGCGCCGCTCGATAGCTTGCCGCTGTTGTAAGCGAATCCTGTCCAGCACTCCGCGCAGATACTCGAAATGATCGTTGATGTCTTGTAAGCGCTCAAATTCTCGTTTAGTCATTTCCCGTGCTTCGGCTTCTAGACATGCTTCTTCCGCTTCCCGTTCCTTTCGCAGCTGGCGCTCTGCCTCTTCTACTGCAGCAATTGCTGCTCTTATCTCTTCCTCTTCAGCTCGTTGATCGGCCTCAAACCGTGCGAGTCTCGCAGCTATTTCCCCTTCTCGCCGTGCTTGATCGGCCTCTGTACAAGCACAAGTTCTCCATCTGGCACCGCAAGTATAGCTGTGACAGGTGAGTATTGAATGCTTATAGAGTTTGGACGGCAGACTCACCAGAACTCGGCACGGCACTTGCAGGTAATGTGCCGACAACCTGACGTTAGCTCCACCAGGGCCCTACAACGGTAGCACCTCCGCCATCCAGCCCTTTCCGCTTGATCCAAAGTCGGACCAAGACCGTAGTCTTGTGGGCAATCCTCATTAGAAGGATGTTGAGGCCCACGGCAGGTTGTGCACAGCTTGAGCGCACAATGAGGGCACTCCAATATCCCATTCATTCGCCTGGCAATCCGAGTGTCAATCCATTTCGCGCATTTCGGAGATACACAGTAATAGCGATTGCCAATCGCAACCGCATATTCCAAAGCTTTTTCATCAAACTGAGCCAGGGCTTTGGGAGGGAGACGCTCCCGCATGGTCTTTTTGGGGATCTCCTGCAGGCAGCACTTGGGTGGAAAGGTAGCCTCGTTGCTTGTGGCGGTGATGATCAGTTGCGAAAAACATGACGGACAGTACTTATGGTGACAAGGCACGTCCACGGCTTTGGTATCGGGCACCTCATCGAAGCAGCTTGTGCATTCATAGGAAGTTGGCTCTGGCATCTGGGGCTCCAATGAAAGTTCGCTCTTCCTTTTCCGGCCCGGTAGAAGCTTGAATAGTTTGTGACTCTTGTTCGTCCTTTCTTGACTTTCTTGAAGTCTTTTCTCTAAAGCCGCCATGCTAGGACTGATATGTGGGTTCAGCTTCGTCCTCAAGCTTTCTTGAGAAGAATTAGCCCGAGATCGGCTGGGTACCTTTGGGGGTCGCAGAAAGCCAGGATCCTCGGCCTCTGACTCTAGGCTTGTTGCAGAATCATGTGAAGTACTCAGGCTGCTGGCGGAACGGTTGGTAACATAGTCGCTGTCGGGTGTGGATCGAGCCGATATGATTGATGAACATTCTGGGACTTCGGGTCGGTCTCTTTTACGTGGTGTTCTTGATGATTCGATGGTAGTCCTTACCACGATAGCTTGCCTTTGCAGCCTGGACGCCCTCATCGCACGGTGTTCGTCCAAAGATTCTTGAATGATGTCTCGAATCTCCCTTGGTGTATCTCCTCTCACGAACTCCAGCTCCTGCGGTATCTCATAGTCCTCCCAAGCTGTTTCCCCCATGAAATTTGGTGTTTCTGATTTGGATGAGTGCTCTGCTGTGCTTGCAGCAGTTTGAATAGAGTCCATGCTAGGCCTCGGAGAAGAAGCCGTGGCTCCAGCTAAATTCGCTAAGGAGCACCTCGGTGCACGGACTCCATTCTGCGTCCGTGAAGGCTTGCGAGCATCAGTCTTACGAGTGACATGTTGCGAGCTTCCGAAAAGCTGTACGTCTGGTACGATTGTTGAATATTGGTCTTGCGGGTGCGGAGAGGGAAGAGGGGAGAAGTTCTGCGACGTTGCCGATGTGTTCGATCTCGCAGAAACATTGGATTTCGACCTGGTTCGAGAAAAATAGTCTGAGGAGGCCCCAGTCCCGAGGCTACTTGGCGAAGTCGCCTTTGGAGAGGGCATCGGTCGAGCTGGCACCACGAGACCCAGGCCGTCACCAGCCGTGGGGGTGGACGTACCACCTAGCAAGTATTTCATCATCCTGCCGCTCATGGTTTCTCCCAATAGTATGCAGTCGGAGATATATCCTAGAGATCAATATTTGAAGAATTGGGAGTACATGATTTGAGAGGTATAAGATCCGGCGGCGCAACGGTTGTAAAAAAGCCATGCCTCGGAGTAAAGTACAACACCAACGGTGGGAGGGGCCGCTTGAGCATGAAATCTAATCTAATATACGTTTCATCTTGAAGTGCGCCAAGGCTAGCAGGGCGCCATAGAGGTGCGGAAGAATAGACGCCTAAAAGCTAAGATTATTCGCAAGGAGCAGTTGCGGTCTGAGTCTCACAGGGACCCCTTTCGGGGCCGCAGTCGTAATTCACATGATGCGATGCGAGGCTGAGATGCGAAGGCTGAGATACGAGGCAGTAGAGTAGCCTCGTACCGTGATTGAGTTGGGTGAGACAATGAAAGACTATTGGAGCTGCTGGTGCCTCGACCAACGCCTCGGTTTTAGAGCAGTCGGCTTCGCGAAATGGACGCGATGCAGCAAGATATTCCCCTCACCAGTGATTCCGGCTAGATGGGATCATAATGAAAGACAACAAAGGAGCTCGAAAGATTTATCCATCTACTTCGCTCGGATGCTGTGGTACCTGCAGCAGGTGCCAGATGGCAGATGGTACAAAGGTGAGGCCCGAGGGAGCAGGCGCCTGGCGAGGTTGAATTTGGTCGCAGGTTGGGGGGCCAACTAAGGTACCTACTTTAGCTTTCGGGGGACTAGCGGGTAAGACTAGCTTTGGGCTTAAACTCAGGTCAGACAAACTCCAGAGGGCGCAGCCGCGTGCTAAACCGCCAACTTGACCCCTGTGTTGGTGAGTCTCATCTCCCCATTTATATCAATCGTGGCCTCAGGCTCACAGTTTGCCTCGCGTCGAAGAGTATAGGTACCGGAGATGAATCCAGCCTTTCGTCGTCAGCTTCTTGCCATTGCACTCTGCAGACAACGAGCCAGCAACAGTCTGTCTAAGCCCGAGTAAGCAGCTTCCTGCAAAGTTCATCCAAGAATTTCCATCTGCAAATCCATGTGCCGGGACCATGCCAAGTCGGAAGAGCAAAGAAGAATTTCGGCTTTCCAAACAGCGGTGCGATTTTGCCTCGGGGCACTACCCTAGCACGGGGGGAAAAAAAGTGCGGTAAACCTAATCTGATTTGGTTAGGGAGAAGCGGGGCAAACCACATTTCTATGCAAATCTACCCTTCTTCTCTACATTTCACTGCAAGATGTCGTCTCCCAGTACTCATGTTAGACGGGAATGGTCAAATGACAGGCTATTAGATAGTAGTGGTAGAGAATAATGTCACAAATATGTGGTGATTTGGGGAAGGCCACTACTCATTTGTTTGTACCACTCTCACCCCTCCCTAGAACCGCTCACCAATTATCTTATCTTGAAGTGGGATGAAGGAACAACCCCGCACCGCACTGGCGACACGCATCCAGCAAACAGCAGACGAGAGGAAAGCCACTCAACTCATGCTTGTGGACATGGCTTTCATTGGCATCGTGAAGGTGTCATCGCACGTGATGTACGCTAGTCCTGACATCTGGCTGTCCCTGCAGCGATAGTCTCAACAGTGATCGTGTATAAATAGTGCTGTTCGTAGACTCCAAGCCTCAAAGCCTGAAAGTATTAGGCTTTCACTCAAGAGGCACTACCATCCGGATGGCGACTCCAACCCAAGCAAACCTGAAGGACAAAAATGCTCACTACGCGTCAAACTTCAAAGAAGGGCAGTTGGCACTGCCTCCTGCGAAGAAGTATGCCGTTGGTAAGTCTCACGTGGTCTCCAAACCGTTTCGGAGCCCACCGCCTGACTTCCGACTCTTGCAGTCACCTGCATGGACGCCCGAATCGATCCGGCAGCAGCCTATGGCATAAATCTTGGCGACGCCCATGTGATCCGCAACGCTGGAGGCAATGCTCGCGACGCCCTGCGCTCTCTGGTCATCTCAGAGCAGCTGCTTGGCACGAATGAGATCCTGCTGATCAAGCACACCGGCTGTGGTATGTTGACGTTCAAAAATGAAGATGCCCACGCCGTGGTCGAGAAGAATCTGGGGGCGGCGGGGCAGCAGGAACTGTCAGGCTTGGACTTTCAGCCTTTTCCAGACCTTGAGAAGGCTGTGGAGGATGATGTAAAGTACCTGAAGGCTAGCAAAGCTATTCCAGATTCAATCATGATCAGTGGCTGGGTGTATGAGGTTGAGACTGGGAAAGTAAATCAAGTCTTATAGGCATTGGACGGTTGGGATTTGGAATCACTGTGGAGTTGGGCTTTTGGGGCCATGTCTCTTGTAACAGTTTGGCTGTTGCATTATAATCAAGCAGCACAATCAAACACTAATTCTTCTGTTCGGTCTCGGGGCCTTAAATAATCAAGCAGCACAATCAAACACTAATTCTTCTGTTCGGTCTCGGGGCCTTAAAACCGCCTTCGTCTTTGTCTTCTCCCTTTTGCGGCCAGAGGATCTGCTTCAACATGATAGCTCGGACCATCATTCCAACGACGAAGAACCAAGTAAGTATCAGAATCGCTGTCATGACACAGCCGATTATTTGGATCGCTCTAGAGTTAAAGGCTTTGCCAATGGCGAACGTCGATGTCACTAGTGCCGTATTTGGGAAGACATATGAATACCATGTCATGGTAAAGACCATTTTGTGCGGGCCAACGCAAGACCAGTGAGCGCCAACGGATATGAAGAAAAACCAGAATGCGAGACCCCATATCCAAAGGCTCATCCATGCCGAAACGACCTTGAGTATCATTGCCGACATTGGGGTATTACCCATGAAGTCCGGGGGCAACGCTCGTTGAGCGCCCTCTGCCATCCCTATCACCGCTGCAACAGTGAACCCGCATGGTCCAACCGACACGAACATACCAGGTCTTGTGCTTGCTTGAGGTAGCCTCTGGGTCATGAGACGGTAGATGAATGCAGAGTAGATCATCAATGAGACCATGAATCCAATGCCTTGTAGGGTGAATCCACCAACAATGATGTCGAAGGCTCGCCTCTGCTCGAGAGTCTGGCTGAGTACAGCAGCATGAGGTCCAATTATGAGAAGCGGGTATGCTGGAAAGATCCAAATTGGTGTCATATTTTCTATTGTGAAGGATGCGGTCGACCACCTGCAGGTCGTCAAAGTCTGCGCCGGGTAAAGATACGCTGAAAGTCCTCACATGATCAAGTACACACCCATTGAAGCGATAAGAGCCAAGCCTGCATCTACCCAAAACAAGACGACAACAACATCGTTGAGCCAATCACCAGCGTGGCTTGGACCAAACTGAGATATGTTGAGTAGAATTGTACCGAACGAAACTACAGCCGCTGGTATGAAGAGTCTTTCTGTGGGATGCAGAAAAGAAGCTTTGAATGTTTCTGGGTGGAAGTAGAAGCGTAGAGATATCATCACAATGTTGAAAATAAAGAGGACGATGTTGAGAAGGAAGAAAATGATGCCGATAGCTTCGAGGCCGCGGAATCGGAACGGTACTATCCATTGACTGGGTCAGCTCTCTGAGAGACTTCTAGCACCTCATAGACTGTGCTTACCATTATAAAGCACGTTCGATATCCCTCCTGTAGCCATGGTCATCGTAAAGAATGTCCATGTGTAATGCCTTAGCCTCTCCCTCCAGTGTAGCTCGTCGAGGATGCTGCGAGCCAGACTGGTAGTGCTCAGGTTCACCTGATCGCGAATGTGAGGTAGCCGATGATGTAGGCTGTTAGGTGTGGAATGATCATTGGGAGGCGCGACCCCGTTAGGCGGTCGAGCACTATTGGGTGTTGTGGAGCCGCCGTTTTGGACCTGATAGTCTTCAATTGTAGGAGCTTGATAGCCATTCTGCCCAGGAGACAGCATGTGGTTCGGTATGTACATGCCTCGATAGACTGTCGTGTCATCCTGGAGTGTTCCCTGAGGCTTTTCAGAAGAAGGTCTTATAGAGGAAGGGTCGATGGTGACGTGCTTCTTTTTCATCTTCCCGAGGAACCGGCTGGGGCGGCGCAGCAGGTCGAAGAGGGGAAACGGGCAGAATTGCTTGTGAGGGTATAAAAGCCATCACCGCCGAAGTCATCTGGAGACTGACGATGAAGATAAAAGACAACCTAAGTCACGCTGAGCCCCAGAGTAGCTTGGTATATTAGCTTGAGGTTTGTTGAAGCGTAGGGGGGTTGGTAACGTTGGGTCTTCTCGCAGGGCTGACACGCAATAATGGTAGATATCTGCACTGAAGAGGTCTCTTTCTTCGACTTCTTATGCTTAGGAAGATACTGGAGTCTTGCGTGCAATGCGCAATGGGCGATGAATCTGCTCCTCAAATGAGATAAGACCGAGGAATGATTTTTGGTTGTTGACTACTTTATGGGTGTCTTGTACAAAGTCTTTTCGCTGCAAGCCTTCCACTCGTATCTCTAATCTTGGCCAAACCTTTTCGCCAACAGCAATATGTTCCCCTCCGCTTGTCCATTGAAGCTCTACTTGATGAAGAATTCCATGTTGCTTCTCAGTTGGCGGTCCACGTCAAGCAAGACGCTGCTCAAATTCCGGCAGCTATGACCTGTATTCCGCCTCCGCAAGACTTCGCTCACTACCAACCATTGGCGATCCTCTGCCTTGTTTTGGATTGTCTTTGCCAGTGTCAAGATCCAGGGACCTCGTCTTGCCTCTATCTCGGGTTTTGTACTCGACACATCGATCTGTCCCACGTCACTTCGCTCTCCGGCCGACCTGACGCCTTGGGGAAGGCAAGCAGACTCAGGCGCGACGATCTCCGTGAGTTTGGGCTGTTAGTAAGCGGATGCCGTGTCCCCGCCTCATCGAGACCGCAGAACGATCGACTTCCTCCCAGCGTAGGGACTGCTGGCTGTCTGATCGGTCGACTAAAGTTGGGTTGACTCCCATATCCCGTCGCTCTCTTCACATCGCCTTGAGCGTCGCGGTTGGGCAAGGTGTAAGGTACGGCTGCGGAATTAAGTCTGAAGATCGCTTAGAGTGGTTGCAACGAGGAGTTGCATCGTTGAATGCCTAACCAGGACTTCGAGCACCGGCGGTTGCATTCGGGGACAGATCACTTATATTTCCCTCGCCGCTTCTCTGCATCGTTCTCTAGGAATCCCACTAGTATTGGGTTTTCATCTTCAAAGCCCAAAGTTCTTGCTGGACTTCATCAAAGCTTGGAAAGCTGTGTTTTGCATTTCGAATCACCGCCTTATTGACCGCCTATACCATTGAGATTTTCATGGAACTGATCTCTCGTACTGTCTTGCGCCAAGCTTTGCGATGCCTATCTAGGGTCTCGCAAGCATTGTGAAAACGCCACAATTGGGGCCAAGAAACAGAGTTGGAGTTGTTGCCACATTCTGTTGCCTCAAAGGGTGATACGATTGATGTGGTAAATACGGTGATCGTGGACGCTTTCGCCCTTCTGGGATAGGTTCACTCTCCCCGAGTCCTTCGATGGACCCGAGTTCCGCCCAGCGCGCTTTTCCCCCCAAAAAAGATGTCCAGTGTATCAAGCTTCAAGCAAGCCTAAGTCTGCACTCCGTGGTTTGTCTTGGTAGAAGAGACACCTTGAATTCAGATTGTGCGTACGAGAAGAGCGCAGGTGGGGATTGTCCACCAAATCTGGGCTTCCTAGTCTCCTCTCTGAAGCTTCGCTGAATCCAGGGGAGCCCTCCTAGACAGGGGAGAATCTAGGATTCCTATTCCCAATTCTTCCGAAACCGTGACCTTTTGCGGCATGGCGTATAGCAGACTTCTCGTTAAACATTGATTAGAGGGAGGTAAGTGAGTATACTTTGAGTGGTCAAAAGGTTTTGCTCCTATGCAACTGCACTGCCTTTTCTTTCGCCACGATTAGCACCGACGAGAATCAACACGTATTAAACAGAACACGGGGATTCTTGCATGAAAGGCAGTTTGTTATGGATATTTGTGCACTATCCATATGCTCTGCAACAGCATGCTCCGAATGATCGATGCACGATCTCAATTCCCATAATCTTTTGCGTTCCATCTCCTGCAACGCTCGCTAGGCAATACGTTTCAGAGCATTCTATTCACCAGTAACCCCAATCTTTTATCTAAAATCCAGCTCTTCCATTGTCAAACTAAACGGGCGGTCTTAAGAGAAACCGTCTTTGACGATCTCGTCAAAATGGAGAGGGTAGAGAGATGCTGCTAGGTGCGCGCCTTGTCTTGTTGCGCTATATCATATACTACTCAGCTTGCTATGGCAGGACAGTGTGACTAGCCATACTTACAGCAGTATACGAGAGGGTGATATGCTTATGAAGGTCACCTAGTTATCTGGTCAGCATTCTTTCACAAGTGGTGGGAATCATAACCTACCATCGACTGCGGGCATACCGCGTCTTTGTATGGCCGACACGAGTGTAACGTGGATCGTCTACAAAGGGTCGTGCTATCGATGTATTAACTCAAACCGTGAGAATACGGGTCTAGCAAAAAAAACACCTACATCGAGGAGGTTAAACAATTGTTGTCACGTCTACTCAGGCCGGCAACGATATGCCGGGTAGCCTCATCGTGAACGGGAGTGGTATATATAGCAACATTTGTATCCTCACGGTCCGACCTTGGGAGTTCCAGAGCTCCCGATTGCCTAGCCCTTTGGCCCACGCGTCGAACACTGCACCATGATCTTGCGTGAGACGCTTTTATATGGCCAGTATGAATGTAGCATGAGTCTCTTATGCAGGGTCATGCTATCAATATGTTAAAGCAAGTCATGAGAATACGAACTTAGTAAAAGAGAAGGATAGGCTCACATTGAGGAAGTTGTTCTACTAACCTCATGTCTTCGAACACCGGCACTATTATGCTGAGTAGCCTCATCGTCGAGGAAATCGCTAAACATAGCAACGTCAGTGTCCCTAGGATTGACCTGGGGAGACACCACCAGCTTGGCCCAAGACTTGAAAGGTGAACAGCGCTTGGATTGGTCCCGATGCTGTTCTTTGAATAGATACCTGAGGGCCCGATCCTTCTGGTCATGACGTTGCTAAGGTCTTGATCCAGTGTCTGATAATCGTGCCCGGTAATGCCAGTCGCTGCCGAAACTTTGCTCCAGGCCACTCCCCTCATGCTAAGCTCAGGAGCGCGCTCGCTGACCTTTGCGAGGGTCAAACTCTGGCCTACACGTCGAACACTGCACCATGATCTTGCCTGGCTCCGGTTTCCAGTATCAATCCGGCTCTGCCACCGAGAAGGCGAGCAAGCAGCCGAGATCCTCCTTGGGGAAACGTGCTCAAGATGTGGTTAACGCGAGTTCAAGAGATTCCTTGGACCCTGCGGCCTCGCTGAAAGAATCATCACTCATTCCTATTTATGGGGGTCGTTGTCACTGCCAAGTTGAGGCTCCGCACGATCGATTTCTTCGTGCGCAACGTACGTGGAATCAACGATGCCAGTTTTTCCAGGCTTCAGTTGACGATCATCCAATAGCTCACTGCAAATGACCTCTATACCAGCAGCCAGATGTTCTCTGAAGGCATCAGGTTGGTATGCGAATTGTATTGTTCCATGCTCTTCTCCGCATCTTCTCTTCGTTGTTGTTCGGATGAATATCTTGGTATTCGATAGCACGGCAGTATGGCTCGACGGGTCTATTTCTCCTTCAGTCCTGTGCTGCTGATCACTATCGGTCTCTTCGAACGACTTCAGCTGGGAGGGTCCTTTCCCTTCGATTGAGGCACTCTGCAGGACCTCAAGTCGGCGCAAAAATTTCTTCCTAGAGGCGGCACTAACACGGTTAGTACTGCTCGTATGCCCGGCAACGTTCCTTATGGTTTGGTAACGGATTTGTTTTGCACGCGCACTCCGCTGCGGGGCCTGGCTTGTTTTTTATCTCCCCGCTTAGTGTCCATTCCATTGACCTCAAGTCCAATACAACTATCTACCCAGCATATACGTCTCCACCAGCCATACCATGCGCAATAAGCGATTTCTGTGTGTTTGCTGTCACACTCGCATCCTAAGTCTGAATGCCAGGGATTCGCAGCACGAGGTATGCTAGAAACGCGAGGGCTTTGTCGACATCGTTGTTGACCAGCTCGAGGGCTTCCTCGCACTCTCGTGTACTTCGTAGAGGGGACTTCGCTCGTATGTGTGCGATCTTTTGCTCGAGCTTGTTGTCTTCAATGTCGTCGATATTGGTGTGTGGAGTGGTGATGCCCTCTGTCACAGCTGTCTAGCAGATATGGTTTTTTAGCTGTGAACAATCTTTGGACCGGGGTAAGTCACACCTGCTAAATGAGTATGGTCTAACAGATGTGAACACTTTCAGGACTGGGGCTAGTCATGTCTGTCTGGTGAAATTGGTCTTTTAGCTGTGATCACTCTTAGGACGGATGCTAGTTACATGTGTCCAATAGGTATAGCATGTCCAGTGTCGACACTCTCCGGACGGGGGCTAGCTATGGTCACACTCCAGTCAAAAGCCAGACACAGTGCAAGAAAATCTGTCTTGCCGAGACTTTGAAATTATGTTTCGAGGATCTTGCATATTAGCAAACGAGTCTTGCTTGAGCATGCAATTTCGTTCTTCCTGTACCCAATAACACAAGGATTCTAATCACAGATGATCACAAGCTAGCAATTTTAAATGATTATAAGACAGAGAATCTCACAGCAACAGCTTCTCTTCTTTTTTCATCCTTCTCACCAATACTCCATACATACCCAACATGCAAAGAGATCCCAGACAAAGCACGCCTCTTGAGGCAGCGAGGGGGACCCACCCAAACACTTTTGTCAGGGACATTACGCAGCCTGAAGAGTTCAAAGTCTACACTGACTATGATGCTTATGCACATAGTACTGGTGAAGATGAAAACAAGGTCAATCTCGCTGAAGGGGAGGCTGATTCCAACACCGTTTCCGCAGGTAATGACCAAAATCCACCAAGTATGCACCCTGCTGCATCAATTCTTGAATACGATCAGGCTAATACCTATAAAGACCTATCAGGCCGTCGTTCACAGACAGCCGATCCCCCCTTGATCTCACCAACTCCTTCGACACCCACCTCAGGCCCCAGCACCCACCCACCGGCACAGCTACCTCTCCCGCAATTCCAACCTGCCAGCACGCAAGTTGGAAACCCAACCCAACCACCAGCAACGCCAGCTCCAAACTACCCGCTCCCAATACCACGGCATCCACTTCACGAGACCATCCCTGGCATGACGCTGGGATGGACAACGTGCAACACCGACCATCGAAGACACGTCAGTATCACGTCCACATGATCTCTTTGAGGAAGCTGACATCATCCAGAAACGCTGCGACCACGGTCTGGACGGCAGAATCGACCCTGTCTTGGCGGCTATCCCGCACAAGGTGATGGCTACTCGCAGAAGCTGGCCTACGAAGAAGTCCAAGTGAAGGAAGATGGGTAGGAGGGAAGGCACGAGGCAAAAGGCATTATGATATGGATCATAACACGAAATGGAATGCGATAGAAGGGCCGATGAGGATCCTCTGGCTGCCTGCACGCTGTTTGTCTTAGCAGAGCAGGGGGATAAGGCCATCAGTTGTCATGCTTAGCCATCCATGCAGTTGCTGTTTCTTGAAACCATCCCAGTACAGCCAACCTCGCATTCTCAATGCTTCAACAAATCAATCTTCTCTTAAGCTGCCATCGCCTACCCACACTCTCCAGCACCGAGACCAATCTGCGATAATCCCGACTTCCAACGTCAACATCTCCCCCCATTCAAACCTACCCCATTCCACCCTCTCCAGCGCCCACTACGCTCCATCCGACCATACCCTCCAACCCCATTCCCATCCACCCATCCATCCACCTCTTGCACCCAGCAAGCCAGTACCCCACCCCAGCCACCCCCGCCAGACAAAACCCCATTCGACAAAATCTCGCACCATGTATTCAAGCCACTCCACTTCAAACGCCACCTTTCCCCATCAATCCCTCATCTCCATCCAAACGTAGAGGCCGCAAACACGAAAGACAGTGTAGGTACGATCTGCCACCTCCTCGCCAACGTCACTGCTCGCGTGTGATGGGAACCGGGTCCGTCGCTCGTGCTATGAGGCCAGAAGGGCCAAAGCGTCGGCATTGGAAATGTATTGGGTCAGCCGCATGGCCTCTTTACACTCTCGAACACCCACCCGTGGAGGGAGGGAGGATGTGTCGCATGCGAGCGATGCTTGTTCGGAATTGACGTTCGTCGATGTGGAAGGGCCGCCGAGAGAGTCAGCGAGGTCAACTGCGTTCTCGCGACAGGAGGTTTCAACTCCCGCGGGTCCGGCCTGCCACCCCCCTTTGCCCCAAAATGAATATCGTCCCGTTCCATCTTCTCGCTCCCCGGTGGCACGTTAAGGAACGGATCACGCCCAGGCACTCTTCCTTTAGACGGTAATGCGTAGTGCGTTCCCACACTTGGCTTGCTCATTCCGAATTCTATGTAATCTCCACGAGTGGTACCGCTTCCTGGCGAGCGACCAACAGCAGCTCGACGTGTGTCTCGCTGGTCCGCTTCCAGCATTAGAGGATCTTGTATTAGTCGTTCATTGACGGTGGCGAGTTTCCTGAACCTTCGGCCGGTGGAGGATTTTGGGATATAATCGATGTGTTGAAGGCAGAGGACATTGAGTTGCCTTACATATTGGAGAAGCAGATACCGTGAGATCGACATGTAGGGTGTGCTGTCTGGTTTTCTTTGGATCAATGGTTGCAACAGTGTATTGACACGAAATGGAATTGGGTTTGAAATCTCATTCTCGTCTGCCTGGTAATATGTCATCAACATTGGGTATACTAATCATCAAATCGTCATAGCTCGGATAAAAATTCGCTAGGTCATTGGTACAGCACTCATCTGTCCCCAATCTATCAGCTCCCCTGGCTCCCACTATCACCCTGCAGCTTCGCCCTTACTAGCTCTTCTTCCGCCAAAAATCTCTCCTGTTCCACCCTACTCTTCTTTAAATCTAAAAATAGCACCAGAAACCCTGCACTCAGACAAGACAACCCAAACAGAAAATAGAATGGTGTACTGTTGTTTCCATGCGGACTTGCATCGATGATCGCACTTGAAACCAGCGGTCCGATGAAGGATGACGTCTTGCCAATGATAGAGAATAGGGAAAAGAATAGAAACTCTTTGCCACGGGGCGTGACTTCAGAGATCATAATCTGGGAGTAGGAGTACCAGGGACACACGAAGAGACCATAGAAGGTCTGATAGACCCAAAACTCCCAAACGTGGTGGAAGCCGAAGTTCTGAGTCCAGATACCTATCATGCCCCAACCATCGCTGTACCAATTCATAGTCAATATCCGGCCTCGCCAATTAGAGAAAGGTGATGCGGGAAAGCTTACAGCAAAATTATTCCGACAATAATCGCATTGAACATGGTCTTCGTACTGAGTTGGTATCTTTGCTGGATCCACCAGAAGCTGTAGATACCTACCGCTTGAGCCGCGATGCCGACAAGTAGGATGTAGGTCAATGTCAGCGTGTCGTACTCAACAACCTCGTTCTGGAGAGTGGCGATGACGGTCACGGTAGTATTGAGGGAGTCGCCGAGAAGGAAGTAGCCTGTGCAGTGTCAGTCATGGAAGATGGATGGTACCCGTGGCGCTACACACCAATGAGGTAAAGGAGACTTTGTCTGAGTCGCCAAATTTGAGTGATGGCACGGTAGAGTTGCCAAAATCCTACCATCACGATGTTCATGTTAGGCGGCAACTGCTGGCCTGGTCTTCTTTTTTCCAGGATGAACCACGGTATAGCCAGCAGCACCCAGACACCAGTTGCGAAGGCGATGAGAACACTCAACCCGTAATTGTTGTTGGCTTCGCTCGCTGTGACGTGCACACCGTATAGGACACCAACTATTAGAGCTAGTATGACAAACTCCCCGCAGGATTGTATGTAGAACGCCATATTGGATAGTCGGCTCCTTTGTAGTGTGTCTGCGTAGTCATACTCATCTCGACTGATGGTTCCGTTTGTAAACTCCTCGGCTTTGGCCCGCAGCTGAGGCGTGTTTCGAGCGAGACCTGGAAATGCTGCAGTCCAGAAGGTCAAGGTGGTTTGGTATGCAATCACTGGGAGAGGTCAGACCCAGAAAGCAAGAGGGACTCAGAAACCGGACCTACGTCCCACAATGTACATCCCTGCTGCCACCTGCCATTTGTCCGCTGTATGCACGCCCATCCAGCCAAAGCCTATGCCGAAAGCGACAATCGAGAGCACGATGAGGATGTTAGGTCGCGAGCGTCCGAAGTCTTGCTACTGTCAGTCCAGCTCAATATTTGTACCTGCTGAGCGCAATTACCAGCATAACTCCCGATAACCAAGAACAGCACAATCTGAATAGCAAAGCTGATCCCATTGGCCACCAGGACAATACTATTGATCGTCCTATTCACGCCTGCGAACCTCAAAGTGCCTGCATCTCCAGCTGCCTGCGACAACAGGTTTTGGAAGGCGGTTGGCGCGAAATTGAACAGGGTCAACCCATTGTTGCCAATGTAGTACGAATAGTATGCCCAGATTTCCCAGCGAGTGGTCTCATACTGCGGGTCGAATTGGTCTGGCGCAACAGGAAGCTCGTCGCTGGGGTCCTGGGACGGATTTTCGATGCTGCCCTTTTGAGGGTCTTCTGCCAACGGCATGACAGCAAAGCCAGGATCGGGGGCGGCCATGACTGGTTCAGTGTAGATGGGAGAGGCTGCTCAGGTCATTGGAAGAGGCTCGTCAGGGGTCTGTAGAAGCAATAGAAGCAACGGATTGCTTCTTCTTGAGCTGACGGCATGGCTAGAAGATGCAGTTGCATCCTGATGTCTAGCGACCTATCACGCAATAGACACGGCGCCGTTGATTTTGCACTTGTCATGCAGAGAATTGCCGAATCTCGCTGATTCTCAATGTTCCCCACGCGCCGGCTTACTCTCTACTTTACTTATAGATAAGGGACTTCTAATCTCCGGGCTTGGCATTGGCCGACCTGGGCGAATTAGAACCACTAATTATTCATAGCCCTATCGGCTTAACATTCTACCGCCGCCGAGACCTGTCCGTAACAACTTTCATGGTGACTTTTCATTAATAGCAACCACCCCATGGCAAGGGTAGTTGCTTTTTGGGACTTTGGGACTTAAATTACTTGTTCAACTCCCATAGCCATCCGTGTAGACCGTCCAGGGCAGCAGCAAGAATTGGCAATTTACCGAATCATACCTTTGAGTTTGGTGTAAGGTAGGGGTATGATTCGGTAAGGATTCCACAGTTTTGGGCATGAAATAGAAATTTGGCCCTGCATGTGCCGTTGAGGCTTTGCCTTCAGCCTGATCACTTGCGGCGGAGATGTTTCGACATATAGTACGTGGTTTACCATTCTGTTCGATTATTTTTCTGTCGTCACGTATCAATCTTTTCATTAGTTCTCGGCCGCTTATCTTCTGCATTCAATATGGATTCTTCTGAGCTCAGCATGTCCTCAAGCAGTAGCACCACATTTGGTATCCAGAGTGCGGGTGAAGCCTACGAGTCGAGTGGCGCTCTATTTACCCAAGGCTGCAAGATCAACGAAAGCCAAGGCTGTTCCACCGCCTGCCAAGATCCTTTTCAGATTACCTTGGGATCCACACACGTTGCAGAACTGCATGGTACTGTCGAACTTGCTCCAAATCCCGTCCTCCAAAGCTCAGGCGGCGCCAACCCGAGTGAGAGGTCTGTAGAGATTGCAGGCAGATTCGCGATCAACACCACGAACCCTGGCTTTCAAAGCCTAGCCAGCAATGTGATTCGGACAATACAAGGCTGGTTTAGAGGAGGATTCGGTTATGGTCGGGCACCAGCCATGGTATCTCTATATAGTTGAGGACGTGAACCAAACTCCCGCCGTTCCGATTTAAAACCTTGAATGCAGACATTGGTGGCATTGGCGTAAGACATGGAGACGCTCCTCCACTGATAAAGAGCCCCTTTCAATGGATAGGTATATATATCCTACTGGATGCAGAGTGGTATTGCTTTCTCTATTTTCGTCCTACTGAAATTCTGTGAGAACCAATTCTACTGATGATGTATTTTCTTCTATTACTGCTTTTAGCAATGCGGCTTCAAATGCCCTATAGGACCAAGTAAGCTACATTAAGCGCAAAGCCTCTATCCTGCAGGCGCACTTGTGTGGGTATTCGCCTGCTATCAAGTCTGCAGTGGTTGAATTCCACAAAGGGCTATGCTTCTTCATAGTTGCTATCGAAATCGCAGCCAACATTGTTGTAAGACAAGGAACCTTGAATGATGGGCACGGCCACTCTGCAAACGTTGTTCAACAATTACAGCCTCGTCGGTAGTGTTTCGACAAGCAGCTTTGTTCCCTTGACTTTCACACTCCAGGCTCTACACCGTGCCGGAATGCACTCTTGGTACTTGGTCACTTTCTCACATATTGCCCTCGTCTTTTCTGTGTCGGCGATTTTGTGATTTCTTGAGCCGACGCGAAAAAGTCGGTCCATAGCATTCTGATATCGTTCCGGCTTAAACCTGTTCTAGAGCACTTGTCTTGCGGTACTGGCGCTCGAGTCTCTGGTATGCTATGCAAGCATACGGTGAGGGAAGAGGAGCTTGCATTCCCTTTCCAGATGCTTCTAAAATTCAATGGCTTCCTTGCAAATGGTGCTTCAACCACTTTCAGAACTCTGTATTCAAATGAATGTTTCTCGTGGCGTAGTCAAGGTTGGAATTGAGTCAGTTGACACAATCCTCAAACCGGTTATAAGCGTGTTGCGACGGCACGCCGTCTTCTATTGGGCAGAGTCTTGATCAATGGATAAGAACTAAAAGTCACAACAACGCCATATCAGTAAATACTCGTCAGTCGAGAAGTGAGCAGTGTTTTCGGTATGCAGGAAAAGTCAGCGGCAGAATGGATGGCTATGATTGGACAATGAAGCACCATAGTCCTGCAGGCAGTTCTAGCATTGTGTTGTATCGCATCGCGAGGCTATAAGGCTGTCAACATTATGAATCACCCCATCTTCCATGGCATCAACAACGGATGTTGCAAGCGGGAGGACTATCCATAGTAGACAATGACGACTACCTGGATCTACCGTCTTACGGGATGCTGTACCTCGACCGTATCCCTCTTGTTTTCGAGCGTGCTCTTGGCTTCGTTTCCTCAATCAGCATGCGCACCCACCCAGTCCGAGTCGACTAAATATATCACGATCACGGTAGCACAAGGTACGACCAACCACCGCAACCCGAAGCTACTTTGTACTCCGTCTAAGTGGACGGGCATTGCAATGTTCTTCCTCGCCAATTCCGTCGCCCATGCCGCCACTGTCAAGTCGGTGCCTGGTGAACTGGCGCTGTCATCTTGTTTGGCCCTAGTATTCGCTCTTCTTCTCCCGGCGTCGAGTATTCGGAGAGGTCTCAGTGCCATTTATCGAAGCGCAGTGCTCGCCAATACGCCCCTGAAGACTGCAGCGACGGCAAAGGCTTTGTGTATGGTTGTTAGGACTATCGACTGGAGACCTCAAACTGGAGACCTCAAACTGGAGATGTTGTTGAAGTCCTTGACTACATGGGTCCACGCGAAGTTGAAAAGTTCATCAAGCACAAGTCAGATTTTGTGTTTAAAACTACGAAAGGAAAGAAACTCGTTGATGGAGATGATTGGGACTGGACTCGAATCGATCATGTACCGGCACAGATTCTGAGTCGCAGTGAGAAGCTCCAAATTATGCTCTTCAAGGTTTATTCTTAACAAATACCTCGACGGAAGGAAAAAAAGCAGGAGCTCTCCAACGTTCCCGCATTGGTTGCAAGAGGAGTGGAGGTAGGACCTGATTCCGTCAACAGAGGAGACTTTCGAAAACTGAGCGGGCTTCCGAGGTCTACCTTTGGAGGCAAGGACCGAAAAGTTCACGGCGTCTGCCAGCTACCTGAAGAATATGCCCTTTGCGTCGTTCCATCTGGAGCCGAGGTGGATGAACCCCCGTGCGGTGGAAATTCTCCCTGCACTAGCGAGCTAAGCTCCAGCTATAGTTTGCCGAAAGTGCTCACCGCTGTTTTCCAGACCGTATATGCTTCAGCTACTCTCTACCAGGTGAGAGGTGATCAAATCCAGCGCTATGGCTATGCTGCATTCGGATTGAATGTTGCACCCTATCTTGTCATGTCGCTCGTAAATCTAGCCAGCACTATGCTCACCCCTGATTACTCCACCATGTATCTTGTGAATTCTGGAACGATGGAGGAAGCTCAACGGCGTAAAGGTTCGAGGGTTGAAGGTGTCGTTGGCACCATTGGGGGAAATAGGACATCAAACGAGTCCTTTGAAAAGGTCAAGTTTGATGTCAAGGATGATGGTCGTATATTTATGCTCGGATCTGATCTCGAATCCTCTCCATTAGTACCGACGGAAGTGGTGTTGGCTAAGGGAGGACCTCCAGTCAATCATCGGACTGGAAAACTCTTCGATGGCCTTTTTGCTCGGCTCGCCTATCAGCTTGATGGGCGACTAGATCGGCCCTATCTCTTGATACCTGGAAGCTCAGAACATCCCTTTGTAGACGACCGACAGACACTTCTCGAGTCGGTGTACTAGTACCTGAGATTGGCGAGCCTCGCTGTAGGATCAATCCCAGTAGCCATCATTGGAATTTTATCCCACTTCAGATCCGGTCAAAGCACTTTGGCGCAGCGTGTGTGGACAATGATGTGCTTGGCATTCGGAATTTGCCTCGGATCGGTCTTAGGGAGCGAACTTTCTACCGTCTCTGATTACATTAGGCTCTTCGTGTATCTGGCGCCGTCAATAGGAGGTTTTGTAGTTGTGGGCCACATGCTCATGCAGTATGGGACTTGCACCCATCTCTAGAGAGTGATTTATAATATAGCGTCCTTGCGCGCTGGTGTTGGGCCGGCACAAAATTGGGTCACTTTGTAGCCTCTCAGGCTTATTCAAGCTTAGAACAGCATTTCACTGAAATTGGAGACAAAACTGAATTGGGTAAAATTATTCCTAGTGTCTGTCTACCTAGAGGAGCTCGTCAAGTGAGATCAGCTAGATCAACGGTCGCTGGAAGAACAGTGAGTATAGCTGATGCTAATCACAAAGCTCCCATGGCTGAACCCTACGAACAACCGTAATGCCATAAAAGGGAAGTTCAAAAAAAAAAAAAAAAAAAAAATTGGGAAAAAAAAAAAAAAAAAAAAAAAAAAAAAAAAAAGCATTGCATGTATGTGAATCTTCAGCCTTGCTGCATACGCTCACAAAGTTTGCCGGAATGAGTGAAGACGGATTTTGACTGCTCTCTTCGGCTTCTTGTTGAGTGCAAAGCTCCCCATGTACGTCGATCGGCGCTCACCCTAGGCCTGGTAGTGGCTGAGGCTGGGGAAAATTCCTTGTAGCATGGCACACGTTATGCATTCGAAGGTCCCTGCGAAATATTTCAGGAAGGAGTCAGTTGGCTAGGTCTTTCAAGAAGGAGCTCACACCTCCATAGTGTATCTACACAGAAAGATAGACAGCCACTCTTAAGTTGGCACGTTCCGGTCCAGCTACTTGTGTCTATTTACGAGCTCTAGTCACACACACTACCTCCCCTTTTACTCCTGCGCCTAGCCCATCAAGAAGCAAGCCGACCCAAGTCCGACCCCATACTCTGCAGATGTGCCGCCCAATTGACATTCTTGATCAATCCTCGACTCTCCCGTGGCACGCACAAATCAGCATATTCCTCAATGCGCCCATAGACCTCTTCCGTCAATGTCCCCGAACAGTTGCCGCAGGTGGTGGTCAAGTCTTTGCGACTGTAGTCGGGAGCGGAGGTATCCAAGCACTGGGTGTGAGCGCGGCTGAAACAGCAGTGGACGATCTCGTCTGTGCGGTCTCGGGTCGTCGAGAATGAGAGCTTGCAGATGACGCATTTGCCGGTGTCGGGGATGATGGTGCAGCTTCCGTGCTGGGAGAAGTTAGCCTAGGACCGGATCCACCGGGGGAAACGTCCTAGCCCACCTTCTCCATGGCATCCAGCCACTTTGTGCAAAGCGTGATTACGGTCTCAAATCTCGCAAGTGCTTCTGAGTCGGGCTGGGGTTGGAACCTTGCTCGTAGGATCTTGCAACAGGTGATATTCATTTCGAGAACACGGGCGTGGGTCAACATCTGTACCAGCAGAGTCAGTAACGATGAGTCGTGGATTTCCGACCGAGAGTTCGGAAGGGCGCTGGCTTGCCTTGGCTTGAATTGGCTCGAAGAATTGTGATTTCGATCGTGAGCTCGCTTTGAGGTGATAGCACTTCGGGGTGATATTACCGAGGTAGAAGATCAGATCGGAGGTTGCTGATCAATAGTGAGGTTGTTCTAGGTGTGGAAGGAAACCGTGATGGTGAGGTGGAAGCAAATCTGTGAGAAAGCGTTGTGGGTTTGAGAAGTGTTGACACATGCATCCGTAAAGGAGCCCCACCCAACTTTGTCTTGAAGAAAATCTGAGCGAGTGACAGCTCTCAGTGTTAATGGCTGACAAGTGCGAGATTTTCGAGTCTGGGGGCTATGATAATTGGCGATGGTGAGAGCGAAGGTAGGAAATCAGATAACGAAGCCGACCTCGCTTTTAGCATTTTATGACCTCACTTCCCAAATCTACTAACGAATAGACCTAGGGACATTCGAAAATTCGAGAGCTTTCACACGTGATCCGGTCTGCAGTGTTAGATTCATTTCGCGTGACTCATTAATGTTCTATTACTGGTTGAGAAGCAGCTGTCTGATCGTGCTCGTCGATATCACTAGCGGACCTGTTAGCTCTCTTGGAAGAAAGAAAAAGAGCAAGGGGACATACGTAGCTTCCCAAGGATAGCATATCCAAACGTCTCCTACTGTATTGGCAGCCAGATACCTACCCTCATCCATCATTTGCTGCGGCAAATTCCCTTTCTTCGTCTTGTCCTTGTTCTGTGACCCGCAATTAGCCAGCCCTACCTCTCCATCTCCGTCGTTCCCCGGCAGAGAAGGTCTGAGCACTTACATGTAGCACAAAAACACAAAACCGCGTCTTCTCCCCACCCCTCCCCAACTTCTCACTCGCAGCCTCCACATCCTTTTCCAATTCCCTAACCGCATATTCCAACGTCGTCCTCGTATCATCCACCTCATCCACAATCAACACGTTCTTCCCCACCAAATTGCTCATCTCCAAGCTCGACAGATCCAGCCATTGCGTCCTTGTGACTTTCGTACCGAGCTGCTCAACCGGATCTGAACTGGAGAGGGTTTCGTAGAGGGAGAGACCGATTGCTTGGATGGGGATGTTGGGGCTGCCGGGGCGTTTGAGGAAGGAGCGGAGGATTCGGGCGGGGACGTAGCCGCCGCCGCCGATGGCGATCATGAGGTTTGGTTGGAAGGAGGAGAGGATATGGGAGGCCGAGGCTTGACATAACTTGTGTACCTGTAAGAGCTTGTTAGCCTTGTCCATTGTTTGGGAGCCGTTGAGCAGTCGATTGTAGGGCGTAGCCATTGGGAATTCTTACCTGGTTGTAGGTCACGTAGACCTTTTCTACCATGTTGAAAGCGATAGTATATACGACTTCTGGGGTTTTGGCGGGCTTCAGCACCTTGGACCTGGTTTGTTCGAGTCACTGAATTGCTTTATGCTCCAATGTCCGAAAATCCCTTATGCAAGTAATGCATGTTGTGCAGCTGCTAGTGACTAAGCAACTTCTTTTTTTCCTTGCATAGAACGGTTACCGTCGGCTGCTGTACACCACACTTTACCATAGATGGTTAGGCTATGCCAAGACGACATCAGGTGATCGAGGGGATGTTTCACCCATGACGTACCGGCTAGTGGTTTCTTTGGTATAAATACCCACGTCCTTTTGCTACACAATCATCACTCACATCTTCCATCCTCAGACCTCAGACAATAAAGCAAATCACACATCCACACAATCAGTCACACCTATCTCCAACAACCAAACATCCACAATGGACTCAATCAAGTGAGCCCCGCCTGCTCCGCCTGCCCCTCACCTCCCCTTGCCGGCTGCCTAAACCCTGTTTACTGATCTGCTTGGTTTCCAGGAACACTGTCAACCAGGCCTCCGAGTCTTTCCAGGGTGCCATGTCTGGAACCTCGAAGCAGGGTAACGAGGGTGAGCTTCAACTCTTGCTTCTGTTTCCTCTACTCGTCGCTGACACGGTCCCCAGAGGTCGCAAAGGGCCACACCGACGCGAACGCCACCACGCGTCTCACCGCCGCCAAAGACGCAGCCTCTGACAAGGTCCACGAAAAGAAGCACGACGTAAGTTTCATTATTCTTTCTCTTACTCCCTTGATGGATCGTACTCCTGCTAATACGGCCTTTGTACAGACCAAGTCGGACGTCTACGCCAACAAGTAGGCATAGCCTCTTGCGAACGCCTGCCTACTCTTTCTCACATGAGCCAAAGGGGTACTATCTTCGGCAAGAAATGATTGCAACGGCCGATGGATACTGGCACAGCGGGAATTAGCTTGCGTGGAAAGCAACATTCCGGAAATGGAAAATGGCTTTGCTCTCGAGAGTTCAGTGAAGGCTTTTACGTAGGCTTAGTAGCTCCATTAACACAAGACTCATGAGCAGAACGCTTTTCCCATAACAACATCAACTTATAGCTGATCGGTGAAATTGCACATTGTGTTAAAGTGCCCCTGTTTCAAGCTCGGCAACTTACCACCGCTTGTCCCAAGGAGGGGTTCGTAGAGGCCCGCATCACCGCCTTTTGCCCTGATCGACCTTACCTACTTTACCCTGATCGACACAGGCATGAATAACATGCATTCTGCGAATTGCTGCATTCCTGTGACCGTGATCGACACAGGCCAATAGAGCGTGCACTGAGCAAGCATAGATTGAATACCTGCCAAGAATATGTATATACAAACGCCCGGCCTCAAAGCTATATATTGAAACAAAATCACCTCATGTACAAGAAAGCAAAAATACATACACCATCTCCATCCCAACCACACATTCCTCGGCCCACTCCCGCACCGACCCTGCCAACATAACCCAAACATTCCAAAACGCCACGCTAAAATCGCTCAACTGCAACAACAAGACAGTAACAAAATGGTATGTGCGTAATACTATACAAGACGAAACCAAGCCATTGGCCCGCAACAGCATTCCCATTCTCATTCTGATCCTCGATCCTCGTCAAGAGAATGATGACGTTAATTAAGACAATGAAGCCTCATACGCCGAATCCCGAAACGCCGCCAAAGTCGTGACAAAAGCGCCTGGCCTGCAGGCGAGCGGTGACGGCACGGACGAGTGCGGTCGAGGCAGCGGCCGTCGTTCCAGCACGGCAACTTCTCCGCAGTGCAGGAAACGGACGATCCCGGAGTCGGCGGCGGAAAGCTCTGGGCGAAAGGGCTATGTTTAGATTTCTGCAACTGCTACGGTTCGGGGCGGAGATGTGGAGTCGGACTCACTCCCTCTGGTGGTGGGGTCTTGGGTTTCGGGGGCGATGGTTTGCTGGTTGGGAGTGTTCTCGATGGAGTGAGAGGGTGTGGAGGCTTGGGGGAGGTGCGTTGTTGAGTGGCAGGCGAGGGCGAAGAGGGTGAAGTGGAGGACGCTGCACATGGCACATGTTGGCATTGGTAACCATTCATGAGGAACGGAAGGACTTACGCGACAGCACATGCAACGGAGTAAGTAGCAACCTGCAATTTCTTCAGGGTGTTCAAATGCGGCATGCACACCCACGGCACCTTATCCCCATTCATAAGCGTCACGCTGCCCATATCGCAAGTGTTGCTGATCGCGACCAGATCCTTGAAACCAGACTCCCTCAACGTCAATGCTGGAATCGTACATGCCAACAGCCACACCAAACAGATGACTTCGAAAGCGACATAGTACCCCAAATGAAGCGCCTTGCTCGTCCAGGCCGGGCGGATAGTGATGAAGCTAGTCCACGTGAAAGAGACCAGGACGGCAGCAAGGACAATTGGGTCCGTCCAGTCCGTATGCTTGCTTGGTTTGAGGGCCGTTGTGGGGTAGGAGGTGCTGGGGATCCATTTGTGGTAGAGACCGAGGGAGATAGAGAGGGCGACTATGGTTACGATGTCGAGGACGAGTATAACGATGCGGAAACCGAGAGCGTGGCCACGCCCGCGGGCCGGGACTTGGAGGTATGATGCCGATGTATTCATTGTGGTCATTGATTTCGGTACAGATGCTGGAGCTTTTGGAGACAGATTGATGAGTGGTAGAGTTGTCTTCGTCCCCTTTATGTAGAGAGTACGATTCCTGGAGGCATTCTCACTCTGGCTGTGCGAGATCACAGATCTCGCACAGCCAGAGAAGGAACTTGGTTTTTGTTTCAGATACAAATGCGAACACCGAGTGCGACGTGCGTATGGTATATGATGATGGTTCTCGGGTAAGCGCTCGGCGGTGCAAATACCGGAGGAGGAATTCTCAGAAGGCTGAAGGATTCGGGATCACTGCGCACTATTTTCAGCGTGAGCCAGCCTCGCCGTCGCACGAGCAGTTCTTCGTTGACAGGATATATTGGCGTATGAGGATTGAACTATACAACATGAGCCTGGGCATGTGGCTTTTCCATCCATCTCCTGCGCCAAAGCAGAAATCTTCGCCTGTTAGTTGCGATTACCCCCGAGACGTTGATTCCTTTGTACATAGGTGTAGAGCTGACTCATGAGCCAACATCTGCCTCCCAGATGCTCTTCACCTGGTGTCAGTGTCACGCTTTGTTGTAAGAGAATGTTGCAAAAGTCATGCATAGAGAGTTAATTCCAATTTCCAGCACGACAATTCATTTACGCATTTCTTTCGTCGGCTTCGATCTGAACAAATCAACTCTGTCGATCAACGGCTATCAGATGTGACCAGGCTCATCCTTCCCAACACTACGCCTAAACTTTGGAACTTCAACAGTGAATTCCCTTAATTACAGGTCGACAAAAGGGTTAGGAAAAGTTCGTGAACGGGGTCGTTTGTTTTTCTGGCACCGCGCCTGAACTGTGGGACTTCATTCGGAGATACTCGCCCCTATGCATGACTTTTGCTAGGTTGTCTTACGGGCGGCCACCCAGAAAGGCACAAAGGTTAAGGGACTACCTCCCACGGAGCCACGGAAACATCCTGTAGAATTGCGCCCGTGCTCAGTAAGTTACCTTAGTGTTAGAGGCTCTATGGGGAGGCGTTGCGGAGGGTGTCTCGGCACGAAGGGTTTCCGGTAGATTACGAGTCATGAGAGACATGCGAATGAGTGGTGATTCGAACGGTCAAGCTCTGTGGATGGCTATGGTATAAGAATTCAAGCCACGGGAAGGGCCACTCAGAATCCTCTAGAGACCCCAGCGCCCTGCCTTCGCAATCACCTCCCCTTCCCTTTTCTATACATTTCTCCAGCGGAGATGTCAGACCAAACTTTTCGATTGTTGCTCCTCTCTACCATGAAACCTCCAAAAAGACAAAGCGTAGACCAGCTAACCCACTGCTTGCGAAAGTCCCACCCCGCAAGTCGGGCTGTGGAACAACGATTGTACCCTTTCATATCGACTGCACGAGCAGACGAGGATGGGGGCCTAGTGTTTAACATTAGAGCCGATATGACGGGTCAGCCGTGTTTGCCTATAACGCTTCTATGGGTACTTACCTAGTCCAGGGTTCAGAGTCTAACCGTTTGGAATTTAGAAGAGAAGTGTTGGGAGCTGTTGTTCCTGACACCACTTGTTGTGTGTGTCTGAAATTGTTTGGTCGGGGTGGGTAGGGATGAGTGCCGGGATCGGAGGTTTCAAGTGATAAATTTGTCGAAGAGAAGGTGAAAGCGCCCAGAGTTAATGAGCAACCAGTGAAATCCTACGAGCCAGAACCTGGCCGAAAGACGATTTTATGCCAGTAAGCATATGCTCGTCATCTATTGAGATAGGTTGCAATGATTTAGTGCTGGAAATTCTGGAGAATCGCGGGTGTAGTTGCATAACTGAGCGCCAAGTTACCTTTCTAGGTCATGATCATCAGGGAGTGCGGGGAAGATATTAAAGTAGCAACTGTTTCCGCAGAATTCCCATCTGAAAAGTGTGCGGAAACAGAGCTAATTTCCAAAGTCTTTCCTAAATTGATGGCCTCTCACGTTCACGATTTCCAGAGACTTGTGGATCAACCTATAGGCTCTAAAGCTCTAAGATTCGTCAAAGACTTAGGCCAATCCCCAAGTCACTTGTCGAGTTTATGGGCTCCCGAGCCTTGGTTAATCAGAGACTTGCGGGCCAATCCTTGGATTCTTCACCAAAGACAGTAGCTTCTGAAGCTTGACGATCGTCAATTTGTTACAAGTCCATGGGAAAATCCTCATATAAAGTGCCAAACGGGGCTCTTAAATTCTCGATTTTGTGGGGTACTCCCAATGGAAATTGTCAATTGACGGCCTTTCAAGCTTTGAAACGACTCAATTCAAAGGATTTTGCCGATTTGTTTGATCAGACTGATGGCCTCCGAGACTTAAACATTTGGCGGGGTCATGTAGAGTCAAGCCTGCCAAGTCAATGAGTTGCGGGATTTGCCCGATTACCTTGAGAGCCTGGAAGCCGTAACTCGTAGGTGACTTCCCCAAAGAACGACCTGCATGTAAGCCGCCTCCTGCGTAAATGGCGTATTTCTTCAGCCTAGTACCTACAATCTCGACTGGACTACAGGCGTCAGCCTTAGACCGGTTTGGCTATTATCACCAGCACTAATGCAGCTGCAGCTGAGGCATTAGTGCACATGCAGCCATCGAATCCAATGGCGATGAAGCGAAGGTTTGCACTCAGGGGGAGAAGCGCCAACGCCGCCAAAAACGCAGCGGTACGGCCGGGACCGCCGATGGATAAGCGAGAAGCTTGTTTAAGGGCAGTGGGGGACTCGCTTGCAAGTTATCTAGGTAAGTTCAGATCATGCTAACATCTACTCGTACAATGAGGCGCGATGGTAACTTTAAGAGCTTACTCTTTCTTGTCTATGCTGCTACCTTGAGAAGTTATCTAGTTCCAAGTCTGCGTTGACCGGTACTGGCTTTCATTGTAGCCGAAGGCCTGAGCAAATTGAATCGCAGATCCCTCATCAGCCTTTTATGCAGTTCCAGTCGGAAAAGGAATGTGGTCGTGGAATCAATTCAGACCCACTTTTCCGCGACGTGCGTTGCTTCCTGAATGATCGGCAGCAAACATGTGCATAGTTCGACTGACTTCTTGCGAATACACGTGGCAGTACAAGAGAATCTTGAAATGCACGATGTTGGCTGGTTGATGAGCTGGATGCCGCAGCAATCGACTCTACTCTTCCTGCCTCTTCGAGCATCCCTAGATACAAATTCGTGGTTAGCCCCGCTCCTTCTCCGAATCCCAGCATTGCCGTATAAACGCAAGATCAACACTGCCAAAGGAAGACCAATGATCTCGCTCAACGAATACCGTCACATACAACAAGCAACGGCCGGATCAGAGTTATGTAGGTTTGCTCTCATCCCAAATGGTCTGGACTCAAAGACCTGGATTAGGTAAGCACACAGATGACCTTCCGAAAGACTTCATAGCTGACTTCTCATATCCTTTAGACCCTTTGGAGTGCATGCCTTTGGCAAATTTCATCATCTTCGCTCCTGGCAAGTGAATATGTCGGTACCCTGGTCCAGACTCTCGAGGCTGTAGGCTAATCCTTACTTCGGTGACCGTTATCACTTTAGGAACCATATTACTCCTATATTAATGATCTCGATCGAGCTTCACATGTACCTAAATATATCCTCTCTTTGTCATGTCCTCTTCATATTATCATCTGCCATAAATTGTCACCCTTGCATCCGCCAAACCCACGTTCCGGTCTACTAAACCTATGCCTGTCAACTGGTACTATAAATACTATCCTGTAAAAAAACCCGTCCTATAGTCCAAAAATGTCGGAACCCTTGAGAGATCTCTCAGAAACCTCAGAAATAGTATGATTACCCTTCGGTTCTGAATCTTTGCAGTGCTGACAGACCCATAGCCGCAACCTCTTTACGGCCGTGGTCAGATTGTCTTCATCGAAACCAATCTTTATTTCAGGGGCAAACCTACACGCAAGATGTACTGGATATGGGAGAGCATGTATGATCCCTTATATGGGTGTATCTCGTACTCTCTGAGAGATGGGCCTGGAGAGGGCGCGAAAGTCATGGGCTGGGCTAGTGAGGAGGATCTTGAGCTGGATCTCGAGCAGGATCTTGAGGAGGATCTCGAGGAGGATCTCGGGGAGGACTTCGAAGACGATCTCGAGGAGAGTCTGGGCCAATAGATACCGGTGAAGGGGTTTGACTCACCCATGTAATCTAGTTTCAGGAATATCATATCGTTACATACATCAACCATGGTTTGAAATACTGACCGCGGGCTGGTCAAACATACACTAAGCCAGACTCAGACTTAGTGCTTATGAAGGCGAGGATCAAGTTAGAAGCTTTGCAAGAGAGCTTAAAAGGATGGGAAGAGCTTTCAGGTATCACCAATGGTTATCCCAGCCAACTCACGTTCTACTGGCTGAGGTGCCAATCTCACGGTTCCGTCTTCTTCATTGGGCGCTAGCCTTCCGACGGTAGCATCCATCCGAAGGCAGTCGACCTCCATAACACTTATTGGCAGCCTTATAATCGCACATAGCGTTGTTTCATACATTTTTCACTCCCCAAGCCCTACGTAACCCTCAAATCTCTCTCTTTTTTTAACCTGCGTGGACTTAGACGGATCCAGATAAGATGGAGCCTTCAAAAGAGCCGGTTCCCCCGGCGAGGAGCGCCAGCGACGAGTGCGCTGTCCAACATAATCACCCATTGACTACTGTTCGCGATTTGGGGATTTACTTCCATTCGCTCTTTCTCGAATCTTTGCACGTAGGTACCATTAGGTGGCTCCGTTACAGCTAAAAAATCAGTCCTCATCGCAGTATCATTACGGCTGGATCTTTTCATGTTCACTTCTAAATTTAGAGATTGCGGTGAGGCGGCTGCACCTACATCGTTATTTTACGTCCTTCACACTAAGACCCTATATCACTTACGCCCTTGACACTTAAGCATTAACACTTCCACTACCCCTCTTCCCTAATCGCTTATTCCCCCGCTTCTCTCTTCCATCTTTCTTCCTTCTTCGCTATCACCCTTCCCATATCCTCCACTCGTCAAAACCGCCACACCACGTTCCTAGTCTACCAAAATCTAATCGTTGCCCTCAACCCACGATCAGAACACTATCATCAGTGACTTGCCATCAGCGGGGTCTGTGAACCAGTATCAACGAGTCATTACAACAGAATACGCCATACCTTCCAAAGATGTCCTTCGTCTGGAGCGACCCTTTCAAACCTCAAGCAGAAGTAAGATCACCCAAATTTCTAAGTATATCTAGAGTGCTAAAAGACACAAAGGCACAGCCACAACCAATCTATACCCGCGGTCACATCGTCTATGACAAGAGCGACGTTGATTCCAGAGGAGAACCTACGCGTAAGAAGCTCTGGGTATGGGAGATGAAGTATGATCCAACCTACGAGAGTGCGAGTTCGCACCGTGAGAGAAAGAAGGCGTTGTCGTACTCCATGAAGGATGGGCCTGGAGAGAAGGCCAAAGATATGGGCTTGGTTTCCGAGGAGGACTTGAGGGAGACGGAGCCTGAAGTAGAAAACTTGATTGATTTTGACTGATCAACCCTTGCATGTTGCTGGCAGGCGGCCGCACCTAGCTAGATTTTCATCATACGCCCGATAACAATTCCGCCCTACCCTAACACTTCTGCCACACAGGTCTCACTTCCCGTCATCTCTAACCGCTTATCCCCCGTCTTCCTTCTTTCATTGTCGTCCATCACTCTCTCTTCTTCACCATCACCATCTCCATATTTTACAGGTCTCACTGCTACCAAACCACATTCCCAACCTACAATCTCCATATTCTCCCATCCCCATTACCACCAAATCACGCGCCCACATACCAAAATCCAATTATTGACGTTGACCAGTAGCAAGAGACGCCCATCAGCGATTTACTATCAGTAGTGTTTGTGAACCAGCATCAACAGGTCATTAGAAATGAACACGCCGCACCTTCCAAAGATGTTCGACAAACTCCGGCACGGCCCTCGCACCACTCCCATATCCTCGGAAACGGTAGGACCACCTAAAGATCCCGGCGACTTGCTGAGCGGACAGATACAAAGCCACCAACATTATTCGAACCCGGTGCAATCGTCTTCGACAAGCGCGATCGCGATCGCGATTCAGAAAACAAACCTACACACAAGAAGCTCTGGGTATGGGAGGTAACATACCATCCACCACCCTATCTGAGGGTCAAGTCGTACTTACTAAAGGATGTGGCTGAGGAGCAGGCGAAAGATATGGGATCGGCGTGCGAGGTGGATCTGGAAGAATGGACACCGGGGAAGGGGGAAAGGAATAATTTGATTGACTTTTAATCGAGGGCAAGATTAATCCTCGCACGCATCAGCGAGAGGGTGAGGTGGACTGATCATGCGTACATTTGTTTGCCGGATTTGATGCCTTGTCAAGAGACAAGCTGCAAAGTGAACCATACTCATCATAGGAGTTAGCATTTTCGAACTATCATTTCTAGGCTATGAAACTGACGCCCATCATCAACACAGTGATGTTCGTAGCTTCCCCTCGTGATCGATCTTGCCCTCACTACCCGACTTAGCCTCTTGGCATGGTTGTTTACACATCGACCCTCTTGTCCGAAACCATCTTCTGAGCTCTTCACCTTTCGACATCTCTTACCCTCCAGTCCCTGATGGCATCAAATTTTCCGAGGATAACATCCTCTCGATCATAATCATCCCCGTGGGGCCAAGCGGTGCGACGGGACAGATCGAAGCCGCCAGTCTAAAACAAAAGCGATCCATTCCGGCATCTTCCAACTTTCACCACATAACCATCAGTATCCCGCTCCACCCTCCAATCTCCCCGCGCCGCTCCCGATCCCTCCACACCGACCTCACCGGCCATGGAAACGATAATCGCCGACATCGTGAGGGCCCGTGAGGTCATGTCCCTCCTCAAGCCCTTCCACACCATCAAAGCCTCCCTGGCCGCCTACGCCGTCACGCGGGCCATCATCACCGACGCCACCTACCTCCAACTCACCTTTCCGATCATGGTCGAGGTCATGCGCGGCAACTACCTGGTCATCACGGAGCCCGTCGTCGTCTACGTCAGCGACTGGAACCTCGCGAACGATCTCGCCCGCATGTACATCCCGTGGGGGCCGGTCCGGGAGACGGTGGTGGTGTTCTGCTTCGGCAACATCTTCATGGAACGCGGTCACTACCGTCTCGGGCGGGACGCCACGAGCATGCTGAGGCTCCTGAAGGCCAGGGGCGGGGTCGATAAGATCGTGGTGCACTTGGAGATGGGGCTGGGTGGCGTGGAAGGTTGAAAGGGCGGGGAGAGCAATCGGGTTGAGTATGGAGGTTTCGGTTTCGGGAACTGCTCACAGACGGACTGCAGTCGGATTACTGTATTTTTTTTTGACCCTTTGGCTAAGCGGGAGGTGGCAGGCTTATGTTGTAGTTTAGGAACGTTTTCAGATGAGTCTAAGTGAAACTTGCATGACACCACTCTCTCGCCCTAGAGTTGCTCTTTTTATTTCCATGATGCGTTTCATTCATGCCCTGACTGCAACTTCGCTGTTCGGAGATACGTCTTTCGCGGCGAGAGGCCGAAGACATTGGCGACTACATTTGATCGCCGTCCATTCTCTATCACATCGGCTATATAAGGTCCTTCCTACCCTTCTTCTCCGACCATTCCTTCTCTATCTCCCCTCTCTCTTCATCTTCTCCCCATCCTGCATTGTCTTGCCACCCTTAGCATTCATGTCCGCAGCCAGCTACATCTGCCATCATTGCTTATCATCATCAACACCCAACTTCACCGCACGACCATCCTCTACAACCCAACCATCAAACCAGCAACGCGTCTTCCTTCGCCACTCAAAGGAGACCTTCGATCCTGGTCCTCGGCTCGACGCTCCCAGGAAGCCCGACCATACCGCCCACGCTTCCCTAGGCCGCGAAGCCGTCACCGTGGAAGAGATCACGTAGAGTACGCCGAGTATCCCACCTACACCTTTCCCATCATCGTCGGATTCGAAGCCCCATCGCCGGACGGCACTAAATATTATCTACGCCGCTTTCCCCGTCGTCATGTGCACCGATCTTAAGGAAGGACTGGAGAGGCTGGTTAGAAAAAAGGCATCATGAGGCGGCCACGCTCCGAGTCAGGTGTTCGGACGGGCGTTACTGCTTCGGGAACGGTACCGGTGCGATGCTGAGGCTGTTGCAGGCGAAAGGAAGCGTAGATACGATCTCTGCGCAGTGGATCCTAGACGACTGAGGGCAAGGGAGGCTGCTTCTCTGCAGGCGTCGGTGTGGTTGGAAGGGAGGTGATCGGGCGAGGAAACACGCGCTGAGGTGGCAGTTTTCGGGATGTTGTCAGGGTGCGGATCGTGATAGCGATACGACGGATGTCCAAGCTGCTGGATGTGGAGCGCCATTGAGAGGAAGTGGCAGAAGTCATGCGTAGAAAAAAATGGAATTCGTGACAGGAGAAAGCTTTCTTTGTTTTCGTTTGCGCATGTGTTTATGGGTAATGACAAGAAAAACTCGACATTTCCTAGTACATTGATCTTGACTAGAATGGATTAGACGTATAAAAAGCAGTGCACTTGCGGGGGAAAAGAATTGTCTAATTCTCATGTTCGGACTCTCCAGACCAAATCCAGCACAAGAGAACCTCGACAGAAGTGGAGGTCCCAGACAGGACGCGGTAACGTACCTAGACGAACAAAGAAGGAGTATCTGCTTCCGAATTATTTTTCGCGGCCGGGATTCATCTGCAGGCTCCTAGGTACTTCCGCCCGGGAGTTTGAAAACCCCCAAACCCTTGCAGACTTTGTCTAACATCACGTGATGATCTCATATCAGTCGGACCACCTCAGCTTCCTCAATTGTTGACAGTCCACTCCACACCTCACCCAACAAGAAAACCAAACCCCCAAACATAAAAACAACGTAAGTCAACGCACTCCAAATTCGACTCCCATACAAACCATGGACCAACCGTCAAAACAGCGGCTCTTCTTCCCTTCCAAAAAGTCCACCGCCAAAGCCCAAGAGAACCACCATCTCCACACCTTCTTCTCCATCACGCTCGAGCTCAAGAACGCCCGAAAGGCCAGCAACATCTGCACGCCCATCGTCGTCGCCGCCGCCAACGGTTCCATCAAGTACAGCATCCGGACGAACGCATTTTGCTCCATCGAGGACCCGATTGCGCTGTACGGTGGTGTGGGAGGGAGGGAGGGGGAGCGGGATGCATTTCGCGACGTTCGAGAAGGTTGATGGAGGAGAATACGTTGCGGTTGGTGCAGTAGTAGTGGAGGTGGGTGTTTGCATCTTGTGGGTTGGTGGGTGATGGGAATGACGAGGATGCTGCTTTGGGTTGGGGTACTGGGAGCAAGGGTGAGGGCATGCATACCAGGTCATGCGAAAGCACTGTTCCTCCCGGGCGTCTTCGTCAACGGGTTGTGATTGCCTGCCAACGCATTGGGTGATTGGTCTCCTTTCTCTTGATCATGACGTGTCTGTGTTTGACAGTTGAGAAACCCTTAAGCTTATTGCCTACTTCGTCGTTCATATATGTTGTAGCAAAGAAGGATCCGTGAACTGCCGGTAGAGAACCACTGTTTGTCACACTCCCGACCAACACCGACAAAATGTCGCATTCAACATATCAACAACGAGACTTTGCCACTGTCAAGGCCAACTGGCTAGCCGAAGAACTTTCTGACGGCAGAATTAGTTGGACAGACTACCTAAGCCGAACTGTGCCTGTAATGGTAGGCGTTCAATCGCAAGGCAAGACGGTAGAGTGCCTTCCGGTGGTCATCGCCTTGTCAGAGTTCTTCGAAGTTTTTGCGCACGATCTCAAAAACATGTTTCTCAGCGACTCCAATGACACCGATGTACAGCACGAGCAGGCGATCCTAAAGGTAAAATGGGGCGGATCCGGATCTCAGCAATTCGACGGCTACGACACAATGCTGCTGAGCAGCAAGAATTTAGAGCCGACGATACGTCTCTTGAAGCAGAGACACGGGAACGACATGATCTTGTTGGAGCTAAATGGCTGGTATTCTGCTGGTCAGGTCGATCCAATTGGCGGTCAGATTGTTTTGAGACGTGAGGGTAGAAAGAAGCAAGGGGGGCGGATAGCCCCAGAAGGTGAGAGTGGAGAGAAGCGGAATAGTGGGAGTCACAGCGACGTGTCGATGGAAGGGACTTCACCACCTAAGGACGTTCCGACCGGACTCGGGGATTCAACAAAGTGCCGGTCGAAGCCGTGATTGGGTGAAGGAATCGAGCAGCCAAGCTGCGCGCGGAAAATCTGGAAGTAGTGCCCTCTGATACACATCAGGCAAGCCGTCAGGAGAACATTCGGTTTTGGTGGTTGACATTTTCCCACAGTTAGGATTGGCTAGGAAAGGATTGGACGAAGAATTTTACGTGCAACGTAAACTCGTCGCTTTCCATGTTCTTGATCTTTTGCGAATTGTATTTACGCAACGGCCACCATTGCAGGGAGCGCGCCCGAGGATGGAAATGATCCGTGGATCTCTGATACTCAACAATCGTCTCCATAATTCAGAAAAATTGCAGCATACTAAACAGCTTGAAAAACATAGTAATAGTACCCGTGCTCTCATCTTCGAAATGAATGCTAGCGCCAAATAGTTGCAGTGAGGTCATGTTCTGCTCCAAGGATTGCTGTGAAATTTGCGAAAGGTCCAGCTTCTCCGATCAGAACTAGTTCAGCCGTGGTTGAGTAGTCAATTCTTGGACTTATGTTCCCGGGCTGCGGAACCGGAATAGTAAAAGCGACTTTCAAGTTGGCAGGTGGGTGGGAAGTGAGGAGCTAGATAGACAGACAGGTGGGCGTTTAACAAATCACTGTAAGCCTCTTACATACGTTGACGAAGCAGCTGGGCGTTACTTACAGTAGCAGTGATATTGAACGTGAATGAATGCGCAGGAACCAGAATGTTATATTCGGCCAAACCAATTTCTATAGATGACAGTGTCGAAAAGACGAACAGAGAATCTTGTAGTGGAAACTTGTGGTCACCAACTGGGATGCCTGAGAGCCCGGCGGTGACGGGGATATTGAGAGTGAAGGGATACTGGAAAATGGGACCGTAGACGCCGTTCCCTGTGTCTGTTGGGAGATCACCGAATGCGTTTGTATCGATTCTTTAAACGAGTCCACTTCGATTACTAAAAAAGACTCTTAAGCCAAAGAGTCAGTTTTTCAGGATGAGCAGTAGTAGTGAAGGATTCTGGCGTACGTCAAGCTGTTCGGGACCGGAGGTGATTCCGCCAACGTCGATATACTAGCAGTGCGAGAAAGGGTGCATGGGCTTCTCTGCGAGGAAAGTACGAACTACTGACGACAAAAATTGGAGGTCCTGCCTCGAGGATTGTTGGAGAACTTGCTAGTTGGCGACTGGCGAAGGCCTGTGATATGCATGTGGGGTGAGCATTTCCATTGTTTTTCTCATGTCACACGAGCTGACCTTAGGAGCTTTGAAGTCTGGACCCTGGGAAGTTGGTGGGCCATCCGTACTTCGATCCTGGGACGAGCACTGAACGCGAGGAGTTGTAGTACGCAAAAAAGACAAGGCCTAGGTAAGAAGCAAAAGCAGGGATACGTGATGAATACACTAGTCCATTTTAGGCATAGACTGAGTAGGTAATCTTGGCAACTCCTGGCACACTGAGCCGCGGAAGAGTCCCGGCCGAGTCTGAGATTGGTTCTATCTATAACCAACTATTTTCACAACAGTGAAGTCCTCAAGGTGTGAATGACATAACATATCTCGAAAATCGTCGTCTCGTTAAAAACTATCCGCGGTACATGTGTTGGAAATGATAGGTCCCACCAGGAGCCATATTCACTCTTCAGTACCTCATCATATGTTACTCCCCCGCCATACTGGCATAGCTAGTGATTAGTGAACACGGATTTGCGACAGCCGATAAGGACGAAAATGTGATGACAAGAGTAGGTGCATTGTATCATGTTGGAATCGAGACAGACAAGCGCTGTCCCCGATCAAACACGATATATTGGATCTACCACACCAAGTCGCTGTCAAGAGAAGTACCAATTATACGCAGACATCCACGGTAAAGGCTGCCCCCCGGCACCAGTAGAGACACAAGGAGAAACGAGTCTCAGCCTTCCGACCAGACCACTTTTTGCCAGCTGAACAGATAGCACCATGCAAGCCTTATCTTAGATCTGATATTGTTACCGTCAAATGCAGTGTCTACCGATCGCGCTCCTCATCAGACAACTTTGCATCTGCAAACGTTTAGAGTAATGAACATACCTGGCTCCCAGCCTGACTATGCACATGAACTTGCCACCCCAGATCAGCAGGAAACATCCACGACTTGCCAGGATCCTTGACGGGCCGCGACCAGTCAACCGACTTGTTTGCTGGAGAACTCCAAGAGACTTTATAAAAAGCTATTTTGCCCATTTGCGTCAGCTTCAAAACTGAGACAAGAAATCATATCGCTCAAGGCAAGGGGAAGATTAGGAGGGCAGGTTATTACGGGCGTTGCCAGCACGGTTTTCTTGCAAGGGCACATGAATCATGACCGCGAACCAAACATTCCCATTCTGCCATCCCCATGTCGTATCGAAGGGCCCCAGTGCAATATGCTTCGCGCTGCATGCGATGGACAGGGTCGCCTGTCGGTGCGTGTCGAGCGTGTCTGCGGGCTGAGAAATAATGCGCTGGGGCCAGTGATCGGAGACGGAGACACGCGTGCTGCTGAATGTGGTGGTGAAGTCGGTTATATTGTTAGTAAATCCTATGCTGCGGTTTTATGTTGCGATGAGTAGGACTTTCTTTTCCAGCGATGAGGGGGCAGACGAACCTGAAGTCGGGGGAATTGCTTGCGGCGGTGAGATTTCTCATTAAATGGCGTGCGGGTGCTCGCTCGGTCTCGTCGATGGCCGAGGTTGTGAGCTACGGTCCCATATATCCCATGAGCGCGTTGACCATCTACATGCATCAGGACCCTAGCACGCTTTCACTTACCGCGATCTCAGCAGCAGTCACGAAAACTATCCCCGCAAGTGCCTCCCCAGCAGCCCGCAACTCAGCATCCAGCGTACTCCCCTCCGCAGCACTCATTATTATAGAACTATCATACAACAGCTTGACCGCCGTTTTGAAAAGGGTGTCATATAGCCGTGCGCCGGTGTCACCCTCTTTTTTGACGAAGATGAGATCTTGGTCGATGGCTTGGACGACGGAGCCCTTGCCGCAGAGCATAGCGTGCGAGAGCGCCCGCATTCCTTGGTACCCATGGAAATCGTAGCTAAGCGCCCTGGGGTAGAGGATGACATACCATCTGTCGTATTGCCTGTCGATGAAGAGGCCGGGAGTGTCCTGGTGGATTGAGTCGGTTAGCTTCTGATGTGGAAGATTGGGGGTGTGGAAGTGATTCGTGGTGAATAACATACCGGATAGGACATGATGCTTCACGAAACGGACTCGGTGTTCTCTGTGATCGTAGAACGTAGGCCGGGAGTTTTGAATTCTTAAGGGAGTGGAAATGACTTGAACATTCCTTGGAGCTGAAGCAAGGGGCCGGACGCATCGCTAGCATTCTTGGTACAGCGCACGAACCGAACCGGATAGATGACTGATCTCTAGGAAATTTGCTGCGACGAGAATCTGAAGGTCAGTCCCAACGATGAGGCAGATATGACTCTGGGCATCTGATATAAAACATATCTCCCCCACGTGTTGGCGTAAATGCCCTCAGTAAGTTAGTAGCACTCGCTATTTTTGACCAGCAACAAGATTGACACATTTGATGTCCCAACGTCTTAAGTCGTAATTCAGAGAAAGAAAGATCTGTTGTGACAGAACACGCAGAGGGAGAGACAAGCTAATCGCCGACCGCTGGTATTGACGCGCGCTGAGATTTCCGGCTTCAAAGTCCCGTTCATGATATTGTGAATGTATACCCGCAGTGACGTCTACGACTCCTGCAGCGAAAGGAAAGGGCTGCGACCCTCTCACTCCATCGTTTCCTTTGATTTCTGCACTCATTTAAGAAACAAGAATAAAAACTAAAAAGGGGACATCTACCTCATGGGAAAAATTTCCGTCTCATCTCGCTATCAGAAAGCTGTATCAGCTTCATCATGCTGCGTGACTGGTGTGCTTGACCTTAATGAGGAGAATATTAGCCGACTACTGCATTACGTGGAGCGCATATCGAGCTTACCCTGGAACACTTTTGGTATGCCGGAGTTGAGGGTGCACTGGGGAAGTAGCCGAGGAGTGCGAAAGCTGACCTTGACGGACGATAACATAATCGCTGCATCGAAGAGGCCGGAGCAGAGAGGCAGTATGGAAAGTATCCACCTGGTGCATGGAACTACCACAACGGGCTAATCGAGCAAGTCTGCGGTATGAAATTGAGTCGACAGAATAATTCTGAATGATTCTGGTGGGTTCCATAGCATGAAGAAAATGAGCATGGTTGATTGTTTAGGTTCTATGTCCTCAAAAGCGCCCCTGTACACACAAATCCACCGTGCCATGTACCTCCGTCTCGCTCATCACACCCTTCTCGTGAGCCATCACAGAAACCATGAGTGGAAACTTAGGAATCCCAGTCGGCAACCCCCACGACCTCATTTTCGCCCCCCCCCGCCCCCGGACCGGGGCGACCGCCTCCAGATTGCCATACATCCCGAGCCGTCCAGCTTGCGGCCGTCTTCTGGCAGGCGCCCTTCCCTCGACCGGAATACCTAGTAGGCCTTACATTCCCCATCATGGTCCATTTCAACAACACCTTCCATCCCGTCATAGTCAGTCTCGCGGAGGACTACAAAGGCCTCTGCAGTGACCTTCGATCCATGCTCAGGATCCAGGCCCAAGTTTTCTCACGTGTGTTGATTGAACGACCAGACGGTCGTTGGAACTCGTGTTACCTGAACAGTTACAACACTCCATCGATGTTGAGGCTTGTAAGAACGAGAGCCGGGGTGGATACGTTGGTCGTTGAGGTTCTGTAATGCCATGAGATGGGAGGGGGTTAGTATGAGTGGGAATTGGGCTGGACTGCGGAGGCTTGTGAGACACTGGGGCCAAGATTTGATTCGGTTTGCAACGCATTCTAGCCTCCTTCTAATCTTGACATTTTCCACGAGACAGCATGAAAATCTAGCTCTTGAAGGTCACCGACCGCGATGCCTATTTTGCAAATTCACCGTTTCCATCAACTAACGGGTTACCAAACGGGTGTTTTGTGACAGGTGAGACTCGAAACGCACACTCCAACAATTTACTCCCTCCATGTAGCAATACAATAGATACAGCCCTTTACTCAATGAAGTCTGCCATTGCAATCTCTTAAGATGTCATTTCCCTAGATACAATTAATCCCTACAGCCACGGAGAGATTTACATCCAGGACCTCAAGAATTTATAAGAGGCGGCGTCGTGTTGAACGTGGAGAGCCTTCTGAGATCAGGATTTGACATGTTGAGGCTAGACAGTTTGTCCGCGGGTGGATATGATCCTCGCCCAAAGAAGAAAACAACCAGACTGCCGTGGAAACCTGAAAGAGTGTAAAAGTTAATTTAGATCGCGCTTGATGTTCCTCCACCAACTCGTTGTGCATTTTGGTGAAAGTCATCAATAATTACCGAGAGAAGCTGAGACCTCAGAAAGGCAGGATAGTGTCTGGTCGGAAGAAAATGGGGGTTTACTAGGGCACTGCACTTACTTTGCGGCCTTCCATGGCCACTTTCCCCGTTCTTCACGCACATCTCATTGACAGCGACAGCCTCCGACCAGACGCTAGCCCAGGTCGCTATTTCCACTGGTGGCGCTATTGACACCTTGCTGGCCAGGAGTAGTTTACATTGTCTGTCCGCTAAAATGGTGGGTTAGATAAAAGTCCAGGACGAGCGAAAGGGGAAAAGGATTCAGGAGTCAGAATTGGCTGGGCTGAACCAAAGACCTAACTTACCTGAGACGATAAAGTATGGCAATTGAATTTGGACCCCAGGCTGTTGGAAGGGTTTAATATTGACGGTCCCTTGCAATGTCCATTGTGGTATTCAACAGAGCGGAATCTCTGCAACAAGACGCACCTGCCACGGAAGGCCAAAATTGGTCAAGCTTTCTGACCACTGCATGGTGTCGAGTATATCTTTGCAGGAATCATAAGATGGCGGCGCCGATGTCGTTTGGTCGCGACACTCGACATTCGGGTAGTAACGACTGATTTCGGCCGAGAGGGACCTGTACCTTATACCTGAACTCGTAACGATACAACATTAGTAGATGGAATAACGTAGTGCGATAAGGAGTGCCAGTTGAAGCCAAACCCAAGACTTTTGCTCAGGCAACAATTCCTAACATCTTATTGTAAGAAGTCATGTGCAAAACATACCTAAATTTGTCACAAGTCCACCCGTGCTGGGCTGTCGCATTTGGACACAATCACGGAGCACTGCACTAGCAGCGTTGGTGATTTGAAGGTAGTTGGATACATCTCGCTGTGCTCCGTTGAGATCGACTTTCACGTCGATGGCACATTGGCCATCGTCTATATTGGAGATTAGCCATCTTGACACCAAGGTATTCAATCGCTCTTGGCTTTGTCAGCCTTACTAAAGCGTTTGTAGCAGTCTAGCATACTCCGTCCGCATAAAGTTGCGTAGGTAGACTATAGCCACTCAAACATGACGAGCTATGGGAAACTTACCGCTGAGATATCGACGTGGTAGTACGACGTCCCAAGTTCCTGTACCTCTCTCTCCAAAAGTTATAGGGGTTGTGACCTGGGATATCTTCGCTAGAGCACTGTTACAGCTGGCTTGGTTCAGGTAGCGCCCGTATGAGATACTGCAATCAGGGCTATAAGATGACACAGGACTCGCAAGGTCTTGCCGGCTCGTGTTGTTCGTATGCAGTGTTTTGAGGACAATTGGCAGGCTCAGAGAGCTGGAGATAATGTTTCGTGAAGACGGTAGAGCATTCGAAGAGACGGTGAAGACCGAGAGAAGCGGGATGACGAGGGAAAGGAATATGGAGAACATTCCTAGAGTCTGGGGGGTTGAATTAGTAGGCGTAGAAGCATTGGGAAGATTGATTCTTATACGTGATGACGGAGAGATTTGCGCTTGGATGAGGAGCTCAGGAAATGCGCAGATGCGCAGATGCGGTAATATCGTGTCAATCTGCCTCCCGCTCCCCCAGTCGCTTGTGGATCATGTTCCAGTACTATTTTCTAGTATTTGATTGGAAAGCATACCCTTCTGATATTATAGTGCATTTTAGACCAAGTAGATTCCCGCCTACCCAGTCTGGCCCTGCGGCTAGTAGATATCACTATCAGGAACCATGCAATCGTAGGAAAATGGCAGACAGCCGCTTGAGCAGTCCTGATGCGGGAATAGAGGGCTCTAGGAGATGTTCTCTGTCCATTCTTCTATTGCACATGGCCTTGTTTGTGACGGAAGTCGGAGCCATCCTCCTTTGTTGCCATGTAATTTGCATACGTACAGGGACTTAACTACGTAAGGAACGCTCACTTATTGCCTGCAGGCTACACTGTTGGCGATCTATGTAAGGTCAGCTAATCACTTACCTTATGCTACAATACTAATCATTTTACCGGCTCACGTATGACTGACCCATCTGCATCTTCTCAACGGACAACTGTACCCGAAGTCTTTTGCGTCGCAATGTGATTTTTCCGACAGTCCAAATCGGTTCGTCTGCGATTGCATCTCTTCAAAAGTTGTCGCTGTGGAGATAGAGCAGGGAATGAAAGTTTCTATGAGTAAGTAAATACGAGTAGCGCCTTGACATTCTCATTGATTGCATTTGCTACGAGTCTGCTCCACGGCCTTACACATTTTACCACTCACATACTGAGGCCCCTTAGAACTCTTATAGTACGAAGTCGCCAAGACCGCAGTCCCCTATCACATATCACCGTCTGCATCACTTTCCAAGCTATTGATATCTCGTCTGATGTTCGTCAAATTCAATTTATCGCTGACTTCTTCTGCTAACGCCCATTCTAGATGTTCAGAGGCGATTGAGATGTTGTACTCAGGAAATGTCTTTGGTTCTAGTTTAACACACGGCGTTGAGTAACTCTCTCAAGGAATCTGGCCCCAGTATTTCCGCGCGATGCGATAGCTTCGCCTGAGCTGATGTCTCAAGAATCTCATGGGTAGATAACAGGACTGGGGCTAACAGAGAATGGGGCCGAAAAAGGCAGAATCATGAACGGTGGATAACACATTGGCAAAATCTAGTTCTGACGCAAGGGCTGGACTATCTTCATATCGAGCTCATTGTTCCGTCCCAAAGGCCTGCAGAGTGGATCGAAGGTGAGACCACAGCATTCAGGCCTTTGGAGGCAAAGCCGCAAACACAAGATCCAAACGATTCGATCTGATAATGCCTTTTCGAGCAGGCTCTTCTCCACCAGCCTTGAACAATTTACCAAGCCAGATCGTGACGGAAAGTACCATGAGCCAAGCCACCCCAGGAGTAGGTGTCTAGTTTCGAATCTCGGATTAAGTCGTCACTGTCGGGTGAAACGTCTGAACTGTCTGAAGCCTTAATAAGACATGGTACGGCACGAAATAGGAATATAGCTTCGAGAGCCGAAATTATTGAGTGGAAGAAAAGAACCAAAACCTTGGAGAGGGTGGATCATCATCATCCATGATGTTTTGACAATGACATGCCAAAATATTACGACAGCGCTCTCTGAAACACCAAAGCAAGACTATCCTCCTCCAACTGCTCCCCCTTGCCTCTGGGCCGGTTTCTCCACCTCATTGACGGCCCCCCTCCTCCGCACGTCAACCAAGCAACCGTCCCCATCCTTTCCCAAGGCCACAATCTCCGCTCGACTCCTATCTAACGTCACCCTCCTAGCCGCTCTATTAAGAGCGAAGTACCCTTGATGCGAAGAGATGACACAAGAGTCATCATCGAATTCCTGGAGGATCAAAACATCCGTGAGTCCAAATGTCTTCTGCAGGTCCCGGATTTCAAACCAGGCCAGGTCGGCACAGCGGTAGGTTTGCGCTGCTCTTCTTGAGAGGAAGCGGTGTCGTTGCTGCAGGTCGGGGAGGGAGAGTGTATGGTCGCCAAATTGCACATTCCCGGCCATGGTTGTGGGGTTGCTTTGAAGCATTGATGGAATTGGACTTTGACACCGAGACCGATGAGGTCAAAAGCTCGAGGCTTAACAACTGAAACGAAAAACGCATTCTTTGCTCGTGAGTCATTTTGAGCTTGGCATTGCGTGTGCACCTCTTTATACTTGACGGGTTCATGAACAGGCACTCGCAAGCAGAAATGTTTTTTTCAGCCTTGCATCCCCTAGCGGAGGTTTTTATAAGAAAACGGGGGCAACGAAAGCAACTTCCTGGGAAGTTATATAAACGCTCCGTGAACCGAGAATGAAAGCCGGAAAAGAAAGAAGTAGAAGAAGACGAAAAAACCCCCCAAAAAACCCCGAATATATCGACCATCCTTCATCCTCGCCCCCCAAAACAAGACCCCCCACTTCCACCAACAAACAACCCTCTCCTCCAACTCCCATGCAAGACTCGCTCCCCCCCCCCCTTCCCCCCTCCCACCCCAACAGAACCCCAAGTTAATCGTCCCCACATCCTTCCTTGCTTCCACCCACGACCACACCGCCAAACCCCCACTCCACCGCCTCCCCAAGAGTAACAAAAAAAGACACCGTAGTAACACTACCGTATCCCCCCCTGGCACCCCAGCTCAACCTTACGCAACTCCCGCCCCCGCCGTACCTCACAATCCACAACCGGAGCCCAAATCCGGCATGCCCAGATCCCGAAACGCGACTCCAACAACCAACACCGCACACCGCACGCAGACCGACCGACAGACTGGCAAGTCTTTCTGTCCAGATAGCTCGGCCCTGCGTTCTTCATCCGGGGACTTACTAACCAATCGACCAATCGACCGACCAACCGACCAATCGACCGACCGACCAAGCAACCAACCGACCCACCGACCAAACAACCGACCAAGCAACCAAGCAAGGAACCCTCCGACAATCAACCAGCGTCAGCGACCAAAATAGATAAGTAGAGTACCTCGACACCCAATAAATGAATAAATGAATGAATGAACAAATGAATCAATGAATCAATCAATCGATATCACATCATCATAATATCATCATAATACATCATCATCAACCCATCCATCCATCCATCCATCCATCCATCCATCCATCCATCCCTCCTCCATCCATCCATTCCATCCATCCATCCATCCACCCATCCATCCATCTCACTCTTCCTCCTCTCTCCACCTCCTATCCATCCATCCATCTCCATCCATCCATCCATCATCCATCCATCCATCCACCATCCATCCATCCATCCATCCATCCATCCTCCTCCATCCATCCATCCATCCATCCATCCATCCATCCATCCATCCATCCATCCTCCATCCCTCCATCCTCCATCCTCCATCCATCCATCCTCCATCCATCCATCCACCCATCCATCCATCCATCCATCCATCCATCCATCCATCCATCCATCCATCCATCCATCCATCCATCCATCCATCCATCCATCCATCCATCCATCCATCCATCCATCCATCCATCCATCCATCCATCCATCCATCCATCCATCCATCCATCCATCCATCCATCCATCCATCCATCCATCCATCCATCCATCCACCCATCCATCGACAAATCCTCGCCCAGCATCGATCGAGCAAGCCCGGAAAAACACACCTTACGAACGTCCAAAACAGCGACGGGGTACAAGTACAACCGGCATACAGATTCGCAGCCGATGGTTTGCTATACGGACGAGTCGACGCTTTAGCGAGTGGGTGGACCGGGTGTCGGACGAGCTGGGAGGGGTGGAGTGGGTAGGTAGGTGGGAGGTGGATGAGGGATGGGATGGAATGGGATGGATGAGAGTGGGGGCGGAAATATTTTGGGGTAGGGATGATTGTATATACTTGTACGTATATACAGGGTGCACTCATTTATATAAGAAGAGAGAGAGAGAGAGAGATACACATGTGTATATATATATACATTCCTTCTCTTACAACAACCACGCAGCCCCCAAAACCACCACAGCCCCCGCAGCGATCTCCACGAAGCGGATGCCTCCCCTCTTGACCCCCTCGCTCGACACTTTGCTCTGACCCGCAGATCCAACTTCCCCACTCCCCATCATCGTCCCGTTCGTAGCGCCACTGGTATCATTGCTCGGATAGACGCTCACGGAAGCATTAAACGTCCCCGTCGTCGAATTCAAAAAGTCGCCCTGCTGAAAGAAAAGGCAGCGATTATTGGCGTTCGGATCCGGGATCGGCTGAAACGGCAAGCCCGTGTTGTTCAAATCGAGGATAGTCCCGTTGCCGTAGATGGGAATACCCTCCGGGACGCCCGTTTCCGCAAAAGTGACGATCTGCCGCTGATGCGCGAGCGCGACGGTGACGTTGTAAGTGCCATAGGTGTCGTTTGTGCCGGGGCCGTTGTAGAAGGTGTATTTGTTGTCGTTGGCGTGGAAGGCGGGCGGGACGCTGAACTGGTAGCCGTAGGTTTGATTGTCGAAGGCGCGGTCGAGGAAGTTGGTGGCGCAGGTGATGGCGTATTCGGCCACGAAGAGGATGGAGCGGCTGAGGTTGTCGGTGTAGGGGAGGCTGCCGTCGAAGATTGGAGGGTAGAGCGTTGTCGTGATGTAAGAGACCGTGCTGGCGTTTGCGCTTGGCAGCCAGAGCTGAACAAGGCTGGTGAAGGCGTCGGAGGTGTTGGCGGTTGGGAGGGTGAATAGGACGCCTTCAGCCGCATTGTGGCCGTTCATTACTTTGATTGATTTGTCGAAGCGGCCTTGGAGGAGCAGTCGGCCAGGGGCATCGGGGACGTACTCGCCGTCGACGACCGGGACGTAGGTAAATGCGCCATAATGGCCTGGGGTGTTGTAAGCGCCGAAGCCGACCGCGAGGCTGTTGGCCGTATTGAGAGAGCCAATAGGCGTTTTCTTGAGTTCCTCTAAGGTGGAGACGTTGGCCAGGGCTAGGAATTGGTTGAAGGCATTTTCTTGCTGCTGCGCCGGGATGTCGCTCACGAACCAAGGACTCATGGGCAAACCCTGCTGGAATGGGGATGGGCCTGCGGTGCCGCCGTACGCAGTAATATGGAACACAATCGATGAGCCCCCCGCGGATTCTCCGAAGATGGTAACGCGGTTTGGATCTCCGCCGAAGAGGTGGATGTACTTCTGCACCCAATCAAAAGCCAAGCGTTGATCATAGAGTCCATTGTTCGCAGTCCCGCCGCTCGCTTCGAAAGTAGGTCCCGCCAAGAAACCAAACGCTCCAAGCTACTACATGTTAGTTTACTGGTTGTAATCATCTCACCGATGTTGGTAGGGGAAAATGCACTATTGCAGGGACTGGAGGGAGGGCGCTTGCTTACCCGATAGTTCATCGCAACGTAAACGACACCTTCTCCATCGGCCTCAAGAGCATCTTTGATCAAGCCTGCGGGGTTGCCGACTTCTTCCTTGGAATTTGAGCCGAAGCCGCCACCGTGAATCCAGACGAGGACGGGCAAGCCAGCGCTTGAATTTTGGGGGACAGAGGGGGTTGTGCTGTTATTGAAAACCTGTCGGGGCACCATGACGTCCAGTAAGAGACAGTCCTCGCTTACTCGTGGATCCTGCCGAGGGACCAGTTGCGCCGTGCTCTCCGCGTAAAGTGAGTCGTTGAGTTGGGCGAAGGGGAATGTGGATGTATTATCGGCGATGTAGTACTCGAGGAACTTGGTATTGATGGCATTGATGAAGGGTTGGCCTTGCGGGCAGATGTGCTCGACGCTGCCATTGTTGATGGTGGAGCTGTCTGTTTGTTTTGGAGGAATGGGTTTGGCGAAGCGCAAGGCGCCGATGGGAGGCTCTGCATAGGGGATGTTGGAGAAGTTGTAGTAGCCTCCGGATGCCTTGGGGATCAACGTCAGCGAATGCGCATGATAATCATCGAATTGAGGAGTTTGATAGGTATGTACATTCAAGGCGATGGCTCGATGGACTTCATAGCCAAGATCTACGGTGGGAAGGGACTGTGAGATGGCAGAAGCGACAAAAAAGGCATAATTGATGATGGAGGTTTGAAGGACATGCATAATAATGCGCAAGAGTGAATGGAGGAGAGGTGGTGAAATCAATGAAGCTGGATGATTGATTATTTATTATTTGCATATGCAGGTACCATAAGGAAGCCGGGTAGCTGAGCCGCCACGCAGGGACATACCTTACCTCGCATGGTTACATTGCGTACCCGTCAAAGCCGTTGAAAGCATGATGGTTCCTTTACTTTGTACCGAATCTCTAGCGCGGCTCAAGCGCGATTGCAAAGACAACAAGGAGGAGAGGGCACCAGGGCACCTAGAGAATTACCTTAAGGTACATAGAAAAGGCGTAAAAATGCGGTGCGACAGCGTCATTGGGCTTGTTGTTTCGCCCATGGTTGATGCATGTAACTTTGCTGAGATCGGAGATCTTTTCAAGCTTCCCTACGTGCCACGTGCGTCATGCCCGTCCCGAGTATCCGTAAATTGCACTAAATGTGTTGGCTGTATCAGATCGTGGCTTGGGGCAACTTATCACTAAGGTAGGTACCTACTCTACTTTACTTTAGGTACTCACCCCACTAAATAACAAGCCCCGCGTTTGTATCTTAAGCTGGTCTCGGCTAGATAAGCTGCCCCAAATGCGCCCCCTGTTCAGCCACCAAGTCTATCCCTGCACTCTGGGGAACTGTCTAACCGACGTGGGGCATCTGGATCTACTGCACATCAGGGGCGGAATCTATGATGGGTTGCGGATTGAGAAGACGTCGATCATTCATGGCGGACGCAGGGATGATAAATCTTGAGCCTGACCCCAACCAACAGAGCAATCGAATTAACATGCTGACCGATGGTGCCGGTTCCGTTGCTTCCCAGAATCTGGAGGACAATTGTTTTTTCGACAGCAAGATAAGTCGAGTTGACTTTTGGGCTTCTGGGAATGGTCAGTGCGAGGATTTTTCACTTTGGTAGAGAGTTTGGAATTTTGATTGAGCGGCCCTCCGGCCCTCTGCTAAACGGTACTTGTATCTGTCCATGACTGAAACCCCCTTGACAGCCAATCACATGACGAGCCTCCTCGTTTGATATCGCCCTTCTACAGATGTCCTCTGCGACTTGTCCTCTTCAGTCGTACTCTCCTACTAGAGTATCATCTTCACCCGCAAAAACACTAAGTATGCTAGCTTGTCCCGAGAGTGAGGGCCCGCAAGCTGGCCGGCCCCCAGTTGCACTCCCCTGTATCCGAGTGGTAACCTGTGTGGTGGCAGAAGGTTTATTACCTCTCCCTCCGCTCCTCGCCTTCATCGTGTCGATTTCCGCAAAGCCAGCAACTCTCGGCGCAGTCTGGTCAGTATTGCTTGCAGCCGTTCAATATCCGCTGTCGTCGTGCATTGTCGACTGGCTTATTTCAATGCCAATTCTGAGCCGATCAAAATCGCAAGACTACCGTATGCCCGATGGCTGCAGCACACAAATGGAATTCAGTAAAATGCGCGCCGGGCGATACCTCTGGCCTTTGTGCCAACCAGCAACCTCAATTGCTGGGAGTCACATCTGCTCTCCTCGCTCTCTCCACCATGGTGGTCGTCCTGCGGCTGGTCTCAAGAGGACTCTCAGCTATGAGCTATTGGTTTGATGATGCCGCGATCGTTGTTGCTCTGGTAGGTTCCTTTTCGTATGGTCGAGAATCATGGTGAAGGTTACTGAAGTCGTTCCCCACCAGATCATTTCATGGGGCGATGCCATATGCATATACGTCCGTAAGCAGACCTTCCATTCCCATGCCACGTTGAGCTTCCATTGACCGAATGCAGTTGTCAAGGCTACTGGGGTGGGACGGCACATCGAGGCGGTCCCCAATCATTCCCTTACGCAGTACAAGGTATGCAATGCCGATTCCGTTCATACACTCATACTAAGATCATGGATCTAGTCGAACTGGAGCTATGAAATACTCTTCCCGTTCACCATTGTCTCAATCAAGATGTCTATCCTCCTCTTCTACAATCGTCTCTTTGGTGTCCGAAACGCCTTTCGATACTCAGTCTTCGCATTAATGGCCGCCACCTGGGCGTGGGGTATCGCCGTCTTCTTCGCCACCTTGTTCCAATGCAAACCCATTGCAGGCAATTGGGACAAGACCATTCCAGGGTCCCATTGTCTTCTTGATCACATACTCCTGAAGCTCAGTATACCAAATGCCGTACTGGACTGGTTCGTCCTATTTCTCCCCATTGTGGTGGTATGGAACCTTCAGATATCAATAGACCGAAAGGTCGCTCTGAGCGCCATCTTCCTAGTCGGTGCATTGTAAGTCTTCACTCTCCAAACCTTCCTCCATCCTTCCATTCACCATCAAGCCCTTGATCACCGTAATCGTTATAATTATACGTCCTGTTCGTCAAACAACGGCCGTACATGCTGCGGATTCCCACCACGCCCCCCAAATCACCTCCGACTGACAAAACCTCCCAACAAATAGTGCCTGCGCCGCATCCATCCTCCGCTGCTGGGCCATTGCCAATATCGACCACGCCGACCCGACCTGGTCCTACACCCGCTACATGCTCTGGACGCAAGTCGAACTCAGCGTCGGCATAATCTGCGCCTGCCTCCCCACCTTACAACCCGTCCTCAACGCCACCCTAGGTCCCTGCTTCGGCCGCGTCTTCGCAACCTTCCACTCTACCAAGAAAGCATCCGCTGCAACCGACGGCTCCGGCCCTTCGTCATCATCGAAATGGCACGCGTCATCATCGAACAAAGGCAGTCGGAACCAGATGAGCGGTCGCGGGAACAGTACCGTGGCCAGTAACAACGGGGACTGGAATCGCCTCGCGGACGGAACGACCGGGCTGGCGCCGACGAATAATACCGTTACGAGCGCCTGGACGGTTGACGAGGGTGACGAGCAGAGCGATGATGCGATTCCGTTGAAGGGCATCAGGGTGCAGCAAGATCTGGAGCAGAATATGCAACGGGGGTTGCGGCCGGGCATGGCTCTTTAGAAAGGGTTTACCTGCTGTGGTTAGGACCGGTCGTATGTCAAAAGGTGGACCGATGACGCCGCGGTGATGAGAATGACATCTAGAATGATGCGTACGATCTGGGTACCGTGTGAGTAGGCTACAATCTTGGGATACATGATTTTCTCGATAGCTTATACCGGAATCTTGGCGGTGCATTTCGAGCGACTTTGTACAGAAGCAAATGCATGCTACATCATATGCTAACCACTTTCATCATGCGTTGTATTCCCTCCGATTTCCTTCGGGAAAAAAAGGCCGATGCTGCTCTCCTCCCATACCTTCCATCAGTTTAACACCCCTCACTTATAACTCAGTGCCTCTGCATTCTAAAGTTGTATGCTTTTCTGGTCCTTAATGTCCAGCCTTTACACTCGGTCTACCATACTCACCTACCTAATGCACGTCTTCGAGCCCCCACCTCGAACTAAGGTTCCACCCACCTAAGAAAAAAACTTACAAAGGCAATTCCTCTCTTCCAACCAACCAACCGAAAAACAGACAAACAGACGACCCTTTCAGGACCACTAATGCGGAGTACTCTGTGGTTGAATTGATACGACGTAAGATACCTTTGTATGAAGAGCGTCGTCGCGTTTTGTCAAACCGCTATAACCTGATGTTGATGCGGCTTGTTGTTTTTATGGAGGAGTTTATTATAGTTGTTGCAGCATAGGGCTGGATGCTGACTCACCCTTCCATCATTTAAACATACTTATAACTCAGTGCCTCTGCAGCCTTTACACTCGGTCTACCATACTCACCTACCTAATGCACGTCTTCGAGCCCCCACCTCGAACTAAGGTTCCACCCACCTAAGAAAAAAACTTACAAAGGCAATTCCTCTCTTCCAACCAACCAACCGAAAAACAGACAAACAGACGACCCTTTCAGGACCACTAATGTATAAGTGAGGTAAGGTAATTCAAACAAGCCACCATTCAATCGCGGCTCCTCGCTCCCGCGTCCGGATTAATCCGCAACAGATCCCCCCCACCCCCCCTTGCCTCAGCATATCTTCTCGGCACCAAGAACTCCGCGCAACGCAACTATCATCGTCACAATTTACCGAAAAAGCATCGCTGTAGCGGCTCGGAATCGAGTCGGGAAAAAAAGAAAGAAAGAAAGAAAGAGCTATAACAGATGGAGGTGCGTACGTATTCATGGAATTAAAGCGGTGAAGTGTAAACAGTCCTCCCGCTGTAGATCTTCGAACCTCTCTCTCTCCCTCCCTCCCAACCCCCCCAACCCCGCGAAGTCAACCGGATCGCGTTGCCGTTAGTACCGTTTCTGCGCCTCATCATTCATCATCGCGTCCGAGATCAGGCGCCATTTTCAGTAAAGTACCGAATTCGATACCTCGACGTAATAACCCAGGCGAGGTTCATTCATTCAGCATGTCTTTGAACAAAGTGCGGACCCGACTAGTCCGACCGAAAACCCCATCTCGCGTCACTCGTCCTGGCGATAGACGATTGTTGAATGCTTGTGTCAAGTCTGATCAAGCGTCTGGTGGTCCTTCCAAAAATGGGTTTGATAGACCAAACACACATTTAGAGGCTTGGACGAAGGTCTCGAGATCTTCTGGCGGGCACGCTCTTTAATACCTCAATCAAGCACAAGTTCGGTTGGGAGATCGTTAGAACTTGCTGTATTTGCTGTACTATCTGCAGATGCTTAAAGTTATGGATACCGGGGTTGTTGATGTGTAAATGGAGGAAGGAAATGGGTTGGAGTAAAGACCAAAGGCAGTGTTCACTTCGGACGCTGATCGCTAACGTGTTTTCACTAAATCCCATGTAGCACCCTCCCACGAGAAAAGTCCCCAGGTAAAGAAAATATGTATTATGAGCGTAGTCATGTAGCTCTGTAAGTAAGGTCTGTCGTTGCCAATTTGCTACCGAGATGCATATGTCACTTTACATTTGAAGCATAAATTCCGTCTGCCTGAGTCAGATTCTAAGGCTCGATACTGTGTTCTGGGACCATGATTACCTTAGGTCACGGCGCCAGGAGATCAATCCCTTTACACGGGGAACTGTACAACCCTGCTCTGTTCTCGTACCCTCCTTTTTTTTCTAGCCGTATACCCCATCTTTTCTACACATACACCTCCCGAATCCAACTCTCGGGCTCCAAATACAGCTGCAGCTCTACACGGTCGCATTTGAAAGTTCTCTCGTACCATCTTGCTACTTACAAAATGCGTCGCTCGTGGATACAATCCTGCCTCCCTTCGAGGGTCGCCCCTACACACACCTTCTCCTACAAGCTTCTGATGCGCTGCACCTGAAACAGACCAATCCTCCGAGAGTAAATCAGCTAGTGCGACCACCTTTCAATCCGCGCGAATCTTGTCTCAGGATTTTGGAAATGGCTCTCAACGCTTGGCCGGATGTGTGGGTATATATCTAACAGAAGAAGGTGTACAGCGATTACTCCCCTTTTCAACCCCTTCTGGCGGCTCTCAAATGACATAGCACACTGAGATGAATACCCAGGGCAGCATTTCTCCTTGTACGTCTGCGGCATTGTGATGGTCGTCCAGACATGAAGACTCAAAGCCCCCGGACAACATGACTGTAGCACCTAGAAGCGGTTCCTCCGTGGAATGGTTTTTGGGATTACCGCCCAAATAACGTGGCGCCTATCACTACGGCAAAAACCCTCGGCATTGACATGCCAGCTACAAGAAGGATATAGGAGAAGGTTCAGTATACCCAATACCTGACGAGATGGCACCGATTAAGCTCACTGACAAGGCCCCCATTACCAATTTGAGAATTCCAAAGCAAGGAACCCAGTCACAAAAGTATGACCGTTCAGGACGCATTGGAAACCCTCGTAAATTTCAAACCTTGCCAACATCAGGACAAAGGTGCAATAAGCGCCCGGCTTCTACATCGTCTCGATGCTCGCTATTTCTTTGTTCCTGGATTGCTTCCATTAGGCAGCCGTTGTTCACCAATTACAAAACATCTAGAATCCCAGACCAGTCCAATGTCTCTTCAGTTTGGCTTTCTTGCACCCTCTGGGGTCGGTACATATCTCACAATGACAGATCCTCTCTTCTTTGATCATAGACACAACAGTGTATAACACTTACATATATACATATATATATAACACAGCTTCAAGCCATCGTGCTAGTCTTCTTTGTTCGGTGGTGGAAGGACTGCACCAGCTTGTATCCCAGCTCCTACCGAGGGTTTGACACTGAGACGTTGTCTGGCTCCAACACGATGGGGGTGATGATGGTGCTTGACACTCTGCTTCGACACTCTGGAAGGCATTTATCTTCAGAGCTTCTTCCTCCAGATTTCTTTCCTCTTCTTCATGCTCTACTCTCGAAGACAGCCATAAGTCTAACTCGCACATCCAAGACAAATTCAACTCCATTATTCATGCATCCAAGACCGAATTCAAAATACAAACCTCAACGTCCAACACTAAAACCTTCTCGATCATTCCCAGCATCCGGAGCACAGAGTAATGGCTCCATCACGAAAGGCATCTGTTCAAAAAGAGGGTCGAGTGACACGCACTCCACCAGAGACCCCTCGCAACGCAATGCAATCGAGGAACAGGTCAGCAAGCCCACCAATTCAGCCTACACCAACTCGGATTCGTGATGAGCCACCAGCGCGATCAACCCGATCTTGGGTATCGGCTCCTCCAGTCTCAAACATCAAGCCAACCGCCAGCCAGAGGGTCCCCATCGGCTGCCCCGTCGTCGCCTGCCGGGCGTCAACGGTGCATCAGCACCTTCCACAAATGCAGTACTATCATCCGCATCCGGGCAGGGCGGTTCACTACCATGGCTATGGGAACTCCAGCCGCGATGCGTCTTCTCGGCCAAGCCTGGTCGTCAGCCCTGGAATAGCGAGGCAGGCCCAAAGCACAACCCGGCCTGGACCCGAGGTTGCTAAGGATGAGGTGGTAGCAGAGCAAAACGGCGAGAAGCAGGGCGCTAGTATGTCTGATGTTGAGTTTGCCGAAGAGCAAGCGGCGTCGAGAGAGGTGGATGATCTCCAAGACGCAACAACATTGGACGGTCCTGCCGTTGAGCCTTCGCTCCAAGACCACCAAAGGGCGATGCAACAAGAGAATACTTTTCTCGACGGAGACGAACGAGAGATCTCCCCCAGCGCTAATGCCTTGCCAATATCGCATTCACCATCTGTAGGATTGGACCTGGACGTTGATCAAGAATCTATCCGGGATGTCGATGGCATGCAGCACTTGCTTCCAGTGCAAATCCGAGATCTGGCCCACGACGAGAGCACGACGAGTCTTCTCCAAGCTCCGATGACTCCGCCGCCGAGCTCCCCGGTGGCGGCCGACGAAGCCCCTTTCACTCAGGATTCCAACGGATCATCAGAACAGCAGGAACAGCGACAATCAGCGGCGTCGTCAGCACCACGAATGGGATTCGGCAACTCCCTGCCTGGTCAAGAGCCCGAGGAAAGCGTCCCTGATCATCCTACCCCCCACATCCACACCTACGACGAGCTGATCCGACCTTTCATCGACCCGACCCTCCCGCCAGCTCCAGGCATGGCCGAAATCACCCGCATACTCCAGGAATACCAAAGCCTAGCGGACCCCTCCTACCGCCCTGGTGCAGACGAGGAAGACCCGGATCTACCATCCCGGATGATGCGCTCGCCGGTCACGGAGTACATACGGCAATTCGAAGACGGGGCTGAAGAGGAAATCGACTGGGAGACGCACATGTGGCAGTGACAACGGACCGTGCGTATGCGACAATGTCTGAGAATTGGTGTTGGTCATCTGAGGAGGCGGGAACAACGGAGGTAGAGACTCAATGACGGATTTGAGGCGATTGTGGATAGACTGTCTTTGATCGTTCACGCAGTATGTATAGAGGGCGTATTGAAATTCGCGCCTCGTTTGCTTACTCTTTTCGCTTTTCTAGTCCGACGTCGACGCTGCGTTGATCGACATGAGGACAGCATTGCAGTGGGAAGAGTGAGCCAAAAAGGGGAGAAGGAACGAAGAGTTCGAAAATAATAACCCTTTCTCATAACGCACTCATATGATAAAGCTTGTGAGATCCGGATCGAATCTTGTCTCCGTTCCTTCCCTTTTGAGCCAACAACAAAGTGTGGTATTCCCATTGTCGACATACTGCCGTGCAAGAGCCAGTCAGTCACTGTTTAACTTTCGCCACTCCTTTCTGTATAATCAGTTCTCTCCAGTACTCCGTCACCAAATCCATACAAAGTGTCCAAAAACGTCAACCACCCCAACGACACTCAAAATTCTCTCTCGATCTTTTGCCAAACTCTGAATACATACCGCAAATGACAGACCCTTCCGTACATTTTGCATTGTCTTTGTTTTCATGGCACTTATACAAACAAACAAACAATCAAACAATCAAACATAACCGTGGCCTCCCTTCTTTACACAACATCGGAACGACGAAAAGAATAGCTTTATTTCTAAATCAAGGCTGAAGTAATTTGATGCCAGATGTTGCTTATCTTATGAGGAGGATGATATTTTAACACACAACTTCGACACTTTCGCAGAGTTCCCATCCTCAGAGCTTCCTCCTCCTCCTCCCCTCCCCTCCCCCCATCCTCCATCCCCATCCCTCCCCACCTCCCCTCCCCATCCCCATCCCCATCCCCATCCCCATCCCCATCCCCATCCCCATCCCCCAACCCCCAACCCCCTCACCCTCACCCCCTCACCCCCTCACCCTCACCCCCCCGCCGAAACCCAAGCAAACAAACCCCACAAACCAATCTCCCCACCAAACCAAGCATCCGTCAAAAAAGATTCCCAACCTTTCACTCCCCGCACCGCACCGCACCCCACCCCACCGAAACAAAACAAAACAAAACAAAACAAAACAAAACAAAACAAACAAGCAAGAAAGAAAGAACAACGAGCCCCGAAACGCCTATCCGGGACCATCGACACGATCACATCGTGCCTCGATGCCTGCCGGCTTTAGGGGACCCGTGGAAGTGATGAATCACGGGCGCTGATTCGACGCAGGCGGCCGATTGTTGGTTGGAGGGGTAGTGGGTGGGATGCGCCAAAAAGGGGGGGGGGGGGGGATGGAAGAGGGAAAAGGAAAGAGAGAAAAAGGAGGAGAGAAAAAGAAGGAGAGAAAAAAAAAGAAAGAAAAAAAAGGTGGCAGTGGAAGCAGGTGCAGATCGTGAAAAGATCAAGGAGATCAAACATCGAAGGGTGTTTAGTGCGCGGACTTGGAATGGGGTTTTTAAATTTCGAGTATGAACAAGAACGCTTCGGGGTATGGTGCTCTGACTCGGCGCGAGGGGCGAAAACAAAAGAGTCACGGCGCCATCTGGCGGCGTGCCTGCTACAAGTAGCCATCTCACGTGCCAAGTCCTCTTTCGCAACAGTGTGCCCAGCGCTCAGCCGTGAGTTGCAACTCAGGCCTAATGCACATCATGGATCGAGATAGGGATGCTGGCGGAAGCCCGCTACAAGAGAAAATGTATGTGAGATGTCTATCCACTATGTGCAGCTTGAATATGATACAAAAAGGGTATCCACCAATCCTACCCAGGGGGGAAATAGCTCCCAAAAGATACGCCACTCGTTTCCACCCTTGCATCAGGGTATCATCATCTTCACATCTTGTACGTGACCTCGTGAATTGTGATGTCGCTAAAAGATAAGATCAACGACATGATCCTAGCACGTTCAAACCCCCTTAGGAAACTGTGAAGTGAAAAAGCCATGTCACCGTGGACTCGAAGCCAGTGCACCAGCGAATGGAGTTGCTTGAATGGGAACAGGTGCTTCATTAGTTGCTGCTGCTTCAGATGCACGTGCCTCTGCAGTAGCGGGGGTCTCCGCAGTGGTTGGGGCCTCTGCGGACGCGGCAGCAGCAGGAACTTGGGATGTGGGTCGGGAACCGTGTATACCCGAAGCAGGTCTCGATCCAAAAGCTCTGCTCAATCTCGCCCTCGCTCTGTTTATCGTCCGCTCTCCAACGATCCAGCCGCCTTGATCGGCATTGTCGTTCGTTGCCTGGTTCTCTTCCCTTAATCTCCTCAATGCATCTATGCGTTCGTCCGCTGTAGCGTGGCGCATACGGCCTACGTTGAGAGTGCTCAGGATTCGAGAACGGCGGTTGCGGCGTGCAGATTCGGTAGGGGGGATGGAGCGATCACCAGAATCAGCCGGGATCACGTCGGTATCGGCTCCATCCTCTTCCGGCTCTTCATTGTCGGGTGAGGTGGGATGGAGGTCGACACGGCTATAAAGGGAGATTAGGAAGTGGATAGAGCATTGGGCGAATGGATTGCTTACCAAAGAGGGCAGGTCCCGGACACGTTCAGTAACCAGGGGTCTATGCACTCCGGATGAAACTTATGCTTGCACGGTAGCACCCTAATATTTTGCCCCTTGATGAAATCATCCGTACACACTGAACATGCCAGACCGTTGTCCGCACTATCGGCTGCGTCTGCTGCTGCACCCTCTTTCGGCTGCGTTGAGCCAGCGGCCGCTTCGGTCGTCACAACATCCGGTCCGCCTGCTGCCGGTGCATCCGTGTTCGATTTGCTAGCTCCATCTCCATGGTGTTCCGTGCCTGCCGCGGCTTCCTGGGGTACACCAGCCAGTTCGACATCTCTACCTTGCTCTGCAGGTTTATCATCCTCTTCTTTATCGCCGAACTTGACAATAGGTAGAGTCTCCAACATAGCCCTTGCCAACCCTTTGGCCCTGCCTTGCCTGACTCTTCCAATCACACGTCTTGGCCCGTATCTTTCTGGGTGTCGATGCGCTCTGATAGCTCCAACAATGATGATGATTAGGAATAAAGCAGTGATTATGCCAGTGATGCTGTAGAGAATAATCATTGCCACCGCTGTGGTCGGGGATTTCCCCAAGCCGCCGCTACCACTATCACTACTGCTCGTCCCATTCGCTGATTTTTGATCCACCGATATGCTCGTGGCCGGGTATGGTGGGTTGTTTTTCTGCAATCCATCCACGACCGCGACCGAGGAGCTGGCATTCTGCATGGTATACACGGACACGTATTGAAAGTCTCCCGAAGGACTGAAACTGCATGTAGCTGCATACTCACTGTACAGGACGATAGCATAGGGTTTGTTGTTCACGGCCAGATTCATGGTCCTCGCAGCATCGATGTCGCCTGAGTAATCGCTGGGTTCGCAGCTGATGTATGCGATGTCTCCGGGTTGAAGGGATTCGACGGTTTTGGTGGTAGTCAGGACTAACGGACCTTGGGGATTGATTTGCTGCAGAAAGATTAGAGAAGCCACGATGAGTGAGCAGAGTGACGGACCTCAAGCTGAGAGAGACTGCCAGACAATCCAGCACCATTTGTGAGGGGCAAAATTCTGGATTGGATGCTCATTTGGTTCAAGAAGGTAGACAGGACGAATTCGACAGTATTGTTCGTTGTGGCATTGCTCGGCGCCACGGATTGTGCTGATATTCGAGACACGGTGAGCAGTGAGAGACATATTGCCAGCAAACGGCGGGGGAGGGTTGCGGACAACATGGCGACTTGAAAGGAAGGTATGGCCGATGAAGTTCAGGTTGAATGAAGAAGAGATACAAAGCGCATTGTTTGCAGAAGATGGAGGTGAAGGAACATTGAATTCAACGTGAGAATAGAAAGATATGTATGGACTTGGCAGGTTTACGTTTGATGACGCTGACAGTGCTCATCTTTGGCGCGTCTTCGGCCGTCTCGGCTGGGCATAGCGTCATCCTTCCGGGGGGCTTAGTCCGGGAATGTCGGCGATTTCTTCACACTTGACCTATTCCGGATCAATGATGACAATCTCTTTGCTATGCTGATTGGCTCGCTAAGATCAGCTATCCGGAATACGACATGTTGACTATCGTCCTGCTAAGCACCAATGTCTACCTATCTAAGATAGTGTCTACAGTCCTAAGTCTCAGAACATAATTCACAATGCTCCATGTCCCTCAAAGACACCGCTTTTGACCAACAATGAGGGTGTACTTTCAGAGCAATGCCGTAGACGAAGTCTGTGGTCCTAGAGGCGATGCCGACACTGAAAGCACTGTAGCCCTCGGCGCCAACTGTAACGATACGACGTCCGCATCCTCGTCTTCTTTCACAGCTTCGGTCCCATTTTCCATAGCTCCAGCCGCGTTGTCTGCCACCGTCCTATCTTCCGCAAGCGTGGCCCCATTCTGCACAGGCGTCATGCTTCCCAAAGGAGTCGGACCCCCGCCGGGCTGACGATGCCGCAGGTTCGCAAGAGGTGCGAGCTCAAGTGCACTAACGTTTCTAGAAAATGTCACGACATGTTCTGCTGTCCGGAAGGTCGATATATTCTCCCCACTGTCCTGGCTACCGTTTGAAGTTGCTGCTTTCCGCGCAGTCATGCTCTTGTTCATAAAGACCCAGACCGTGGGATGCGCTTCGAACATTCCGTCGATATCTTCAAGAGAGCGTCCTGCGGTTTCGGGGTAGAACAGGTAGATAATTGGCACCATTAGGCCGTTGAGGACGGTCCAAATGACGTAGAATTGTGATCCAAGGCTTGCGATGCCTAACGGGGTAACGAAAACCACACCGAAGTTGATGAGCCAATTGGTGGCAACTCCATACGACATGCCGGAGATACGGTTCTGGGTGCTGTTGATCTCCGTAGGGTAAAGCCATGACACGCCTTGCCAGCTAGCGCCGAAAAAGAAGTTGAAGAGAAAGAAAAACAGCACAGCAGCGCTGCCGAGCTGCTGCTGGCGGGTAGAGCGGAGGCCCGCCGTGGATGCAGAGCCCAGGAGGAGCGTTATGGCGAGCCAGCAGCAGCATTGACCAAGTGCACCATACATCATTAGTCTTCTCCTACCCCAGCGTTCAACGAAAGCGAGGCCAACGAATGTGGAGCCAAGATACGTCATAGCGTTGACTGCGGCGAGCAGGCGGGCCCTAGATCCATCCAGGCCGACGGATTCGGTAAGAACATAAGGTAGATAGTAGCAGATTATGTTGATGCCAGTCAATTGCTGCATGGCTTGAACGGCGACGCCGAGAATAAGTCTGAACCATGGTTTAGTCTCACGCTTAACTACTAGAGATTGTTCGAGCGCGATGGAGGTCTTGATCTCTTCGAAGTCTCGCCTGGCGGTTGAGCCTTCGCTTGTCACCCTGCTTCCCTCCAAGGCAACCATGACCGCAAGAGCCTTGTCGTCCTGATGCTTCATAGCGAGCCATCGAGGCGATTCTGGCAGCCAGAAGGCGGTGAGAAAGATGACGAGTACGAAGCAGAGCTGAAAGGCAAGAGGAAAACGCCACGCAAGCTCGGACTTGACGAAGCTGAAAAGATCTAGATGAGTCGTTATTTCCTGCTCGAGGTATCATCGAGCAGATGCTCACAAGTCATCCAGCATGATACTGCCAGGCCACCAATGTTGATAACCATCAATGTCATACCCGTCTTACCACGGTTGGCTGTCTTGCTAGTCTCTGAAGCCCATACTGGAGCTGTAGCAGTATTCATGCCATTCCCAACACCCGCGATGACACTGACAATGCTCAGTCATGAAGTAAGTCGCGGGCAAGGTGGTATTTGCTCACCGTCCTGCCGTCATGATCCCAAAATTGGGAGCAAGGAACTGCATGAACGCGCCGATCATCATGACAGTTGTTCCCAGCAAAATAGATCGCTTTCGACCAATCCAATTTCCGATCGGGCCCGTTGCCAGTGCCCCAACCAAGCAGCCTAGATCGTAGGACCCGACGATGACACCCTTGAGGGTCTCATTGTCCTCTAGTTGGAAGCGTGCTTCAAAGTCTTCAAGGGTAAGGATGCCACCTGAATTCGATCAGCAGGCGTTCACCTTCGAGGAATGCAGGAATTAGAGTATACCGAATACACCTTGATCGTATCCGAACAGCAGCATAGCCGTAGAATTCGTTACCATGAGCCATACATAAAGCCATTTTCCACTCACACCGAAGTGGTTGCTGATGGTGCAACTATGCGTCATCTTGATGTTTTGAGCTATGACCTTTGTCTAGATCCTTGCTGTACTTGGGACTTTTTGAGTCCATATACGGACAGAAACCTGAAGGGTGCTGTGGACGAGATGTATTCGCTTCCCCGATGTATCACGAAGAAGGCAAAGATCCTGCCTTAGAAAAGATTGTGGATAGATGAACAGTGTATATAGAAATGCGTGCCTCATAAGAAGAAGGGTGCACAGGAAGGTTCAGCCTTCAGTCGAGCTCACTATCGTCAGGAGCTCACATGACCATAACCCTTCCATCATCGATTGTGCTGTAGACATCCATACGCTCCTCATGCTCTCACTTTGTATCATGGGAACAGCAGAAATCGGCAACAAACTTTGATTGCGCTCCTAACACAACCACATCGGTAGATGCTGAGCACATTAGCTCCTTTTTTTGGGTCATACAGTGCCACGGCGTTTGCTGCGGATAGAGATGTTAAGTACTCTATACTTGGTACACAACAAGTTAAATCACTTGAGATGACTCCACCCGATCAGTGCCCCTCCCTCAAGGAGAATGTGGAGGATGATGAGCAAAGTCAATGATGTCGGAGAGGTACCTGAGCAGCGCCTCGATTGCTACACCGCTGTCTTCCATCTTAGCATTTGTCTAGTCCGGCGACAGCATCCCTGTCGTTCTGGCTGATGGCGTCAATGGCCTGGAAATTGGGGGCTCAAGGGCTTTCCCACGGCTCAGTTTGAGTCAATTTGCCAGATTATTGTGGCGAGGGCGCTAGCACTACCTGTAGAGTATCCTCTAGCGGGTTTTGTTAGCCACCCCCGTGCCCCCGTACGAGTCCTTACGGGGCGGAAGGGTAGCGCTCTTCTGGAGCTTCGGTTCTTAACTCGGCTCTCTCCACAGTATACTCCTTCATGATGCGCCGATGAGGAATCGAAAGCGACATTGATGGCTTTGCTGTTAGCTTGTCATCGCAAGGCAAATAAAACGCCGCAAGAAATTTCTCTTAAGAGGTGCCGTCTCCTCAGAAGGCGAAAAGGGTGTCGCGTCGTTCGACAACTTTGCTCCAAGCAAAGCGCGTCTGTTGCACGAGGCAATATGCGCATTCAATTTGTGGAGAACTGCGCCTGTAATGCAGTGTGCATACACGAGGTGCTTCGTTCTCCTATCGCATAACCCGTCACTCCTTATCCTTTGCCCTCTCAACCTGATCGTAGGCATGGGTTTGAGCCGACCATCCTGCACAAACAATGCTATTACTGTTCAGTGACAGGCGCTGATCCTCAATCTTTTCGCTGCACTCATCTGCGTACCTCAAATGTTTCCTCTCAGAGTCCCCAGATATCTTGCTTTGCTCTCACTACTGCTTCCCTTATGCGTGACAGCCACCAATGGATCTTGCCAACATTTGAGCAGCATCACAAACACCAACACCATGTGAGTAGGTCCTTCACCGGATCCCTCCTTTCATAACTGTGACAATCACGGGATCGAACCTGACGCCCGCGAAAAGCCGCTACAATATCCCTTACTCCAACCCTCCAGCACTGCTATCCTTCAATGGCCTGTGGAAGCCCCAGATGAACCCAACACTAGTGCTACTAGCAATGATCGAGAACATGCAGCCCGTCTGCCGCCAATTCGCGAATGCATTCCCACCAAGTAGAATCTTCGACTATGGCTTTGTCAGGATCACTATTCAAAATCTATACCTTTCTTGCGGACCTCTTACGTTCAATGATGCATGCACGGCTTTGAGAGGCTTGGCCGAGTTCATGGTGCTTCACAATCAGTTTTACCAGTGGACATTTCAGATATGGGTGAATGGATACGCCGTGGGAAGCGGTCAAATTGAGAATATACATCAGGTGCTGGAAGCAGCGTCAGTGTCAGGCGTGGCCACTTCCTAAGCACCCTTGTGAGGAAGTTGGCCTCAAGGAAAATTCTGATACTGCTCTCCCTTAGCTTGGAATTTTCGCCAGTGCTGGTGGCTTGCCATATGGAAAGTGCGCTAAAGGAGAGACTCCCGCTCAATGAAGACTTCTAACAAGAAATACCCCATCAGAAGAGCTCGGAAGTACCATACAGCAGGCAAATTGTCAGGAATAAAAAATGTTGCATTCTGGGACTCTGGCTTTTGTTGGTGTTAGGTCAAGTATTGGTAACACCCCAAGAAAAGCTACTGATCTTGTATGATCGAAATTGCTTCAGTTGAGCGTCCAACAGCAAGATAAATCCTCGTTGGTGCTCGTCATGTCAAAATTTTAGAGATTCGTAGCGCTTCGACTGCCTGTTTTGTATCGGAGGGGGGGAAACCTCGCCTGACAAAGGCAGTCATGGGTCAATATCATGAACCTCACCGCGATTTATGTTCATCCCTTCCCCTCCTCAACCGTCTCCTTAATCTTCGCATCCCCTTTGGCCGGTCTCTCCCCGAAAATCGTGCTCCCGACCCTGACTTCATTACTTCCACACCGAATCGCACTCTCAAAGTCTTCGCTCATGCCCATACTGAGCTCCAGATCCCCCTCCTGTAACCCCAATTCCTTCACGACTTGATCCCTAACCTCCCTCAGTCTTGAAAAATCTTCATTTTCCACCCCCTCCTTCGCCCCCTTGCTCCTCGCTATAGCCCCAATGGTCATCAACCCCTGCAACTTCAAATGTGGACACTGCTCCCTGACATGCCTACACAACTCCGCCGCCCCTTCAGGTTCCACCCCACTCTTCTCCTCTTCCCCGGACGTATTGGCCTGCACGAACACCCTCAATGGCACCCCCCCGTAATCTTTCTCCTTCTCACAGAGCGCCGCCCTCCCTTTCTCTAGCTGATCAGCCTTCTTCCCCGTATCCACACTCTCCACGCACCACAGATTCGGTATCTGTTCCGCCAACGGCTTGCACTTATTCGTCTGCAACGCGCCGATGAAATGCCAGCGGATTTCTCGGGGCAGAAGGAGAGATTTTTGGAGGAGTTCTTGCTGGTAGTTTTCGCCAAAATGGAGGTGGTTGTGGGGTGCGGAATGCAGGGCTAGAACGTCATTGGCGGGCTTGAGCTTGGAGACGGCGACGAGGCGGACTGGTGGGCCTGAAGAAGGTTTGGCGGACTCGATGCGAGAGAGTATGGAGGAGATGTTTGAGGAGAGGTGTTTTGCTCGTGCTGGATCAACTCGCATTTCTGCGGGTTCCTGGTCTTTTGTGTCGGTCATGATATCATTGGTTCGTTATCTTCTTGAGACGATTCGTGTCTCTTCGAGTTTCAAGGGCACAGGGATTCGTTAGATGGATACTCCTTGAGGGTCAATCAAATTTGCAACAGAGGTGATGATACTCATCCTTGCATCAGATTCGCCTGCCTCTTGGGATTGTCGCCGTCGGCTCGTTAGCTAATAAGGAGCTAAGCAAGGGTACTGTCGAGACCCGGCCCCGGTGAAACTTGGCGGGCAACTTCTCATTCCTCCTGCATGTATCGCCCCTGAAACGGGCGTCTTGCCTGTGCCTTTTCTCTTCTTGCCCCGACTCTTACTGTTTTCCATTTCTGAGCCTCCTCAGCCATTTCACCACGGTCCTCACTGACCAGCTATACATTCCTTCGCCCCAAACCACAGTCGTTACAGCCCTGGAGGCAGCTTCCTCCTCTGCATTTTCATCACGAAACCCAACGTCACTCTCTTCAGGGGGAAGGCTCGTTCGCAATATACTCTCTCTTTAGCCACACATGGTCATCAAAAGTCATCGAGCATCGATTGTATCCAAGTCTACTCTCCCTCAGGAACCAATGCCTGGGTCTAAGCGTTCTTCTACCAATCGCTCCTCCAAGGGTTTCCAACACATACCGAACCAGAGCGATTCGTCTACGATGAGCAATCCTAACGACGCTACGATCACCATGCCCATGAGCAGTGTCAGCAATAGTAAGACTGGAGCCCGCAAGACAGATTCCTACACCCCTACCACTACTGGTGCCCCTGAGCAGCAGCTCAATGAGAAAGCCGGCTTTTACCAGCGTCATGTCGCTGGCCGACGGAGAACTGAAAAGAAGACTGGGAAGAAGGGCAGTGATGGGGAGGAAGAGATTGTCACGCAGATGGGCATAATATACAACAAGATCTTGAACTTTTCGGTCGTCACCCAATACTTCCTATATGTTCTACCTTTGGCTACTATCATCGCCATACCTATCATCATTGGAGCTACTGCAGCACAAAATGCAACTCTAGGCGGTGTCCGTATTGTCTGGATCTTTTCGTGGTTGGAATGTATATGGCTCAGTTTATGGGTATCGAAGCTCGCTGCGAAAACCCTTCCGTGGATCTTTGAATTCTTGTGCGGGATCGTGAGCTCAGGAACCAGGAAATATTCTTTGGTCATACAATCTTTGGAAATATACTTGTCTCTATGCGGATGGGCGTTGGCATCGTTGGCTACATTTGCACCGGTAGGCCTTGCACATATTGCTGGAAGAAGTACGTGCGAGCTAAGGTCTCTTATCATAGGTTATGACCCGTAATCCAAACCAGCGAAGGCAACAAGCGGACTTCACTAAGGCGCAGAGTCCTACGAATACCACCCAGAAACATGATCCACTTCTATCTGGCAACGGTACCGTACTCAAACATTGGGAAGCCGTCGTCCAAGAGATCCTTGCGTCATTTTTGGTAGCATCTTGGATTCTTCTATTTGAGAAATTACTCATACAGCTCATCTCCATCAGCTATCACCATACGCAATTCCATGCGAAGATCAAAGACTCGAAGCACAGAATCTACCTCTTGAGTTTACTCTACGACGCTTCTCGCCATTTGTTCCCCGCTTACTGCAACGAATTCGCCGAAGAAGACTACATTATCCACGACTCTATCGATATCCCAGGAAGTAAACATGGTCAAAAGCACTCGGGCTCCGCCACGCCTATGAAGCTTCTGATGAATGTTGGCCGATTCGGCGACAAGCTTACGTCCGCTTTCGGCAACATAGCTTCTGAGGTCACTGGAAAGCAGGTCTTCAACCCCGACTCCGCTCACTCAATCGTAGTAGAAGCTCTCGAGAAGAACAAATCCTCAGAAGCATTGGCTAAACGATTATGGATGAGCTTTGTGGTTGAGGGCAAGGAAGCTCTGTTCATGGACGATGTTGTTGAGGTCCTTGGTCCTGATCATTACGCCGAAGCCGAGGAGGCTTTTGCGATTTTGGATCGAGACAGCAATGGAGACATCAGTCTCGACGAAATGATTTTGACGATTTGCGAATTTGGCAAGGAACGGCATTCGATTGCTAGCAGCTTGCACGATGTTGATCAGGCTATCAACGTGTTGGACAATCTGCTGTGCAGTGTTGTCTTTATCGTCGTTGTCTTTGTATTCGGCAAGTTATTCCAATACTATAATTGTGTGCACCTTCTAACATTGCTATAGTGGCTTTCTTGAACACCTCCTTGACGACTACCCTGGCAACGACTGGTACCGCTTTGCTATCACTATCTTTCGTCTTTGCCACAACAGCCCAGGAAGTCCTTGGCTCTTGCATCTTCCTGTTCGTCAAGCATCCTTTCGACGTACTTGACCGAGTCGACATTGGTGATGACCAGCTAGTCGTTAAACACATCTCGCTCCTTTTTACAGTATTTAAGCACATCAATACCCACAAATTGACACAAGTACCAAATATTGTGCTCAATAGTATGTGGATCCAAAACGTCTCGAGGTCTGATGCTATGCGGGAACAGCTCTCTATTTATATCGATTTTGGTACCACCATCGAGGATGTCCAGCTTCTCAGGAATGAAATGCAGGCGTTCGTCACCGACAAGGAGAACTCGAGAGACTTCCAGCCGGACATCGATGTCGAGATCACCGGTATTGCAGCGATGGACAAGATGGAGCTGAAGGTTGAGATCAGACACAAGTCCAATTGGTCTAACGAAACTATCAGAGCTGCTCGTCGATCGAAGTTCATGTGTGCTTTAGTCCTAGCCCTGCGAAAAATTCCTATCAACGGTCCAGGTGGAGCAGGATCAGCTCTAGGCAGCGCCGACCAGCCCACCTACTCTGTCACTGTCTCCGACGCGCAAGCAGCCGCCAACCGTGAAGCGGCTGCCACAGCTAAAGACGCAAAGAGACTCTTTCCAGCGGAGATACCAGACCTCCCTGCTAAGAGCGGACCTTCAGGCGTAACCTCCAGTGCTGAACCTAACATGCGTGACTCGGTCACACCTCCTCCACTTCGCTTACGCCATCCCGCTGCCTCTGAGAGTAATGCCCTCACCACTTTGAACTCTCGTCGCCCGGCTGCCGATACAGCTCATACTCCTGGCGATCTTATCGAGCCCACAACTCCCAAGTCAGTCGCCCATTCCGTCTCAACGATGGACATTCCCGAATTTGATCGCACCGTCTCTATCGAAGAGGTGCGAGGCCTACTACGGCGTCAATCCACACGAGGGAAGCGGAGAGCATCAAGCGGAGCGGCAAAGTTTCCTCGGCCTACTGGATCTACGAGCAACTTTCCACAACCACCACCGTCTGTGGGCCTTGAGTACGACCCCTACGCCTATATCTCACAGCAGGCATCAAGACTGGCACAACCATCGAAAGCGCAGACGCCGCCGCAATCTCGCAATGGACCACCGCCATCGGCCCCGCCTAAGGACTCTCCAACTCAATGGCCACAACCACCCCAGTCCGCTTTGTCCCAGGTCCAAACCCAGACTCAACCCCAACCTGGCCAACTTCACAACCAACAACGACCCCCACCACCCGCACAATCTCAACCGCGTCAAGCACCACCAATAGCCCCGCCAGCCGTCTCTGTTCAATCATCCTCCCCTCAATCCCGCTCTCGCTCTGCATCTCAATCCCAACCACGTCCGCCCGCTAAACCCACGCCCATCAACACTAACAACCTCGTTCCTTCGCCAACAGATGAGCCCTCACGCACACGAACCACCTCTCCCGTCAGAAACCCTTTCCAGATCAATGCATTGAGGAGCCAAGCGCAAGGTGCGGCGCCACAACTTAGGAGACCAGTGCCCGGGAGTGGGACTGCGTCTCCGAGAGAAATGGCGCAGAGTCCTGGGACTGAGAATGGAGGTGGAGTAGTGAGGCCGCCCAGAGGCGACAGTTTGGCTGGGGGAACCGCAGGCGTGAGCGGTAGTAGAGGGCATGAGGAGTGATGCAAAGGTTCACAAGGAAACGATGTGTGCGATTTTTCATACTATCTATCATAACTTTCAGGTGCAGGCACTTGATCCTTTGGCCCTCCCTCATAGCTAATGTAGCTGTGTATCATTCCAGTATCCCATAAAAGCTCTAGCGAACAATCCACATAGAAAACTAGACTTCCAGCATCTTTCAATATTAGAGCAATAGAAGAGGCTTATGAAAATGACTGCTATGCAACACTGTCGCGTTTCGCCGAGAAATCTTTCCCTTCTCAACGTACGTCCTTGTTTCCAAACCACCACATAACAAGAAGCCGCGCCGTCCCCTATGGATTCAAGATGAAAGAAGAAGAGACCATGATCAACCGCGAATCCAGCCGCAGTCACAAACATCCACCACACAACACTCATCAAGGAAACTCATCGTCATCCCCAGCCCAAACCGCACGCAGGCCAGAAATCCATCTCAAGCCTCCCCCCTCTCCCCCACAGAACCATCTCCCTCTACGCTCTCCTCCCCTCCGTCCTCCTTATCACCCGCCCCCCTCATCCCCTCCCACAGCGAATGCGCTCTCTTCCCCAGCACAAACGGCCTCGCACTGCCCTTTACCACCCGGATCTGCCCCTTGGACACCACCCGGGGCGCCAGCAGGGGCCGCGCGCTCCCCCGCACGACGGTGATGTCTTTCTTCTCCGCGGTCCCGGGCTCGGCGACACCGGTCCGGGGTCCGGCGAGGATGGCGTCGATCTGGGGGTCATCGTAGCCGAGAGCGCGGAGTGCGGATCCGAGTTGTGCGCGGTTGGCATCGGGGCGCTTGACGAAGTGGCCGAATGTTACGTAGAGGATGGAGGCGGCGAGGAGGGGGAGGAAGAAGAAGAAGAAGAAGAAGGTGTTGCCGGGCCGGGATTGGTGGTCGTTGTTGTCGTCGAGGGGGTGGAGGAGAGGGATGCGGAGCTTGCTCGCTTGCGATCTGACAATCGTAGCGCCGGATGGGTTGAACCCTCCGCCGGAAGTTGAGGACGAAGCGAGGGGCGTTGCCGTGGTGGGACAGGGAGGATGCGAGTTAGCGTCTGGGTTGTAGCACAGTGCGGGTGTAGACGATGAGCGGGGTGGTACTGTGGATGAGCTCGCTGACGTGGACTGCGCGGTCGTAGACGACGCGGTAGACGTTGCGACTGCTGCCGAGAGCACTGTGTTCGACGTCGACTCGACGGATTGACCGCTCGTCGCGGCCGTGATAGGAGTAGCGGAACTCGCCGGCCAGTCCAGCACGTACGTCGTCTCGCCACCCTCTGAACCTGCGGCATCGCTCTTGGTCGGAAAGTCGAGGGAAACCCCACCGTGCCCGTCCGAGACCACGGAAATCGTCATGGTATGCGTAGAGATCACGCTCGGAGACGTGCTCGCAGGAGGCGCAAAGATGTTCGAAGTGCCGGCCGCAGTCATGGTCGGTATGGTGGAAGTAGAGGACGCAGTCGTAGAGACGCCATAGCAGCCCCATCCGCGCGGCTTGAAGTCGCGACAGAAGGGGTTGTGGGCGGGGCAGCAATTCGGCGGTGGGGAGGCCCGGTTCGAGCAGTTTGACGAGGTGTGATCGTAGCAGATTGCACCGTCAGGAATGGCGCAGACCTCGCCTCTGGGGCAGCAGCCGGTGACGGAGGATTTGACGTTGCAAGTTGTAAGCTTTTCCGTGTCAGCGATGCTGGCCTTACAAATTGAATAGGAAGGTGGATCGGGAGAAGATAGAAGAGAGGAGTGGGAAAGGAGACTTACAGCGGGGCAGCAACCCTCCCCACAGCAAGTCTCGTCCGCCACGCAGAACGTATCCCCGCAGCACGTAGATCCAGTCGGCATGCAGAAGGGCGCCACGCTAGAGGAGGCGGGTATGCAGCATTGGTCTGTCCTTCACATCAGAGAACTCCTCTGCCCCATACTTCAAAGAGCACAACTCACCGTCAGGGTTAAAACACTCACAGCTTACTTGCCTCGCACCAAGGTCGTTCGCACTGCTGGGGAAGACCCATACGTCGCCGGGAGTAACATTACGGTAAATAGGCGCTGTGAGGGGCGCGAAGATGGTGGCGTTGGAACCGAATGCGTGGGTGAGGCGGGCAGAGGAGGAGGTATTGGATGGGAAGGTTGGGGTAAGGACGTTGGAAGTGGTGATATTGATGCTATAAGCGGTAGCAACGAAAAGGCAGACGATGGTCGGTAGAAGCATAGTGATGATAGGAATCCGGATAACGGCCATGTGTTGATATTATGAGCTAGCTCTGATGGCTTTTTGACTGCTTGCGATCCAGGTGATACAAGGTTTATGAGGCGGTGAGACAAGAGTAAGCTCCGTAGTCCAAGCTGAGCTGTGCGGTTGAGAGTTGTGTTTTGCAGCGAGAGTAGCAAAGCAGTATTTCTGTCGGTAGATCTTTTTAAACAAGGAGTGTAAAGGTTTCAAGATTTTATTCTGAAGCGGCAAGAAAGTGAATGCCTTTGTTGACAATGGCTCCTTGACTACCGATGTTTAACACTTCCGCCGCGGTCCAATCACGCAGCTCTACGCATAAATGGCAAACTAGCGGCAAACAATGATGTTAACCAGTGTCTAACACCCTAGCTTTATTGCAGTTGATCGGGAGGGGCATCTATATTGAGTCTCAGGTTTGCGCACTCTCGATGAAGTTGAAGTTCAATGGCGCGTGTATGAATTTTCTTGCGGCGAGGAATTGCATGGGCATAACCACACACTTCAAGGGCAGCATGCGGTATTAAGCAGGCAAGAAGCACAGCCCAATCGGATTGTATACTTGTACCTCTCACATCCGACAAGTCAAAAACCCCCATACTAGCCCCAGGCGAGTCTCTCAGGCCAAAGGAATATATACAAGCAAAGGAAAACAGCACAACAGACCATCCACAAACCCATGGCCAAAGTACGCTTGACCAAATCGACAGGGCTTCCTCACCAGCACCGGCTCAACGAGATTGAATTGAGGTCCTGGGACCCCTGGCGTGTTGCCCGTGTTTTCCTTTATTCCACTACGTATCAATCAAGTCAGAATATCTTTCTAAGACTCGCTTGGATTTTGACTCAGGTTCAAAAAGGGAGGACGCTCCCAAAGAACATCCAACTCAACTCACTTTCCCCCTGAAAATGAGGTGAAAATGGCTCGAAGGAGCTACTTACGTAGAAGAATTGCTCGTCAGTGGTGGGACTTGGATGAGTGAGCGGTGACTCTGGGCGGTCGAATACCGATGAAACGGGCGACTTTGGCTGTTCGAGCACCGGCCCATCCCCCGATTCCCGGTCAGCTTTCCTTTGATTATGGTGGTCGTGGTGGTGCTTGCGGTGCCTGTGGGGTGGTTGTTCATGGTATCTGTACTCATCATGTTCGTGATCAATGGGCGACTCCCCTCCAACATACTTCCAAAGTCGACTCAAGTCCTTTACGGTCTTACCCCTCGCTTCCTCAGCCACAACCCTGTCACTAGCCGTCCTTTTAAAAGTCAAGCAATCATCACCATTGGCATCTTTACGATTGCCTAGCCCGTACGCATCCTTGACGACCTGCCCAGTGCCAAATTCAAGACCGGTCTCGCGCCTCACAAGGCCCGCAATTGCCGTAAAATCTCTTTGCATAGCCAACCTCTCATCAGGGGTAACTATCCGGTCGAGAAAAAGTTCATCGAACTTATCTTCGACTTTAGCTTCATTGTCACCAGCGATTTCCCCTCCAGACTTCAATTTTATGCCTCTTTTCTCTTTGGCTGCCAGCATTTGACATTTTGACAGGGGGAACATGGGATCGAGGTAGTGCTGGTTCAGCATATGACCTAATTAGATCTTGGGGTTAGCATACCCTGTACAATGCACGAAGTCGACTAGTAGGTCACGTCTAAGGAGAAAAACCAGAGGACAAATATCCAGTACGCGTCTCAACGACTCGGCATAAGGTCTCTGAGGGGTATGACTCCACATACCTGAGCCTCCCATTCGGACAAATACCGAGCCAGCGTAGCGGGTATGAAGAACATCCTGTACGGAATGAAGTACACCCCAGCGAGGGACCAGATCGTATTCGTTGGCATAATGCTCCATATGAGGAATAACATGTTGGCCCTGGTTGGCATCGGCCGGGTCGGCTTTGGATTGAGATATCTGTAGTGATGTTTGATCACCACGCTGATTAATAGAAGGATTGGACAAGAGCGCGAGGGATGGATTCGAAAAATGTGAGGCCGCGGAACCGAATGTATAGACCTCGAGTTTCGACATGGTTCTAGTGGGTAGCTGTGCAAGTAGATCGTCGATCGCCAGGGAGACGATGATACCGCCTTGGGAGTGGCCAATGAGGACAACCTTCGTGACAGTGGGGTCGACGAGGATGGCTTTGAGATAGGCGTAGGTCAAGCGAACGCCCGAGTCGTGGTATGCAACAGCTCGTTGGATCAGACACATTCCAAGATCGGCAAGTATACCATAACTGCGTGAGGATGCTAGGTTAGGAGTCGCCGAAATGATTGAGAGAGAGGAGCCACATACCTTTTGTTGTGAATACCGATAACGGCTCGTCCGAAGGTCTTCGAGAGGCGGTCAACCTCAAGCTGAGAGGTCGAGTGTCTATAAGTGTTCAGAGAAGGTGGATGCGTAGAGTAGGCATATCTTACCCGGTACATATGCCATTAACAAATACCCAGCGTTCGTTCTTGTGCTGCTCCGCCAGAGACTTTGTGCCATCGTCCATATTCGGGAGAATGCGTGGCGGTCCTTGCATGGGCAAGGTGATGAGGTAACAAGCCAAACAGCACAATACTGTGGCAGCAAGGAAGATGCCGCCAGGCAGCAACACGAAGGCGGGAAGGGCCATTACCAGAAACAGGACCTGGATCAGGGCGAGCAGTGTTTGCAAGAATCCGACCTTTGCATTCGCGAGACTCGGATAGAGTTCAGCATCCTTGTCTCTGGTCAAGAAAGGTGAGATGAGGTCTGGCACATAAGGAAGCAGCCTGAGTAAAACGCCTGCATCATCGATCATCAGCCGTATTGGGTCTTGACGAGCAGCTCTCGTCGACGCGCAGGCAAGCGGGTCCATCTGTGAAGGGATGTATTTGATGCTGTCACTCATATCGAGAGGAGGCAGGGGCTTAGGTGCTGCAGTATGCTGCCCTGTAAGGGCGGTCTTGTGACCGCCCGAGCCGCTATTCATCGTGCCATCAGGTAGGTACGGCATGACTGAAGACCTTCTAGAGGTGGTGCGGCGAAGAAATGAACGTAGCTATGTTTCAGGTACAAGGGGATTGTTGTAGGGAAAAGCGTATTGTTTTAGGGCAGGTGACCGTACTTATAAGTAATAGAGGAAGAATAGTGCCGTTCTAGGACAGGTGTCTATTAGAACCTTGATCATCTGTCAGGCACAAGGAAGTGAGCCATGGCCGCTCTTTCCGTCGCATCAATGGTCTGATGTCCTTTCCCCATAGCGATTTCAAAGTCCGCTATTTCTTCGGCCGGCCCTAAGGCGTGAGGCTATGTGCCTCAAAAGGGGCGCACCGAATGCGCAATAAATGCAAAGCCGAGTAGTGCCGTCTTATTGCATATGACTGTGCGTTTCACGTTTGAACAGTCAGCTCGAATACGGCGCTTTCAGCCTCAATCTACCAGTAATACTCCTCAACGACATTCCACTCAATGTCGCTTTTCCAATCAATATCAGTGGTGGATTTCAGCACGGCGTTCAGGCCAAATTTGCCATGGGTACGCGAGCATATATTATTGCACGGTAAAGTGCCTTGGCCGATCTTGAATGTTCGGATCCAATCATTGCGAGTTCGTTCTTTCTCTCTGCTATTTTCAGTAGTGGCCAGGTCGCTGGCGCAATCTGTCGGCTTCCATTCCCACCTCTCTACAGTCAATTCATCTTTAACCTTCAGTATACCTTCACACCAGCTTCCGATTTTGATAACCATTCCCCTTATGTTCCTTTCCGGTTCGTCCGCTCTCATCACCAAGCTGCTGCGGTTGTGCTTTTTGCCGAAAGCCTCCACCTGTAGATCGTGCCAAAGTTCTTCATACTCGGTCTCTTCCCCCGTGACCGGATCACTATCCTTCCCCCTTTCCAGGATGTCTCCATTGGGCTGCACCCACATATCGCCCTCATCAGGATCAGGATTGTTGGTGCGCGAGTCTATCCAGTGGTCCCAGACCGTGTGTGAGAGCTGCATCGATGAATCTTTGGTCAAAGTGGTGTTTGATTTACCGGCAAATGCCCATGCTAAACAGTTTTGTGTGTTAGCTTCCTGGCACTTTTCGTCCTCAAGCTTCTCACAGAGGATGCGGACATCGACGAAGTAGGAGTCTTTTGAGGTTAGGACGATGGTGGAGGTAGGTTCTTCTGGCTCGCCCGGAATCTGTACAAGAGGTTAGCTCTGACATATGAGAATACGTAGCACAATGGTACTGGCATACTAGGCGGTAGTGTTTGCGCTCACTGATGGTGGGGAGGCCCATGGCTTCTGAGCTCCAAAGGACACTTGTCCTTTGCTGTCACCTCAAGAGTCAGATGGGACAATATGTCTGAGCTAGAATATTAGATCATCGTCACAATTAGAATCTGCATGACCGGAGATGTAGTGAGATGAAATGGTCATTTGCGGAGTGCGCGCGGATGGCAGCATCATCGAGAGGGGTTTGGCGCTTACTTTTCTTGGCAAGCTCCAAGTCCGAAAAATACCTCGTTACTTGTCCGAGTTCTTCCACCTGCAAGACCACTAAATGCCATCAGATTTCAACGCCATGAGGTAACTCGATATACTTTGAGTCTGCTAGCAGGTCTACTTTCCCGTGCGCTGCATTCTTTCCAAACCTCCCAGGCGTTTGGGAATGCAAGTATGCGCTTTGGCCCTTCATCAACAGGTTCGCGATATTTGCCACCCTGATGTCAGTGCAGAGGTCATGTAGAGGGAATGTCAAATTCTCCCAGTTCCAACAGGAGAAAGATCCATTCAGCTCACCATTTTGTGGGTACCAATCAGTACGAACCGGCTTTTTCCCGTCGGAAAACTCGTTATAAAGGAAAGTTGACGCAAGAAAACATTTGTGCCATAAGAATTGCCTTGCAGGTGAAATGGCGACTACTCAGGAAGTCTCTGTGATTATTATCTTTTTTCCCTGGCAACGTGCCTGAACTGTAGGACTTCAATTCCATTCAGGGATTTCCGCCCTCTATGATAACTTTTGCTATATTTTCTTACTTTAAGATGCTAATCATCGGCTTTGGGCCAACAGAGTCGGCCTGATCCTTCTTGCTCCGACCAAGTATCATCCCTTTCAAATATCCAAGATCACAAGGTACATGAAACAGACCCATTGCTCTTCTTTTAAAATCCTGCCGCCGGATTTTCTACATTTGGTTTTTCATGGCGTATTACGTCTACATGTTGCATTATTGCCACGCCTCAGACACATTCCGTCCATGTAAATATGTGCTCAGGAATTTTGCTTCTTTGAGCGTCTTTCGACGCTCATCAAAATACATGCCAGCGCGCGAGTTGTCTCAGTACCGGGAAGGGGGTGTGGTATCGATGCCATCTTTAATCTTCGTCATCACGGAAAACGTGCGACAGCTCCTGTAATCTGCTTAAACAGTTCTTGGTAGCAGACCTGTAGATCATATCAGTTTCTACGACTTTGTAGCAGGAGGTTTCATACAAAACCAGTAATAATTGAGAGACTACTGTTAAAACTGTTATTTGTCTTGCTTAACATGCACAACAGCATCATCAGCAGAGCCTGGAAGGGTAGGTGCGAGTGACCTTTCACTGGATTGCTGTTGTGACAGATATCATAGTGAATTTTCAATATGACCTCGAGAATTTAGGTTACCATGAGTCTGCTTCATGAGGTCCAGGGCCATTTCCCTCTTCGCGATGAAATCTTCTCCTTGTAAGAGAGCCTGACCGCTAGGTCAAAGGAGATATAGAACTACCCTCGTTTCTCCTCTCCATTACACTGTCTCTTGCCTTGCTCTACGCTCTCGACACTTTGATGTCGTTTCCGTCGTCACTCATACAGCGGATAGCCCGCGCAGGTAATCTGCTCACCGTCTCAGTACATGTATCAAGAAGTCAAATGAGCAAAATAGCTCGCGTCATGTTGTAGACTTTTGACTGTGAGCCTTTTGGTAGGACGGAGGATCAATGTGCCCGCATTGTTGTTGATCGAGCCTGTTATATAACAGATTCAATTGATTCTCACCCTACGTGTGGCCGTCAAGCGCGTGATTTCTTGACCTTCCACACCTCAAATTGAAAGGAGCCTTCTCGACCTCGCGCAATGAGGAATCTTCTAAGCGGTGCGAGGAAGTTCAGAAAGGTGAGCTGTAGCAAAGCAGATGCTGTAATTAATGCAGATATTGACTTGGGAATGGATCTTGCTCTGAACCCGAGAAAGTAGTTTGTAATTCGTTGATTGGTCGAGAACGATTGACAATACGAAGCTTCTCATTCGTGGAAATAGCAGGTGGATGACGCTTAGCGTCCTAGTCTCGACCAATCAGAATTTGCATTTTACAGATCAGCCGTATCGATAGCGCGCTCTTCCATGCATGAACTTATTTAACTACCTTCTCTTTCCTCCAACATCAATTCACAACAATCCCAGAACCTCAAAAACACCTTCCAACACCACTCCAAACCACTAAAAACCAGACACCAGAAACCAGACACTCAAACAATACATCCGCCATCAATCCTCCCCCCATCACCATGACCGTCCCAACCACCTGCTGCGGCCGCTCTGGCCAAGCTTGCGCCTGCGCTGCCCAAGCCAAATGCTCCTGCGGCAAGCAATCCGCACTCAGCTGCACCTGTGAAAAAGCCAAGACCGAGAACACCGTCACCGGTGCGCGATGCTCGTGCCGTAAGTCTCCTCCCCTGCTCCAACCACGCCGTTGCGGAGAGCCCGCTCTCCCTACAACCCCAACGCTCTTGCCTCACTCTCTCAGCAGCATTTGCGGAAGACCATGATGCTGACCGAGTGCAATCTGATAGGCGCCCGTCCAGCCGGCGCGTGCACCTGCGATCGTGCCGCTACGGAGAACGCCAAGCCCGCCGGGTCGACCTGTGCCTGCGGTGTCCGTCCTGCCGGTAAGTCGACTGCCAGACCCTTCCACCGAGGGCCTACTACTACACGTTCTAACGCCTGCCAGATGCTTGTAGCTGCGAGAAAGCCTCCGACGGCGGTATCCTTCCGACCGAGACCGATTTCACCACCAAGGCCGCTGGTGCTTAGGGGGGCCTCTGATCTAACCACTGGTGCTGCGAGATGTGTGGCATTGCGAAGGCGAATGGTGATACCACTTGATGATATGGCGTATGGTTTGGCTTCTTGATATTGCTTGGAGGGGAATGGATGTGTTCTCTGCTGGGAGAGGAAAGCTGCTAGTAGGGAGGGCGAATTGCGGTTGTGGTTCTGCTTGCAAGTCTACATGTAACCTAGCTCTCTAGCTCAACAAGAACCCATAAGCATCTCAGCTGCGCACTTCGCAATATCCCGAGTCCCTTGTGGAGTCCAGGAAGTGTCCTTTTGCTTGGAATATACAACAACTTTGCTTTTCGTTAACAGACGCTGAGCCCTACGCGTATCATTGGCGGGCTAGCGGAGAGCGAGAGATCATTCGGAGTGGTGGATCCATCGGGGGGTGGGGTTTAAAATTTACTTTGTTGTTCTAGGTGAGTACCCTGCCATCGCAGTTGAATCAAATGCCATTGAAGAGTGCTTATCATACATCTAGAAACGAGACGAACGACCGAAAGGAGCTCATACTAACAAACCTTACGCGTCCCATATCGAATACTTGCTTGAGGACGATGAAAAGGGATCGTGGAAGGGCCGTGTTCCAGAGGAGATCATCGGAGTGAAAAGACTCCAGTGAAGCATCGTAATGAGCAGTACTATCTATCCTCCTTACAACCTGTTGCCATCCATCCGTTGAGAATCCCAGTACCGATTCCGTTCGTCCAATCCTTGCCCGAGCCCGAAACCTGCAAGCTGTCCTGATGAAAAGCCACTTTGGTCGCGTACTCCACAACTTGGCAAATTGGCAGTTAACCCTCCCTCAATTTTAGTGCTCAGCCCCCACTTCATACAGAGTGTGTTGGCGATAATGCATCTGATCTTCTCAAAGCTGGACGATCTCATCCTCAGGGAACAGCCTGGCAGTATCGATTGCTGTATGACCCCTGTTATTCCGGACGTCCACATCGCAGCCATTTTCCAGTAGAAGTTTGACAATGTCGACGCGCTTCATAATTACTGCGTACAACAGCGCAGTATATCCTCCGCAGGGCCTCAATCTCTTGTGCCAAAGCAGCACAATCTTCGTATCGTAACACCCAAGTACGTAGCCACTGAAGTCTCTGGTCCCTGGCTCATCGTCTCGAACGTTCATAGCGTGTCTGAGCCCGAGGATATGTTATCTGGGTCCAACAAGTCTAGATTCGACGATCATGATTTGAATTATGAGATTAAACAGCGGTATCGGGAGAGGGTTAGTATAGCTCATGGAGGATACTAGGCAGGCACTGGTGGAAGAATGATGCATTCCTTACCGCTGTAAGCTGGACCTCAACGCGTCGAGAAAGTTGGTCGATTTGAATTGTTTGCATCTCCAATCTTCTCTTCAGCGTCTCAATGCACTCATCCACCTTTTGAGTTGACTTCCTCCAATGTATGGTTGCCAATAATGCCATACCGTTGCGAATAGATAAAGATCTCGGCGAGGAACTCATTCAGGACCTTAGACATGCGTTTCAGTCCCGCCAAAGACACAGTACAACCGCTCATTCTCTCAGACAAGGATGCATAATCACCTTTAGCGATCGCAACAGAAGTATAGTTAAACCCTTGATACCTCGTCCGATTCTCAACAGCTGCAATGCTCTTAACCTCGCGATCCAAATCACGGTCCAGCAAGTACCCAAGCATGATACTCACATTCAGCGCCAAGAACAACGGATGTTGCGCCCATCCCTTCTGATGGCTCATAATATCCTGTATCGCTTCAGAGATCCAATCATCACCCAAAAAACAGCCTTGGTTCTCCCACTCCCAAAATCATGCGTTCAAGCAACAGCAAGAAGGACCGGCATATATAACGAAAAAACAAGCGTATTGACATGCTCCGTCTGACGGGCTGGCATGATAACGAAACTGCTGGAGCTAGCAAAGCCATATCTGTAAGCTTCCTCGATCTTGAAATTTTCAAGAACGACATCAAGACTGGAGTCTCGAATATCCAGTTGCCAAGGCCGTACATCTTTGTGCAGCCGAACCCACACCAAGCGCAGCAACGCAGAAGCCCCAGTCTCTTGCGGAAGATTCTTAGTTAATCAGGGTCCAACGTCGACGTCTGGTATCCGCCCTCTCTGAAGCTCATGCGAGGGATGAAAAGGCCATATTTCGGAGACGTCGAGGTCGTTGGATTCTTCGTTGAAGCAGAAGGATGGACAGAGACCCTCTATTGCAGAAATTCAAGGGCTGAGAAGGATCTGGGTGTTCGAGTAATAAATTATACGTATGACAGGCAATGGAGAGTTTAAGATGGAGAGAGGAAAGTCCCGTTGTTTTAGTATTGACCGAAGCCTTTCAAAAGATGCCTTAGCAGTCTGCATGGGCCCTTGTTAGCGGGTTTAGCCAATCGAAAGATGCGACAAGAGCTCAGCTTCCTTGGCTTGGCCTCGTCGTGGGTAGCTAGCTCTGGGTTTTGCCATCTTATCCACGGGGAAGGGCAACCCGTCTGCGGCTAGAGAAGTGACAGCAGGGTTGCGCTACCTCATGGTAGATTAGAGTTCGTAAATCTACCGATAATCGAGATTGTGTCAGAGCTGCCTTGCTGTCTGCACGTTTTTTTATCTTATCCTGTAAAGCTACACAGTCCATAATATGAACTTTGGTGGTTCCTGCTCTGGAGATTGAGACGGGCAACTTTTCTTGCCAAGCCCTGCATTGATCGACGGCGGGCACTAGAAATACTCTAGCGGCGGACCGGCATCAACGCCAAGCCGAAATGCATTTGGCGGCGACCCCAATCGGGCCTTGATTTCCAATGCACCGTTACTACAATCACTTCGCTCCTGTGGCCTAGCCATTCATCCTGACCTCACTTCGAATCACCAGCTGCCTGCTTTCCCTCAAAACCTGCAGAGCTTCAGCTTCCTGCAGCTCCCAAGTCGGCCCCCACATCGCAGAGGATCGCACCACGCTCCTGTACTCAGTACATCAATCTCGCAACTAGTGTTGTCATTCTGTGAGGTCGTCACCGGTGCATTCATCAATCGGCTGAAGCCCCCCACCACATCTCCCGTGAAGCTGGCGCATCCTTCAAACTGGCGAGCGCGGCGGCAGCCGGCTTCCTGGGCCGGTCCTCAGCAGGAAACAACAGCTCTATGCGAGGGCTCGTCCAGTTCATAGCCGACCTCAGAAATGCTAGAGCAAGGGAGTTGGAAGAGAAGAGGATCAATAAAGAGCTAGCAAATATCCGGCAAAAGTTCAAGGATGGAAATCTGAACGGGTATCACAAGAAGAAATATGTGTGCAAACTGCTGTACATATACATTCTAGGATGGAATGTCGACTTCGGACACCTCGAGGCTGTCAATTTGATCAGTGCGAACAAGTACAGCGAGAAGCAGATCGGATATTTGGCCGTTACGCTGTTTCTGCATGAACAGCATGAGTTGCTTCATCTGGTAGTGAACAGTATAAGGAAAGATTTGCTGGGGCACAATGAGCTATTCAATTGTTTGGCGCTGCATGCCATTGCAAACGTCGGCGGGCGGGAGATGGGCGAGGCTTTGAGTGGGGACGTACATATGTTGCTGATATCACCGTACGTATGGGATGAGAGAACAAGGGGGCAACGGCTGACGGAAGTAGGACATCGAAATCGTTCGTCAAGAAGAAAGCGGCTCTAACACTACTACGGCTGTATCGGAAGTACCCAGGCATCGTGCAGCAAGAATGGGCCGAGAGGATCATCTCGCTGATGGATGATGCGGATATGGGCGTGTGTCTCTCGGTCACCTCGCTTGTAATGGCGTTGGCTCAGGATCAGCCGGACCAGTATAAAGGTGGATACGTCAAGGCAGCACAACGTCTGAAAAAGACTGTGGTGGACAACGACATTGCGCCGGACTACCTATACTACAAAGTGCCTTGCCCGTGGATTCAGGTGAAGCTGCTACGGTTGATGCAGTATTATCCGCCCTCAGGTTCGCACCTTTGAATTCTTCAAGCATTGGTTACCATTGCTAACACCAGAGTAGAGGATACTTACGTCCGAGGCCTGATACGAGAGTCGCTACAACAGATCCTACACGAAGCAATGCTCATGCCGAAAAACGTACAGCAAAACAATGCGCAAAATGCGGTCCTTTTCGAAGCCATCAACCTCGTCATACATCTAGACACAGAACACAATCTGATGGTGCAGATATCCTCAAGGCTAGGGAAGTTCATACAATCACGCGAAACCAACGTCAGGTATCTGGGACTTGACGCGATGACCCACTTTGCTGCTCGAGCTGAGACACTGGATCCAATTAAAAGGCATCAGAATATCATTATCGGGTCACTACGAGACAGAGACATTAGTGTCAGGCGGAAAGGTCTCGATCTGCTTTACAGCATGTGTGACCCTTCAAATTCTGAACCCATAGTCAACGAGCTTCTGAAGTATCTACAAAGCGCAGACTTTGCTATCCGAGAAGAGATGGTACTCAAAATAGCGATTCTGACCGAGAAATATGCCACAAACATCCAGTGGTATGTGGACATCTCGTTGCGGCTGATCGCAATGGCTGGTGATCATGTCAGCGACGAGGTATGGCAACGTGTGATCCAAATTGTCACCAATAACGAAGAGCTTCAAGTCTATGCGGCGCAAAACATTCTGAACTACGTCAAAGCGGAGCAATGTCACGAGACCCTGGTCAAGATTGGAGGTTATCTGTTAGGGGAATTCGGCCATCTGATCGCAGATACAAAGGGCTGCAGTCCTATCGAACAATTCTTAGCTCTCCAGACGAAGATGCAGGGTTGCTCCTCAAGCACGAGAGCTATCCTCCTCTCTTCCTTTATCAAGTTCGTTAATCTTTTCCCGGAAGTTAAAACGCAATTACTGGTCGTCTTCAGGGCTTACAGCCATACGCTAGACTCGGAGTTACAGCAAAGAGCTTGCGAGTACCTCACTCTTGCAACACTTCCCACGGACGACCTTTTACGAACAGTTTGCGATGAAATGCCGCCCTTCCCAGAACGTACATCGGCCCTCCTTTCACGACTTCATGGCAAGCACGCTGGCACAAGCGACAAGCGGACATGGATAGTAGGTGGCAAAGACGCAAACACCGACTCCAAAGAAATCCTTCTGACCCAATCCACTGGCCTCAAACGATCCTTCACGCCCACAGCGAATGGTGCTCTCTCCAACGGTACCCCGACCCCCACCACCAACGGCACGAACGGCAGCACCACCAATGGCAATACACACGGCCTTGAGGACCTCGACATGTCCTCAGGCCCCTCCCAACCTCCTCCCAACCTCGCTTCGGCGGCCCACCTCTCTCCCGGCTGGGAACCGGGCTACCGTCGTCTTCTCTTCATTGCCGAATCCATTCTCTATGAAGACGCTCAATTCCAGCTCGGTCTCCGCTCCGAATATCGTGGCGCTATGGGCTGTCTCATTCTCTACTTTACCAATCGCTCTCCTTCCGCCATTGGCTCATTTACAACTACCCTTGACAATCCTAACCCAGCAGATCAACTACGCATCGATACGAAAAGTGCACCGGATAATTCGATACAGCCGGAGGGCCAAGCACAACAAACAGTCATGTTTGAAGCTAAAGGCGTTTTCTCTCTCCCTCCAACAATACGCATATCTTACCTAGCCGGCGCCTTACAAGCCTTTACTCTGCAATTGCCTGTCGTAATGCACAAATATATGGACGCAGCCGACTTATCCGCCGATGATTTTTTCAAAAGATGGCGACAAATAGGCGGTGCGCCGCGTGAAGCTCAACGTGTCTTCGGTCTAAAGGATGGCGGTGGGCGAGGAAAGGCGATGGGTGACGCAGAGTGGACGAGAAAAATGGCGGAGGCGTTTGGATGGGGAATCCTGAAAGGAGTGGATCCAAATGAGAGAAATGTGGTCGGTGCGAGTGTCTTGCATACTGGGGTGGGAAAATTGGGGTGTCTGCTGAGGCTGGAACCGAATTGGGATACTCAGGTGAGTGACACTGTTTTCTCAAAAGTAGAGGAATAATGCTAATTGTAGTAGCTCTACCGCATCACGATACGAGCGACTGATGAGAGCGTCCCACCTGTGCTAATGAAATTCATGGAGGAGACGTATTCGATGGGAGTGGAAAGGGAAAATAAGGACCATCGTGTCACTCTCGACTAGGTGAAGCGACGCATTGAACGAGAGAAACTGACGCATGGACATTGTACGTATGGTAAGAAAGCATGGGCATTTAAACTGTCACTCGAGTAGCATTCACGATATCTTAGGGCATGTACATAGTGAACGGCATGGTTCGATACAGGCTTCACATGCCAACCACCATCCCCGCAACTTCGCAGTACATTAACCTGATTCGGTGTCGTCTCAGAGTCTTCACAAGAGCCTGACAACACTACTTCGAGAGTCTGTCAATCACTCGAACATAATGAAACCCAGCTTCATGCAACATAGATCCAGGATTCACTAGGGTCACGCTTCATTCCCAATGAGTCGCATGTGCATTAACATTCATTCTATAAGTCCGTGAATTTGCTTCAGGCACTAGGTAGTATTTAAACCCCCTACATTTCCTACCTCCGTTCTTCTCTTCTCTTTCACATACCATCCATCTATCGATGGCCTTTTATACTATTACTCCTTCTCTGCTATTCTTTTTTCATGTATTAACACGTCCTCGCATGATCTTCTCTATATCTATATATCATATACGTCGCACATACGGGGAGACGAAACCTCAGATTCTGCCTCCGTCCCACCAAGAAGCCGCGCGAAGGCTTCTTCCTTGGCTCGGGTTTGTTCGTTACACACCACCGTTGGCTTGCTCTGGTTGTAGTGCTGACAACTGTTGAGCACTTGGGCAACGGGTAAGAGACTTTCAGGCTGAATCGTCAAGCGTCTTTGCTTACTGCGAGCCGTAAAGGCGAACAAGCAGAGAACGGTATTCCCTCTAGTGCTACTTTGTCTAAGGGGGCCGAGCCCGCGCTGACACGACCAACAGAGGCTGATGCATCAACCTTCATGAGCCAGAAACCCGTCCTATTATCTACTGAGACTGAAGTAGCTGTCACCGTCGGACGGCCCGAATGCAAAATTCGTCGCGACCAACACGCAGTTTCCGACATTCTTAGGAACCATCCACGGAATCTCCATCGTCGATCTCCTGATCTGCCGTCCCAACGAACAGGGTACCCAGTCCATCGAGGCTGTGACAATCTTCACCACAGATGAAAGTGACAACAACCATATGCTGTGGACTCTGAAGCACTACCTCGGCTTCATCCTTCATGGCCGCAGAAGGAACAACGCCTGTGTGTTCAAGAGGCAGAGAGAAACGAACAACCGGCCGGGGCAAGAGGAGGAGGCGCTCAAAGACCGGACCTTGGCCGCAGGGAGCACGGCTGAGCAGGCAATCTCCCAAAGACAGCATGACGTTGTCGGAGACCGGCTTGAGGGTGCGGTCGGAGATCTCCGACAAGTGAGACCAGAGAGGCAAGACGCCATCGGTGCTCGGGGGCTTTTGCGCACCGGACTCCAAGCCGAGAGGGCTGAAACCGAAGAGCTCGAGGCCGTCGTCGTAGGACCGTGTACATCTACAGCCTCGTCAGTTCTTTGCCGAATACAAAGTCCCAGGCCAGCAGCGATATGTGCGCTCGCTCCAGACACAGCCGTTGATGGGGAAGAGGAGGACGGGAAAGGGAAGGAGGTCGAAGTCAAATCTCACGATTCAAAACGGGTTCTGCGCAGACTATATTCACGTATCTATCGCCATCTAAGATCCTGCGCAATTTGAAAGCATTCGCACAACCCGGACATTCCCGACCGCGCCAGAACCCTGCTCCGAGGCCCGCAGCATAAACCTGGACAGCGAAAGCGAAAGAATGACTCGACTCGCTTTTGGGAGTCAAGCCGCACGCTATCTCCAGCTAATAAGCGGCGATATCCGTACTGTATCGTGACGAAGCACGAGGACTTCGGTACCGTCATCGTGAAGCGACAGGGCGTACCAGGAGTGCAGGCCCAGCCGGAGAGGATGGGTGGGAAGAGGGTGGAGGGGAGGAGGGCCAGCTCATACGACCATCACAGACATGGCTGATTCGATGACTGCACAGCCAAGCTAGATACCAGTTATGCAGCCGTCTTTGTGTTATCAGGTGATGAATGAATATGGCTATGTCTTGCCAGATAACAATTGTTCAATCATCTATGGACCCAAGGTTGGCATTCAAGATCTCGCCAATCTGATAAGACATCAGCTAGTTAATGCAGCCTGCGTTTTTCGATGGTAATCAAACTTTTAATGTCAATACGTTATCATATAGCCGCTTACTTCTAGAGAGAAACCATTTTCATCGATGAAGCTACCTTCCTGACCCTCTTCAAGCTTCCAGAGACAGGTTGGGAATGTTACTCTATAGATCTAGACGACATCACCGGAGTACATCACGTCATTCGAGAGGCTTCTCGCCAAACAATCTTGCTATTGATCAGTTTGTCAAACTCTAACTTCTGCATCATCAAGAGAGCGACGCTGGAGTCGAGCTCCTTCGTGTCAACGAGCCGTCCGAACCTTGAATACTCTATCACCGCTCTACACTTTTCACACCCAAGGATTTCTTTCTCTACCAGATGCAGATGATGATAACGATTCTGAGTACATTGAGAACAACCCAAAAACCACAACATAAGAAGTAGTCCATGAAAAATCACCATTCACACCTTTAGATAGGGCCCATTCTGTTTACTTCGCAACCAAACCTTTCCCGAAAACATATATAAATATGAATATCTTCCAAGATAGACAGCGCAAGGTATACGAGACTAATTTCTCGGATATCACGCCGTCACAGCTTGAAGTGATGACCAGCAACATGGCAGACCTCTTGCTCCTAGTCTTCCGCATTGCTGTCATCCTCCTACTGTTCACCGCCTGGGACCGTATCTTACATGACACAGTCGATACAGTTGATCACGCCACGCAAGACGGCAGAATCCGGGTGCGCAGATGGCATCCAGATGGCCAGGAATCTCCAAGGAGAACTGGAACGAGGTAACCACCGTCCGAGACAATGCCCAGACCATACTCACCCGAGAATTAGTCAGGGGATGCCGGTGATGCAGCTCCCACGATGCAAGCGGCAAGCCTAGATTGGAAGGACGATGTTCGTCAATGGTACGGCGAGAGATCCGACAAAGTGATCGTGGTCATCTACGTTGTCTGGAATTCCGCCTTTGCACTGATGAGCCAATACAGCCACGTTGTGCGGCCTACACCGACGCGCTTGACGACTGACTGCAACATTAAAAATCAAAGGGCCCCGGATCGTCAGTGGATGGGAACAATGCCACTACGACACCCGCAACTTTAGCGCGACCTTGTGCGTAATCCAGACGGTGGTACCATCAGCCTGGCCCCCAAAACCATCACCCTGAAGTGCAGCAAAGCCTTTTTCGAGACGCAGAAGAGTGGGGTACATGAGTTTGCAAAAGCTTTCTGTAGGGTGAGCGACGAAGTTGGGTTCTCACCGAGGGTTGAAATGTACTTCAAGATAGAGATGGCGACTATGTACCCATGCGGAAACGCCCTTGTCGCTGAAAAGATTCGGCAGGTTAGTCTCCACTGCTCATCTTATTAGAGCGGTAACTAATACTGAACTTTTATCTAGTTTGAGTCTCCGACGATGTTGAGGTTTTGGGAGCAGCTGGACTTCCCAGCGAACTTGGCAGGCTTGGAATGATAATTCAGGGCACAATGATTACGGGCCCCACCGCTGCCCAACTTCAAAGGTAATTGCCAAGGCGTTGTCGTCCTACCCAACGGCAAGGTGTCTGTCATTGTGTCCGATGTCCGGCTTTGTGCTGGTCTCGGCGATCAGATTCCCCAAATTCGATACGGATGTTGCGAAGGCCAATGCTGGCATCGAGAAGTACAATGTGGTTAGTTTTTGGGTCGGGCTTATTGAGAACCTGTATCCGACT